TTTTGATGATTACAAATGACAACAAATGAAAATCTCAAATTCATCATATCAGAAAATTAGAATATTGTGAAAAGGTTCACAATTGATGGCCCCTGGTGCCACACTCTAATCAGCTAATTAACTCAAACCACCTGCAAAAGCCTTTAAATGGTCTTTCAGTCTAGTTCTATAGGCTACACAATCATGGGGAAGACTGCTGACTTGACAGTTGTCCAAAAGACGACCATCGACACCTTGCACAAGGAGGGCAAGACACAAAAGGTCATCGCTAAAGAGGCTGGCTGTTCACAGAGCTCAGTGTCCAAGCACATTAATAGAGAGGCGAAGGGAAGGAAAAGATGTGGTCGAAAAAAGTGTACAAGCAAGAGAGATAACCGCACCCTGGAGAGGATTGTGAAACAAAACCCCTTCAAAAATGTGGGGGAGATTCACAAAGAGTGGACTGCAGCTGGAGTGAGTGCTTCAAGAACCACCACACACAGACGTATGAAAGACATGGGTTTCTGCTGTCGCATACCTTGTGTCAAGCCACTCTTGAACCACAGACAGCGTCAGAAGCGTCTAAAGAGAAACAGGACTGGACTGCTGGTGAGTGGTCCAAAGTCATGTTCTCTGATGAAAGTAAATTTTGCATTTCCTTTGGAAATCAAGGTTCCAGAGTCTGGAGGAAAAGAAGAGAGGCACTTCATCCACGTTGCTTGAAGTCCAGTGTAAAGTTTCCACAGTCAGTGATGGTTTGGGGTGCCATGTCATCTGCTGGTGTTGGTCCATTGTGTTTTCTGAGGTCCAGGGTCAACGCAGCCACATACCAGGAAGTTTTAGAGCACTTCATGCTTCCTGCAGCTGACCAACTTTTTGGAGATGCAGATTTCATTTTCCAACAGGACTTGGCACCTGCACACAGTGCCAAAGCTACCAGTACCTGGTTGAAGGACCATGGTATCCCTGTTCTTAATTGGCCAGCAAACTCTCCTGACCTTAACCCCATAGAAAATCTATGGGGTATTGTGAAGAAGAAAATGCAATACACCAGACCCAACAATTCAGAAGAGCTAAAAGCCACTATTAGAGCAACCTGGGCTATCATAACACCTGAGCAGTGCCACAGACTGATCGACTCCATGCCACGCCGCATTGCTGCAGTAATACAGGCCAAAGGAGGCCCAACTAAATACTGAGTGCTGTACATGCTCATACTTTTCATGTTCATACTTTTCAGTTGGCCAACATTTCTATAAATCCTTTGTTTTTATTGGTCTTCAGTAATATTCTAATTTTCTGATATGATGAATTTGAGATTTTCATTTGTTGTCATTTGTAATCATCAAAATTAAACAAAATAAACATCTGAAATATATGAGTTTGTATGTAATGTATGAATATAATATACAAGTTTCACTTTTTAAATGGAATTACTGAAATCAATCTACTTTTTCATGATATTCTAATTTTATGACCAGCACCTGTATATATATATATTTACCTATTTATTTTTTTTTGTTGGGGGTCACTGTAAGATTTAAATTTCTTAATGCACTAGTTTGTACAGACTACAAACTACTTTGCCGCAAACCACAAAACGCGCAAAACCATCATTTAAATAGGGCGTCTCCAACAGTTTTGCACCTTCCACCAGTTACGCAATCGCTCTTGTTAAATCACCCGCAAACCATGGTTCAGCCCCTCGCGCAAAATTCCAGTTTGCGAGCGCAAATTACTGCACGCAAAATTGGATCTTGATAAATCCGGCCCAATGAGTGAAACCAGAATAATCTAAATACACATTTCACATTTCTTTTTTTTTGTTTGTTTTTTTGTTTAAAACTTTTTTATTGAGGAAACACCTGAAAATTCAGACATCAACAGTATAAATGTGTCCTCTTTTTTGATGTGAACATGAAACATAAAGATAACACAAAGTCAAAACGAAACAGAAGTGGTATAAATAAACAGAAACACTTTCTTGAATCATTTAAATTATTTGCTAAAGAAAACTGTATTCTTTCCAGCCACAGTTTAACCAATGGGACCTCTGATTTTGTCCAGAACATTACATTTCTTTTCTGAATGAAAGCTATAGGTGACACTTTAGGTTGGATAAAGAGAATCGAATATGCTAAAGGTGAGTAAAAATCCATGTATTCCCAAATTCATATATCACAAGAAAATAATCAGGAGGAGGCAGATTAATTCAGGGGAATTAGACTGTTATACATATAGATATATCTACTGTAGAGCCTACGATGCTGTGGATCCTAAACTCACCAAGAACTCAGAGGGGTTTGGTTAAAAAGGGACACTTGCAGACATAGTTGTAAAGTAGAGGTAAATAATGCAATATTGGTATACGATGCGATAATGGCAACAATTCTGGACAACACTTCTTCAGTGGAAGGACAGACGTAAATGCAGATATGTTTCACTGAAAAAATGCTGGATATAGGGTGAGTTCTAATCTGCAGCATAACTTAGAAGAGCTTGATTGCAAACATACTGTTGACCATCAGTAGTTGCAAGTGCATATTATTTATGTTTTTTTATGTAAGCAGGCTTGATAAGCATAATTGGTCTCAGGTGATTGTGATGCTCAGCAGTAGCAGCTCCACCCTCTCAGGAGGAGAGCACAACAGGAACGGAAGAGAACGAACAGGTCAAGAGACAAACAAAAAACACAACCACCCCAGGATCATATTTTAATGTTTTATTCTGAACTGATCAAAAACAGTAATGAACTGATATACACCACACTGATGAATGTTTCATGTATACCCATATCCAACGAAAAACAAATCTGAAAAAACTTGATATATTTCATTCATTAAATTCGCTGAGTAAACAAATTATATGTATTAATTACACACATACTGATGTTTTCAAGCCTTTATGACAGTCAAATGGTATTCTTTTCCACATGCAGCTAATAAAAACATATAATTTAAGATTAAAATATTACATCAGGGCTAGTAAAAACTTTTGAAACAGAAATATAAGCTTTATGAAAAGTAAGGTTAAAATCTGCTTAAAGTCACATTGAAACATACATTCTCATTTATTGAATATGAATGAAATGATGCAATGCAGTACAAATGATAGGAGATAATGTCACCTTAATTTTTCAGTACTTTTCATATTAGAAATCTTCTGATTACTGCTCTTCTTCACAGTATGTGTTTGAAGTGGATAATTTATAATCTATCTATAAAAAAGGTGTGTGTAATTCTGCCAAAAACCTGCAATGTGATTTTCTTTATAAATCTGGATGTTTGAAACATTTATATATAAAAAAAGGAAATTAAAGAAATCCTGATCTCACTAGTTTTACCTCACCGGTCCAGTCAAATAAGTTAAAAAAAAGCACACAAAAAAAAAACAGAAAACATATATTCAATTATACAAGTGATTGCTGATCTGCTAAATATCCAGTTGATTTCCATTGCTTGTCACTCTTAATTTCATGGTCAACAGACAGCATTTCAATATGAAAACATCAGCTGGATCAAATCCAAATTTCACAAAATATTAAGCCAATGACTTTTTCCTAATACATAGTAAAAAAAAAAGAAAAAGCAATGGTTATTGGGTGTTATTAGATGTTTTAAAATAAGTCATTTTCACAACTGTATGTTTAATGCAGGGTTAGTGCAGAAGGATTATTTAAATTCTAAGCTTGCCTAAACATAAAAAAGTGAAATAGCCATTTTAGTTAACATCAAACTAATTTATTCAATTTAGCTGCAGAAGTTTAAAATTTTAGCCCGTCAGAGGTGTACAGTCATGTTTTTTCACTTTGTATGTACACATCCGTAAAAAGCATGAGAGAAAACCTGGAGGGTTTTTTTTTTTATCATAAATTGTCTCATGGCACTCTACACTCTCTGTTTTAAACAATATTATATAAGGATGCATACATAAAAATGATAAAAGTTACTGAAAATACGAACATTATTACAGATAATTCCACTTTATTTTACCATGTCCTTAAAGCAGTGGTTCCCAAAGTGTGGGGCGCGCCCCCTAGGGGGAGCGCAATGCCATTGCAGGGGGGGCGCAGGAAGCGGTATGGATGAATGAAGAAAAAAAAAAAAAAAAAAAGAAAAAAAAACAGCGCTTGCTTGACTGAGCATAATGGACAGTTGTGACACTGTAACCCAGATTTGAGAAGATCTACAGCAAAAAGCAGGCTCACTACAGCCACTGAAAAGATGGGAGGATTAAAGTACAAAGAAAAAACTCTCAGGGAGCTGTTCAATGTTTTCACTCCATTTTGCACAGAGGCTTTTTTAATGTATAGATTATAGCAAAGTTAAATATTGTTACAAATAAAAAAAAAAGAAATATGTTTAAAATAACACAGACAACAAAGAATCCTCTTCTAATCTACAGTATAGAACTATGAAAAAAATACAGTTACACAAAAGTGTTCCACTGTAAAGATGGTGTAGTTTGTTTTGTTGCAACCTGAAGTGTGAAATAAACTTAAGTGGAGTTTGAAAACAAAATATGTGTGTAGGTTTATTATATCTGGTTGAACGATGTGTGTGCCCAGTTTATTCTTTTTTTTTTTTTTTTTTTTGGGGGGGGGGGGGGGGGGGGGGGGGGGGGCGTGGAGATTTTATTGTAATCCAAAGGGGGGCCCAGAAGAAAATCTTTGGGAACCACTGCCTTAAAGGTTTGTGAATTTGATGGATAAAATTGTTATAGATATAAGCAAAAAAATAAAAAAAAAATAATAATAATAATATATATATATATATATAATTTTATTGTTATATATATAAGCAAAATATATATATATATATATATATATATATATATAATAGGTAATAAAGTACTTGACATTGTGTTTCTTTTCAGTCAGTAATTTCGCTTTCGGTGGGACAAGGGTGGCCAACCACCGCTGTTGCCTTCAGTATCAGATTCTGTAGCTGCGCCCCTGGTTGTGCCTAATTTAGCAGCTGCGCGGTCACGTGACGCTGGCTGTCAGCTGATGGAAACGATCAGTTTCGCCTGGAAAGTTTCGTGCTCCTTAAAATCAGCCTTCGCACTGTCATAGTTGATTGAACGAGGTGTGCAACTAAATCAAACATCGGATATAATGCTTAAGTAGAGCAGCGCCGTCCGGGTCTGGAAGCGGGTCACTGATTAGGTTTTGAGTGCACGTGCGTTGTGAATCTATTAATGGAAAAGACGCAGGAAGATCTGCTTCTTCTTTATGCTGAAGAGGGAGATTGTTCTCTTCTCCAGAAGCTGCTTCTTTCAAGTATAGACAAAAACAACTCGCTTGACATTAATTACAGATGTAAGGGGGTGAGGGGGGGTTATAGCTGCCATGACTTCATGTGGGAAAAAGCCTCAATTTTCTTCCTTTCCATTACAGCCAGATCTAAAAGCACATTGGGATGGACAGCCCTTCATCTGGCCTGTAACTCTGGCCACAGGGATGTTGTGAAGGAGTTACTCAAGGTGATGTTAATACAGAGCAGGCTTTACTCTGTGCTGCATGCAATAAGCTCAGCCATAGAAATGTGCTACAATGGATACATTTACAGGCAGGTGTGGATGTGAATTTGCAGAACAGCATGGGTGACACCCCTCTGCACATAGCTGCATGCATTGGAAGAAAGGTATGACATTCATTTGTTTAGATTTCACTAAGAATGATGGCTATTGAGAAGAGAGGCTTGGTCAGTTTGAACTATTTTTGTATTCCTCTTTTTACTCTGAAGGAGATTGTTCTTCTGCTGCTTCGGTATGATGCCTGTTCCAGTATAATTAATGCAACAGCTAAAATCCCCAAAGAGGTCACAGAAGATGATGAAATCATTACCATGCTGGAGGGTATGAAAGCATAGACCACCATTGTTTTCTACAATATCTTGTTATAAGATAGGTTTTTATTACCTGAAGAATGTAACACCAAAAACACTGACACACACGTGTATATATATATATATATATATATATATATACACACACACAGGTGCTGGTCATAAAATTAGAATATCATGAAAAAGTAGATTGATTTCAGTAATTCCATTTAAAAAGTGAAACTTGTATATTATATTCATACATTACATACAAACTCATATATTTCAGATGTTTATTTTGTTTAATTTTGATGATTACAAATGACAACAAATGAAAATCTCAAATTCATCATATCAGAAAATTAGAATATTACTGAAGACCAATAAAAACAAAGGATTTATAGAAATGTTGGCCAACTGAAAAGTATGAACATGAAAAGTATGAGCATGTACAGCACTCAGTATTTAGTTGGGCCTCCTTTGGCCTGTATTACTGCAGCAATGCGGCGTGGCATGGAGTCGATCAGTCTGTGGCACTGCTCAGGTGTTATGATAGCCCAGGTTGCTCTAATAGTGGCTTTTAGCTCTTCTGAATTGTTGGGTCTGGTGTATTGCATCTTCTTCTTCACAATACCCCATAGATTTTCTATGGGGTTAAGGTCAGGAGAGTTTGCTGGCCAATTAAGAACAGGGATACCATGGTCCTTCAACCAGGTACTGGTAGCTTTGGCACTGTGTGCAGGTGCCAAGTCCTGTTGGAAAATGAAATCTGCATCTCCAAAAAGTTGGTCAGCTACAGGAAGCATGAAGTGCTCTAAAACTTCCTGGTATGTGGCTGCGTTGACCCTGGACCTCAGAAAACACAATGGACCAACACCAGCAGATGACATGGCACCCCAAACCATCACTGACTGTGGAAACTTTACACTGGACTTCAAGCAACGTGGATGAAGTGCCTCTCTTCTTTTCCTCCAGACTCTGGGACCTTGATTTCCAAAGGAAATGCAAAATTTACTTTCATCAGAGAACATGACTTTGGACCACTCACCAGCAGTCCAGTCCTGTTTCTCTTTAGCCCAGGCAAGACGCTTCTGACGCTGTCTGTGGTTCAAGAGTGGCTTGACACAAGGAATGCGACAGCAGAAACCCATGTCTTTCATACGTCTGTGTGTGGTGGTTCTTGAAGCACTCACTCCAGCTGCAGTCCACTCTTTGTGAATCTCCCCCACATTTTTGAAGGGGTTTTGTTTCACAATCCTCTCCAGGGTGCGGTTATCTCTCTTGCTTGTACACTTTTTTCGACCACATCTTTTCCTTCCCTTCGCCTCTCTATTAATGTGCTTGGACACTGAGCTCTGTGAACAGCCAGCCTCTTTAGCGATGACCTTTTGTGTCTTGCCCTCCTTGTGCAAGGTGTCGATGGTCGTCTTTTGGACAACTGTCAAGTCAGCAGTCTTCCCCATGATTGTGTAGCCTATAGAACTAGACTGAAAGACCATTTAAAGGCTTTTGCAGGTGGTTTGAGTTAATTAGCTGATTAGAGTGTGGCACCAGGGGCCATCAATTTTGAACCTTTTCACAATATTCTAATTTTCTGATATGATGAATTTGAGATTTTCATTTGTTGTCATTTGTAATCATCAAAATTAAACAAAATAAACATCTGAAATATATGAGTTTGTATGTAATGTATGAATATAATATACAAGTTTCACTTTTTAAATGGAATTACTGAAATCAATCCACTTTTTCATTATATTCTAATTTTATGACCAGCACCTGTATGTATGTATATATATATATATATATATATATATATATATATATATATATATATGTATATATATATATGTGTGTGTGTATGTAGATAATTAAGATTAATTGATTTAGTAATCGATTGACCGTTAAATGGAGTATATAGACTCTAAGACATGCCTTTAGCTGACAGCAAACCAGGGGCAGAGCTAGATGGGGGGCCAGGGGTGGCCATGGACACCCTAAGCCAATCATTGGCCACCCCTACCACTTTTCCCCTCTAATACAGACAGTGGCAACAGTAGTACTCTCAAGTGGAATATTCAAACCATTTTCATGTATTAACATTTACTTGACAACAAAGACAATGTGGTTAATTATGCACATAAATATACTGAAATTAAAGTTAAGTATATAATTCATGCTCTTTTCAGAACTAGATTTATATGGGGTAAAGAGAAAATTATCTGTTTCTGCAAGTCATCTAGGAGTCTTCAGGGACGTCATAGATGAATAGCTATTTTAATAAAAACATTATAAAATCAATGTATGTAGATATTTTTACTTGTAAATTTTTTTTGCAGAATTGGTATTGATAAAACTAAGTAATCACAATGGAAACGACGTTTGCCCCAAAAATTAAAGATGAATGAATTGTTTTCCCTATATACACGTCTCTGTGTTAGCAAAGGCTGTAGGGAAAAAAAGTTTGTCTTCATTTAGAAAATATGGATATTGTGCTCAATAATTCTCCTGTTGGAACAGTGTAGCTTAACCCAGAGGTTCTGGCGCCTATCCACTTTCGGTCAACCCTCAACATACATTGGTTATTGCCTGGCCACCCTTAAAAAAAGGCTACACCTCTGCAGCAAACCACAGAGAGATGTCATTCTATCAAAACTGTAATAAAATATATAAACATTTTGCATTTATGATAAAAAAAAAATAAAATAACTTTTCATTTGTCAATATGCTCTATCAGGAACTCGTTTCACCTGGTTTAATTTCATTAAAAAATCTTTAAGGAATCTTTAGCTATCGGAAAAATCATTGACGGATTAATCAATTTGCAAACTAATCTTTAGCTGCAGCCCTTTATATATATATATATATATATATATATATATATATATATACAGAAAGTTTTAATGCCTAGTGAAACATCTCTATTCAAAGCATCTTGAATTTCTACTAAGCACATTTTAAACCAAATTATTAATATGTTGTAAAAGGGGTCAACAAATTAAGTAACAAAATTATAAGTCATTACCTTATTAATTAAATTGCTATGTTGTGCTGCTGGTGGAATTTAATTTATGTTTTTTTTTATTTGAAATCTGCAATAAAATTAGTTTTAGTTAAAGATGTTTGTCTGTTGAACAAAAGTATATCTTCTTTTAATCAGGCAATTATTTGAGAAACTACCTGAAAGAATAATATTTTTCTAAAATAATCGAAATCCACGGAGTATGGATTCATTTCTCATTACATAAGCTGTCTTTGTTCTCATGTGCTGTTTGCCCTGTGCAGCTGCAGAAAGGAGGGAGATGAGGCAGAGAGAGGAAAGGCTTCTGGAATCTGCTAGAGAAGGGGATCTCGCCACTCTGTCTAAACTGGTTAGCATCTGACCTCCCTTAGATGTTTTGAATAATATATCATGGGTGAAGAGGGCTTTTTAAGTATTATTGGCATAAATGAAACTTACAGTAATATGTTTGTTTCATTCTTTGTTTTTATTTTTTTGTTGCAGATTTGCTCACAAAGACATTTACTCTAATTTGATACTGCCCTCTAGCACAGAGTTTTAACGGATCTCCTGTCTATCAGCAAGTTTACGAAAAACAAGATCATGTTTATCAATTAATCTTTCTTAGCTGAATTAAACTTTACCTTTCAAACCTCAGAATTGGTTCAAGACAAGTATTCTCTTTCTGTATACATTTCTTTTAAAATTGAAAATGAAAAAAGAAAAATATGAAAGTTGTATTTTTATTTTATTTTTATTTTTACTAACCTCTTACCTTCTATGTTAAGCTCAGTGCTGAAGAGGCTCCTGATGTCCACTGCAAGGATTCACTTGGAAATACGCCATTACACTGTGCAGCCTACAGGGGGCAGAAGCACTGCATTATCAAACTGCTCAAGTTTGGAGCCAGCCCAAATATTAGAAACAGCAATAGTAAGCATCTGACCTTTTTTAGCATGTTCTGTTTTTGGGAGCAATTAACTCGTACAGTATTGAATATTTTTTATGTAATTTTTAAAGTGGCTGTTGTACATAACTTGTTTATAATGCTGTGATGTTTGTTTCTATTGCTGATTTGGTAGATCAGACTGCACGGGACTTGGCTCAAACAGATGAACTCAAACAGATGATGGCGGCCAATCAAGTTCAGGTGGGATCTAACAGTTTTGGACCTCTAGTCCAAAGAAAAAGAAGAACATTCCTAGAAAAGTTGATGGATTGTTACATTGTGTGTTCATCTGGACCATGACAACTACACCTCAAAGATCTATTCAGAGACCCATGGACACTCTAGAGAGGCTGCAGTAATCCACAGTTCTGCAGGAAGATAACTATTAGGCATCCAGTCTACAAAGCTAGAGGAGTCTACAGATGATGCATGCCATGTAGAGAAAAGAGCAATTATTTAGAGGGTAAATCCTAACTTTCTGGCTTTCATAAAATACTTGGCAAAAAGTAAAACTGCAAACACTGGAACACACCATTTTCAAAGTAAAAGAAAATGGTGGCAACTTGATTCTAGTAGAAAGCCCATTCCACCATCAGAGGCATGTAAACCGGTTGGCTGAAAGATAGATGGAACTGAAAACAGACAAATCCTGGAGGAAATCCTGTCTGTCAGAGTGAATACAATTGAAGTCTGTGGCTACAGTGTAGCAAAATGTAAATACAATACAGCCATGCGAATTAACTGACCCATTATGTGTGCAACAATGTTCCCCAGTCTGAAGCCTTTTGCATGTTTTCCAAAGACTTGATCCTGTGAACTAAGTTTGAATATTTCTTCACCTCATGATGGGTGGGTTTATAAAATCAACACATTTTCTACACTTCTCTTTTATTTCTTATGGCGTTCTCTTGGGCTCTGGCTATGCAGAACAGTCTTACAGCTCAGCGGTCTCTGCATTTGCATAAAAATGATCCATATTGGAATCTGATATTCCCTGAGCTGTTAAGAAATGTAAACAGTAATAACTGTCTGTTACCCTTTTGGAGTTCTTGTTTTTCAGGATGTAAGCTGGGGTGTGCAGAAGGTTGAGGGCGCTCTCTGGAAGGTACACAGATGTCAAAGTGGATTTTATCATCTCATGTCTTGATTTACTCTGTGATGTGCACTCATTTGTTCAGTCACAACAAATAAATGGAAAAACAGAGGCCTAATATTGTGGTGGGACCTCTTAAATTTTCAAAAGACCTCTTACGGTAATCTAGATTACTTCAATCAAATTTGTGGTAGTTTTTAATTTTCTTTCATTCTTTTTTATTTATTTATTTATTTATTTGTTTAGGACTATGCATCCAAAATATAAAAAAATATACCTTAATTTAGTCTGTAAACAGTAAACTTACTATTAAGAAAATATCCTGTTTTTAAATTTGGGCTTATGTAACAACAGATTTTCTAACAGAATATTTTCTTTATATTTTGATTTACTTTTCATTTTTAACATTTTATTTTAATCCTGGATATTAGCAGAGCTGTATAGATGCGTTAATATTTAGAAGATCTATGCACCTTTTTTGTTACAGTCTGACAAATAAGACAAGGGTTTTCCCAAGATGATGATGTTTATTACCACCTCTAAAGTCAAAAGATCACTTTCACTGATGGGTTAGTTCAGTTTTTAAGGTGTTTCCTTCCTTGTATATCAAGTTATGAAATTTAATGAAATCAGCGAACAAACACAATTTGTACCTAAACATGTAACTGAAGTGTTTATACCCTATATACAATGGATGTCCAGCCATTGTGCTGTTGATTATTGAGACAGGTTCTATTTCACAAAGAATTGCGTCTTTTGGTGGAAAAATGTCCACATAAAACACAGGAATAAAAGAAAGAAGTCAATTGTCTTAAAGCAATGTAGATCCTATTTTGTAAAGGCAATCAGAAAAAAAACATCCTATTTTTTAGAGACATGGTTTGATAAAACTACAAGCAAATTCTTTAGCCTAAATTATCAACATTGAATTGAAGGAAAAAAGATTGAAAAGTTCAAGAAAACACTTTACCAAACCTAAGTTGGTCCCATCAGCTTGGCAGAATGGCTCAAAAGCTAAACCAATGTTCAAAATAGATTAAAATGCTTTTGATTATCACCTAACTTGGAAAAATACAATTTTTAGTCTTGTTTAATTGTCAGACAATGATTAAAAATGTGGATGCAAACATACACTGTATGTTTACACAGAGACTGCTGTTTTAACTGGTTCATAAGTATCAGGAACCTCCGTGTCAGTGCTTGGTATTAATTTGTTTACATGACGCATAACGGAAAAACATTCCCTTTAAAAATTAATTTGGACTTATACAACTTTTATTTTCATTTTGTATACACAGTGTATACGGAACAATATTTCTTGTAGTAAAGCTTTTTCAAACGGTAAATGGACATTTACATTCCATAAAGTGCATAAAAGTGATCAAATGTAAACAGTGTGGGAGAAAAAACAAAAAAAAACAATTATATGGAACATCAAAGCATTAATATAAATGGTGCAAATATGCAGTACTTATAAATGTCCAACCCACTGCTTGGATAGCTTTTTTAAGTTTGGACCTCATGAGAGGCGTTTCCCAAAAATAGATGTTTAAATTATTGCTTTGCAGGCTGTTATTGACAAACCTCTTTCCAAACAATTCCTGGTTACATTTGCCGAAGTTGTGAGCCTCTCTTTATTCCATTTGCCCTCGAAAAAACTAAAAAATCTCTGGTGGTCTTTTAGACTTTAACATTTCTTCAGTGCAAATGTATGAATGAACATTAAATTTTGTAAGTTCAATACTTTTTTTTTTTTCATAAAGAAAAGGAAAGCCTTCTTAGGAAATATGATCTGAAGTTCTTTAGATAATTATTTATTCAAGGCACCTCTATTTGAACTAGAAAATCCAGGTTAATTAGTTTTTGGTTAAAAACCTATTTTTCTAGATGCATATTTTTTAAAGTTCTCATACCATTCAACAAAAATGCGTTTGTCCCTTAGGAGCAATTTTATTAAATTCATACATGCTTGCAGTTTTATTGCTTGACTTATTTTGTCTTTTACAGAGTTCACGTTTTCTTGGGTGGCGATCTCACTGGGTTGTCATTGAAAATGGAACGATTTCCTGGTACCCCAGACAGTGAGACGGCTTACTTTAATGCATACAAACAACAATACAGTGAATTTTATGAGTAACTCAATAAATGATGGAATAAATTTGCACCTTTACAGAATAAGGTTTTTTTTAAATTTCTTTTTAGAGCTGATGCACGAGCAGGAGTTAGAAAACAGGGGTGTAAATCTCTTTCACAAGCCTATTGCATGGTGAGTAGCAGAGGTTAGATCCTTCCTGTTTTCTCTGATGACTATACAATCATACCCATCTAAAACGTGCTTCACTTATCATCACACTACCTGCTTTATATTTGACTTCTTTTGCGTTTTGTCTTTTTAAGGTGAAACCATGGGATCACTGCTTCTTCATGCTCAGGTGCTTCGACGACACTGTGCATAATTTCAAGGTGCCCTCAAAGATGGACTCCATAGCAACAAGGAAGGCAAGATAAAACAGTCTATTTCTGTCTATTCCTCTGCAAACATAGCTGCATGAACAGACTAATAGTTTGATATTATTGGGACTTGCCTGCTCAGAGATGGCTTGATGCTTTGGACCAGCATGCCTCGTACAGCACTCATCACTTCAACCAAGACCAGATTAAAGCGGATGCAGGTCGCGGTGGTGACGTGGAAATGAAGAACCTGACACAAGCAGCTCAGGTCAAGTAAAAATGGAACTAAAGCTATGTTGAAAAGTTTTGAAGATAAATGTTTAGATTCAAATTTATCTATTTGTAGAAATATTAGTCATTTTTGTTATTATTACAACAATAACATGAACCATTCTTTAAACCTTTCTTATTGTGGGTTGTACATACATTAAAGTTTGCAAGGAGCTGAGCATGCATCCGTTTTTGTTCTTTGCAAATGGCCTCATTGCTAATTTAATTGATTGTCCTTTGCTTTTACAGGCAGCTAAGGCCTGCCAGCAGAAACTGGAGAATGAAGTGTCAATATTTGAGTCCATGGTGAAGAACGAGGAGCATTTTGGTAAGAGGGACATAAATCCAATACAGTACAAGTAGTGTTTTCCAAAAATATACATATATACATGAAACTACTAACAGGGCTTTAATAATTTATGCCACCCACAACCCAAACCATTTTTTGCACTCCTAACCATTTTAGATTTATAAATAATTCAGTTTTGTGCTGCCATTATTATTTTTCCCTCAGCTGTCAAAATTATATCTTTAATTGTCACATTATGCCCTGGTCCAAATTCGTTAAAGAAAGATAAGAAACTGTCATTCATTTTTATATCTATGGTGTCAGACCGGAAATGAGTTCAAAGCCATTTATAAATCTATGCGACTTCAGTGGCCCACCAGAAGTATTCCAAGAGTGCATTGATGTTTACTTGCAGAAACAAGACGGATATCTAAAATCACAGCAGGTCTTCCTTCCTTGGGGTCTCTTTCATCAACATGAAAAAGAGTTTTTAAGGCCTGCTTGGGTTATGTAGCACAACAGAGAGCTGAAGCACACATGTAGATCCAGAGCTCAAATAAACAAATTCACATTTTGGAATCCCAAATTCAAACTGTGAACTTCAATCAATTAAAGATACTGTGGCTTATGTTGATAGGCTATTCAACCTCTCCATTTCTCTCCAGCAGTCATTGGGGGAAGGATGGGGTACACTCTGGACTGTTTGCTAAGAACTAAAGTGACTGTAGTTTTTTTTTTTCCTCCAAGCAATTCCCAATCTAAACAAATTGGATAAGTAAAACATTTGTATTTTTTTTTCTGTTTTAACTATTTTTGCAACTCTTAATAGTAATTAAGTGTTTTGGTGGGGAGTGTTGGCCTAGTGGGCTAGGGCAGCGTGCCTGTGCTCCAAGAAGGTTGCAAGTACCCGGTTTAATCCATATAGCCTTCACTCTGGGTTCCTGAGCTAAACCCTTAACCCCTGATTGCTCCACAATGGTAGCCCACTGCTCCCCAAGGGGGTGGGTCAAAATCCAGAGAACAAATTTCCCCAGTGTGGGACAATGGAGGGATTTACATTTTTTATTTTAGTTTTTAGTTTTTTTGTATATATATTAGTTTACCGGTGGAAAATATTCCAATAAGTCATTTTGTGACAATGATGAACTTGAACTGCATTAATAAAAACCCTCAATTTAAATCACTGCTGTTTACCTCAGCTGTTTAAGCAGTGATGCTAAGAATAATAGGACTCAGTGATTGATTATCCTATGGAACAGTTTTAAAAAGAGGAAAATACAAATTTACTTTTAATTTGGAAAAACAAAATGTTGCTCTTTATCCTTCTTAAAAGTTATATACTGTAGCCTGCACACATTATTAAATTAACTAACAATAAATTATAGATGTGCTTTAGGTTTTACTAAAATAATCGATTGGCATAAATTTAAGATATCAGAGTTTTTTATATAACTTTTTTTTTGCCAGGTTTGGACACACGTCTTCTACATAAAGCCAAAGAGACCAGCAAGCTTTCAAGTAAAACTTTTGAAGCTCTCCAACTGTGGTTTGAGCTGCTATCAAAACATGAAGAGGTAAGAATAACTTCATTAACCTACAGCTGCACCAACAAATATTCAGCCCTCACTGCAAATTAGATTTTCTGTCAAAATATAATAAACTAGCAGCTGTTCTTTAAAAAATAGAAAATAAAAAAATTAAAGGAAGAAATAATTAATCAAATGGTTAAGCACTAATAATATTGTCTGTAGTGTGCCATGTATCCTGTCTACATTAAGTATGTTCCTGACATTGAAAACTAATGGCTTTGTGGGCTTTTTGATCACCTTCAAACAAGTCTTTTGGCAGCTGTGCATTCTTCCTCTCTCTGCCAATTTCAGAGGCTGCAGCCACTACTCTTTAAAAAAAAAAGTGAAAGATGCTTCCAACATTGTCTTAAACACTGTATGGATTTTGATATTGTTTTGTGCCTCTTCACTTGTTGCTAAAGGTAATTACATAAAGTCTTTTAAACATCTCTTAACTGCAATATTTTATCAACAGCCCATTGTTTGGGTTGTTTTATCTCAAGCACACACGATGCACCAAAAATCTTTTATTCATTTGTTTTGTGCAAAGGGACAAAAGTAATTTAAAAGAAACCTTATTCTGTAAAGGTTCAAATTTATTCCATCATTTATTGAGTTACTGATAAATGTCACTGTATTGTTGTTTGTATGCATAAGTAAGCTGTAAGTAAAAAGTTGTTCCTGACCAAAGCTGATCTGCAGATCTTCTCTTCTGACAGGATGTCTTCAGCTAATTGAATAATTGTAATTGTAGTCAGTTCATGTAGAGTTTAGCTTTGGATTTAGATGAAATCCAGCTAAAATGATGTATAGTATTTAAACTGTGTAATTTGATTATTGTAAACACCTGAGCGATTTTTGGTTTTGTTATTGAACTTACTTGCAGTCATGGAATAATTTTAGGTGCAGCTGTATTTTCCTCTGGTTTGTATTTTAATATATCATTTTTACCATATCCATAGTCCCTTTTGCTCCAGAGAATGATATGTGTAGTGCATTGTGTCAGTCCCTACTTTATTTTTGTTCTGATGATGAAGTTAAATCTCGATTTCCAAATCAGAATCAAGGCTGTAGCTTCGTGAATTTTTATGAATCTTAATTTCATTGACTCTCAGCCCCACACTCCATATCCTCTTTTCTGATTGGCCAATGATATTAAACTGAATGATTACAAAATCCATAGCCCCCTCCCCCTCTTACGTTAGCTCTTTTGTGCCAATCAGATCTGTAATGTCTGTGCTTGCATTAACGTCACTGTCCACCTGTCTCAGTGCCTGCTCTCTGTCCTTGAGGGAGAGGGGGGGAGGGAGCGTTGGAACGGCGTGGTAATCACTGGCATGCCTGTAGGAAGGATGTGAAAGAGATCCGCATTTCTGCTTAGGTCTGCACTCTGCTTACTGATCAGTGCAGACAGATTGGCAGTGAAACCTTCAGACTTGGATCCACCACTCTCGTGCTCCAGGAAGGGATATTCCTGTACTGAGTGACGGAACTGGGGAGGGGTGTTTTCTATCTCACCCTTTGAAAACAAACCCTCGCAGAGATTCGTGCACATGCAAAGCATCCTAGAACAGGAGAAAGAAGAGGCAGTGACGACACTCTCATCCTTAGACTGCACAGGTACAGGACTCTGTTGTTTTTGTGTAACATTTTCACTTTGCCTTTGGTTATTAACTGGGAAACTGTGTTTACTGTAGGCAGATCCCTTTAGACTTGGTGTGACCTGTTTTGAAGTTCAGCCGAGATCTTTATGAATTTTTCCGTCGTGATTTGGTCTAAAGTGTGGAAAAAACCGAGGGCTATTCATCAGTAGGCGAAGGTCATTTCTGTAAATTTAATTATCCATATTCAATGTGATGTATTTGATGGTTAAGAAGTGCTGCTTTTTGCTTCTCTTCTCGTTTCATCTTTTTTAATGATATCATGCCATTAAGTTCAAGTAAGAGGGGCCAACAGGCATGGATGGAAATAGCTTTGAAGGACTTATTAGGCAGAGTTCTTCTTAAAGATCTGCTTTTATCATAAAGCTTTTAATTGTTTGAAAAAGTAAGCTTTGCTTTTGAAGTTTTTTTATCTTTATTCACTTCATCAAATGGTCCAATTTTTTACTGATGGTAATGACATCTTTTATTGCATTGATCTTAGAGCTCATTTAAATAACTCATCACCTCTTGCAAGAGACCTCTAAAATCCATCAATATGTGTTATATGAAATGATTGTCACCAGAAATCACTAGTTGTTATCAATAAATTGGGGCTGAAGACGTCCACTACTGGCTCATTAGCAGAGAAAATCTTTTTTTAAGACCTTATGAAAGGACAGGGAAGAATATGTCTTAACAAGCGTGCAAAATCCTCTCCTCTACTATAGGCGCTAACTGGATAATCGGATTATGTTTCCACCACTGCTGAGATTGCCAGTATTAAGCAGCATTAGGTCTAATACAGCATTTTTATCTTTGCACCACTGATGGGTTTTTATTGGTGACAGTTATAAATGTACCGTATTATTAAGATAGGACAGAAAACAGCAACATGGACCATGTTGTGCTGCACTTTGACTTCTGGGAATTTTAGTAGTGGAGAGTCAGCTCTTCATGGTTTCACAGCAGCGCCCCTCAGCATTGTTGAAGTGACCTATTTTAACAGCTGCTGCAGTGTACAAGTACAAATGCATACAGTGTTTTGGTTTTCTTAGAAGTAACTATGTGATACTCGGTGAGATGAGGATCCATTTGATCCATCAAACAGGTGGAGAGTTAAGTCAACCATGTCTGCCTTGACTCTGATCTGCAGGTAAACCTCACTTTATCTGTTCTACTCATACTTGAACTAACAATGTATTCTTTGAACTCTATAAGGGCCACTGAGGAAATACGTTTCTTTTTTTTGTTTTTTGCATGAATTGGGAAAATTTTCAAATTCTTTCAGCTTTATCCTTCTAAATACCAATTTTGTCAAAAAAAATCTTTTCCATTTTAAAATCCTTTCAAAACAACAGAAAAACTAAAACGGTGATACCTTGATTCTCATAAAGAAAATTTTTCTAATAAAGAACATTTCTTAGTCTTATACAAGCTGACGTTCAAATTTACAAGCCCCAGCCATCAGCCGCTGTGTGTTTTGACAGCTTTTACTGATTTATAGGCCCAAGCTTTCTGAGTGCTCATCTGGCAGTACGCTCTCACAACTGTCAGGGTAAGAAAAACACGCAGGTTTATTGCTTGACTGTGCATAATGATCTCCTGTGTACGAGCAGACTTGACAGTATAAATTCCTTTAAAACTACAAGAATAACAGTAATGTATCTTTAGGACAGAGGTTACTAAATTGCTTTGGCATTTTATAAAAGAGTTGCAATTCAAAGGTCCTGATACTATAACACCAGCTATTTAAATCTTCACTAGACATGTACGGATGAGTTTAGGGTTTTTCTTGAACTATTTTGATATTTCTTTTGGTAAAATGTCTTTTTCTTACTGAACCTGGAATTCAGTGAGCATTTGAACTGCTCGAAAAAATAACAAATAGTAATTTCTAATATTGAAAAGAGAATCTCCTACATATTAGAATAATCACAAGGGGCGTGTAAATAACACGCCTAACAGAGTTACCATTGGGTCTCTAATCCTGAATAAGGAATGTTTATGGAGGTGAAGATTCTCAGTCATCCAGGTCATAGTCATTCCAAAAAAGTGGGGAAAAAAACAATCCAGTGGACTTTGTTTCCAAGTTCAAAGACGCTTCGCTTCCCATCCAGGAGTGTTTATGGAGTGGCGAGGGTGATGGTGCCTTAGGATGTAACGAAGCCCCCCTCCACCTGTCTCCATCATTGTGCCATCAGTGTAAAGCAGCTTCGCTTTTGTCAGTTTGCCCCAGGACAGCTGTGGCTACAGCATAGCCTGCAACCATCCGCGTGTGAATGACTGAATGTTGTGTAAGGCACTTTTGGGTGATAAATTATATAGAGCTTTCTAAGTGCAGGTCATTTACCATTTTTTAAATCTGATCCTTTGTGGAGTTTAATCTATGTTGTCTGAATATATACTCGTACAGAACTACTTAATCTCACTTTGTTTAACCTAGTACCACAGCTGAGTTGAAGCAATTATGCTTTGGAGATCTTCCTTGTCCCTACACTTAGGGACAAGCACGATAAATTCTCTTCCCCTTAGGGTGTTGGGCAGGGAGAAGCATCCCTCTCAGTGACGGCACATAGCCATAGGCCTTCTTAAAATAGCACAGTGTGTGCCCAGCAGAGGGGATGGAGTTAGAAAAAAGGAGCTGGCTGAGATGGTTGCACAACAGTGGATGGGCCCTTGTGCCAAGTGGCTGGGACAAGAAGTGTTAACACCCACTATACCACAGAGAGATGATTAACTGCATCTCGTCCCACTTATGGAAAATGGCTTTGAAAAATAGCCTTTGCATTTAGTCAAGTATCTTTCTCCTGTTCTCTTACAGTGCAGAATTAGCTTAAGAGATTTGAGTCTGGATTACAGGAAACATTTCCAGAATATATTCCCCAATTCCATTCTGCTATTCATCCATCTTTTTCTCAGCCCATCGTTAGGTTTATTTATTCATCCTTCTATCACTGCTTTCATTCTATCGTCAGCCCTTTCTGCTTCTATCTGTCCGTTTACTCAGCCAGCAATCAGGCATCAGTCTATGCAATGTATACATCAATAATCCATCAGTCTTGGATTTGCCTATCTGGTTATCCACCTGTTCTTTGACCCAGTCATCTCTTAAAGCCATCCGTTTTTCCATTCTTTCAGCATTTTTTTCTATCTGTCTTTCCGTCTGTGATTTATGAATTATTTTAACCTTTAACTTCATCAATCCATTGATCTTTAACTCCATCTGTCCCTAAATGATCTAACAGTCTTGTTTTTTTCTGATTCCATTGTTAAAACCTGTATACCGTAAATATCTCTACTATAACACTCTACTCTACTCTACTAATGTCAGTGAGCAGATTGTGTTAGTTCACCTGCTGGTGGTGAGCCCTTTATCTCACCGGTGGCCTGGTGCTTACAGGTGTGGAGCCTGAAGGTAGAACAGGAGGAGGAGAAGAACAAAGCTCTGACAGAGGCCCTGAAGACTTTGGCTGCTGAGCACAACGAACTGAAGCAGTCTTTAAGTCTAAGCAGCAGGTCATCTACACACTGTCTCCGCTCCGAAGATGACTTCTATGATGCCGTGTCAGGTCAGCAACCTCTATACAGGCATTTAACCAGACAAACCATGGCTTTGCTAGGATAATGTTAACAATGCATTTTTGACCTGGAGATTTTAAATTACGGCTATCACAAAGTTGCATAGTTTGTCGGAATTTTCAGTGCGTTGCATTATTGAAATAAAAACATGTAGATTACAGCTGTAAAGTGCCGCTTGGATGATATACCTTGAAGGTTATTATTTCCTAATGTTGTGGGATCCTGCATCCTCCGTAATTCTGACAATTTGTTTTATTCATCTTAAATACTTTACAAGTTCATGAAAGTGGACATGAATCTACTGCCATAGCATGATGCTAAAACATTGTTTAGTCAATGGGCTCTTTTTCTTTTAAGATTTTGAGGATCTAGGGCATTTATTTTATTTTTGTTAGTGGGCAGAAAGGAAATGGTAGGAGAGAGAGGGGGAAGACATGTAACAAAGGTCACCGGGCTGGGATTTGAACCTATGACGGCCGCATCGAGGTCCAAAGCCTCCCTGCATGGGTAGTGCACTTAACCCTAGTGCCACCGCCACAACAAGTCAATGCTTTTCTATGCTGGTGTTCTATGTTATCATTACTTTTAACTCTGGAGCTTCAGTGGAGTGGTATTGCGATAAGTCTCCCACTAGAATTTCATTGACTGCCTGTATGTGTGCTGGCATGGGCACTGGGTTCATTAAATCCCAGCCAAAGTTCAATATGGTGATCCACACCCTATGACCTAACTTTGCTTTTCTAATGGCTTCAGAAATGGTCTTACGGCTTTATCCTGTTTTTTTTTGTTTGTTTGTTTTATATATTTTTAGATCTCATGCAATCAATAAAATCAGATGCACATCTTTGTAAGCATGCGATGGTTTCAAAATAAGAGCAGTCTAACATATCTGATAAAGGCAGATTAATCAAACTGAAATTGGCAGAAATGGCAGATAAATTACTAATTATTAAACTATTTATTTACACATTTCCAACATCTGTGTAAATAGTATGAATCCAAGGCATGTTTACTCAGTTATTATACTCCCAGAGTTGTATAATGGTTAAACCCTAATGCATATTTACCTGTTTTCTTCATCTATATATATGTTCTTTCCTTGAATCTGTGTAATAACGATATACAAACCATACAAGTGTAAGGACACGCTCAACTAAGATTAGCATAATTCTCCTGCATATAAATAGATGACTATGCTCCTGTCCTTTATATTTGGAACAACACCTTCTAAAGCACAGAGTGAGTGCGGTGTAAGTGAGAAGCACCCAATTGTTGGAGAGAAAACAAAGAAAGAGGAAATGAAGCCTCTGTTCCCTCCTATTGGAACATAATCCTCAGGTGGGGTTTAGTTTGTAGGCGGAGAGGAGCTCCAACATGAGCTCTTTTTTTATTTTTGGAGTGTCTGCGGTTTAATCAGCCATGAGCAAAACATAAGCCAACTATCAAAACCCATTTTTGTAAATATTTGGTTTAAAGTGTCATCTGCTTCCCACTCCTGCCAACACTCATCCTCACAGAGTCTGAATCGGAGCTTTCTGTGAGCGGCTTCTTGTCTGTGGCTAGTTACTCCTGGGACGAGGACGAGGGTAGAGACACCCCTCTACAAAACAGCCTCCATCATCCCAGTGCACACCGTTGGGCTGTCGGCATGTCAGGGGAGGGGAACGATGGCAACAAGGCTGCCCGGCACAACGGAAGGAAGCACAGGTAGGTCACACACCTGTTTGGATGTCATGCTTCATTTTTAGTTTCAATCTTTCATGAATTTTCAAGTACCAAAAATTTGGTTTTGAATGCCATTTAGTGCAGAGTATTTTAAAAGTGTATTGCTTTCAGAATTCTTTATGGATGTAATTCATTCGCCACGGTTGCAGTAAGGAGATGCAGTTTTTCCGCAAGGTCTATCTTGGCAATCATATTTTATCTTATTTTTTCTTGATCCATAGAGAATGGTCTTTTTTCTGTGTGCATTACAGTAGCTCTGAGTAAACAATCATTTTTGCTTTGTTGGTCAGAATGTGTTATTCCCATAATATCTGTTTTTTTGTCTTTCCTCATTAAACAATGGATCCCTTAATAATTCAGCTTGTTTTGGTTGAAAAAAGACATCATTACAAAGATCGTATCATTACGAGTGCTTAGCTGTGTGTTTATTAGAGATATACTGTATAAAGGTTCTGTTTATTTTGCAGTGCATGATATCCATTATTCCATCCATCTTCTACCACTTATTCATCAGGGTCAATGAGGGCTTATTTTTTTGGTTTCATGTCATTAAAGCAGATCTAAAAGAGTAAGTTACAGTTAATATTATGTAACTTCAGTAAATGCATATAGGGTAGAGGGTTGATAAACAACAAAATATTTTAAAAAAATAATAATAATAAATAAAGTAAATCTCTCACAATAATGGGTCAATTAATTTAGTTCTAAACCAACTTTTAATATATATTAAATATATGGGAGAAATGCAGCCCTATAAAGTCATATTCTTTTAGTAAGCTAAAAACCCTCGTAGAGTAAAGCAAAGAATTCTGCAATCTTATTACTTCTTGAAGCTGAAGGAACTGGAACAAAAACTAGGCCAGGACTATGCTGCTATGCTTCACTGCCTCTTTCATCGTACAGATGGAGCAAAGCCCCTCCTTGCTTCCTGCATCTCTGTTTATTTAGCTGAAGTAAAGGCTTTGTATGTGCTTATTTTCCGAACAAGGACACCATCTGCCTCCAGCCAGCCAACCTGTAAAACAGTCGCTGCTACAGCCGGGCTGTTCAAGCAGAAAAGTGTATGATTTTGAATAGTTGTAATGAAGGGCTATGCAATCAGGAAGACCCATTTAAAAGGGTCTAGTATTTAAAAGTCTGTGTACACCCACTCACAGCTGAACATCCTCAGGGATTCGGCTGGATGGGTTTTACCTTTCAGGTGTCATATCACCAATGTAACCCCAATGGTGCCTATGAATTTTAAAATGCTCTACTGTTTTTTCGACCAAAACAATTGCACATGTGCTGCTTTCAAAACAATAAAATGTAGGCATACCTAGAAGTTCTTCACTCTTAAAACCATTCACATCACATCAACCCATTTTTTTTCAGATTTTTTTTAAACAAAAGCATTTTCCGCTGTCTGTACAGCCTCCATTAACTACTGCTACTTAATACATTTTTTCCAGTATGAATGTGTTGTGTAAATATGAAGCCATGTAATTCAGGTGAGAGCTAAGAAAATGTTTTATTAACAGCAGTAATCCAATTTCAGATCTGACTGGATCAGATCTAAAAGCAATTCTAAACTTAAGAATGGAATCTAATCGATTCTCAAAATTTTAATCGAAACTCAGGCCTATTTTTATTTTTTTACTTCTCCTTGTTTTCATAGAACATCTCTACCGGCTCCAATGTTCTCCAGGAATGATGTCAGCGTCTGGAGTATCCTGAAGAAATGCATCGGCATGGTGAGGGAGAGAAACCAGCTTTAGTTGCTTTTTTTAACTTTATGTACTCCATCTATTTAGGGTGTTTTAACATGGCTGTAATGTTGGTTTGGAAGTAGTAGACTATTTTACAAATCGATATTTCGATAATTTTGCATTTATACTATGGTTTTAATAATATGGCTTTTTTTTTTTTGTAGTCCACGAGTACCTTTGGTCATCCTTACAAAAACATGGGTAACGGCTTTCCAGCATACGATGGCAATTAGAAATCAGACCAGCTTTTGGGGCATTATTTCATCTACTAAATATTTATTTTTTTATATCCACGTTATAATCTTCAAGAGTGTTAAAAGAGGAGCAAAGACTTGCCTATAAATCAACCATTAGTTTTCTTTCTATACTTAAGTTTGGCAAATGATGAATTTCTATATCCTTAAAAATTAGTCTAAATATTTGACAGGTGGGTAATTTAATCTTCTTATGGGGTTCTCTTGCTCTTTGGTACAGGGATTTAGTCATTTTGCCAGTTTGTAAAAAAATCTGTTAATTTTACAGATTTAATTTCAACCTCTGAACACTGTGCCGTTTTAAATCTCAGATATCCTTTCCTTGTTTCTTCCATCCTCCTTTTATCTGTAACTGGAAGGCAAAATTTAAAAGACTTATGAAGCCTGAGGCAGTCTTTATGGTCTGTGAGAGTTGGGAGCAGGCTGGATTTAACTTGGTGCAAAATGTGTATCTGATCTGTTACAGTCTTTAGGTTCCACATTAACAGTACAGAGACTGAAACATGCAAACGTTTCTGTTCTGAACTGTAAAAAAAACTGACCAGTTATGCTCCAATAGCTGCACATTAGTCCCTGGTTATGTAGACATGTTTGATATTAGGTCTGGCTAATTAGCTCCTAAACAACACAGGTTATATGGGTGGTATTGACATGGCCATTTATGTGTTTCACTGTCAGCTGAAAGTTTTGGTAGACATAAAGATAGAGCTCTAATGTCCTGTACTGTATCTAAAGCATATTTAGTTTTGTTTTAGGGGAGTGGGGGCCTAGTGGTTAGGGCGTTGCGCTTGGAATCCAGACGTTCTGAGTTTAAACCACACTCCCACAGACTGCCACTCTGGGTCCCTGAGCAAAAGAACTTAACCCCGCTCTGCTCCCTGGGTGCCACACAATGGCAGCCTACTGCTCCCCAAGCGATGGGTTAAATGCAGAGAGTGAATTTCATTGCTCTCTACTTGTGACAGAACAATGACAACAACAAAAAGAGAGCTGGTTTTACTCTACATTCACACATTTTCTTCCTCAAGTAATTTTTTTCTGGAACACTTGAAAAAAGTATGTAAGCCGTGTTGCAGGAATGTGTACTTGGGCGCCTAATTGTGGGGGAAAAATTTGGAAAATATCAAGCAGGTTTTTGAACCTTGCTAATTATTTTGATTGTGGTTGCTGCATTGCATTTACAGCTAGATGTTGTTAAAAAAAATAGTTTCTAGGATACCAATTTTGCTTGTGTGGGGAGCAATAGACTCGTGTCACTGCTACGGGTGTTTATCATTAAAAAGAAAATTCTTAATATGTGGTCCTGTGAACAATTGTCCTTTAGGCTGTGATGTTAAGGAAACGGATGAAAGAGTGATTTGAGTGAAAGTATTGTCAAACAGTGAACTCAACACAACGAATAACATGTCAACAATTTCTCTTCATAATATAAGAATTTATTAGCAAAAAAGACCAAACCCCAAAGGTAAACATTATTTGTTAAAAACTGAACTGAGATTAAGAAATTCAACTAACTAGAGCACAGATAGAATGAAAAGGGACGAATAAAATTGGTTGAAAACCATTACCAGTTAAATAGTGCAAAGATGTCACTGCTTAGTACAGGTGAGATGTTATGTTTAAGAACCACCGCTTGTCTTAGATGATTTAGATGGAGGGTAATAAAAGCATTGAAACTCATTTAGAACAACTGGAATGTGTTCAAACCAATTAACAATAAAAATCAAAGAGGCACATAAAACAAGTGGGAGACTTAGCATGGTGCCCAACCCCCCCGACTGGGTTTGTCCAACTGGAAAGAACATCTTTATAGCCCAGGATGCTCCTACCTTTGGGATTTCCTGACAGGGAATTATTTCACCTACAGTGTGAGAGCATGGTGCTTTACCAGGCTTTGATCCTGTGGGGTACCAATAATCCACTTTCCTTCCCATATTCATCTCATGGCAATGAGGCACAGCATCACGCATCTGAACCGGCTGCTTTCAACACCTGCAAAGCATTTTCTAACAGCACAACAATGTGCCGCACAGTATTACACTTACAAAGCTGATTCAGATTTTTTCTGTTAATTTTAGTTTCCCTCCCACATGCCTTCAAACTGTCTAAAGAGATAATGTTTAGATGATGTGATATTTTTTTCCCTTTATTAGACCGTTTTATTGTTTGTGAAAGGGATCAAACCATTTCTATTCTATTTCTATTCTATTTTTCTTCTTAGTTTACAAATAAAGTATTACATTTCGTGAAATATTAAAAAAAGAATAGCATTTTAATCTATAAGGAATGATCATATTTTGGTAGATGAAAGGGAAAAAATTATTTACCATTCTGCTTTTAAAAAATAGTGGAGCTGTTTCTGCATGTTGGTGGGACAGGATGTGCAGCTAATTAGCCTAATCCGCCAAAATGAGCATGTTACGCACACTTAGGTTTGCTTCAGATGCAACTGGGAACCTTTCCTCATTGAATGAATTCATTCATCCATACATTACATTTTCAGAGTAAAAATTCTTGAACTTCCCTTCTATTTTTATGTTTTCTGGCTTCATTATCGGTTTCAAACATATGACTTGTTAAAGTTAAAAAAAAGTGGTGAATAAATGTTTTAAAGAAATTAATACTAAGTGAGAATCTATTTTCGGCTTTAAAAATAAACCTTTTTACTGAGTGCAATGATTAACTAAACCATGACTGTCGATAAACTCTCCCAGTAAAACAGAAACCACATCAAGCTTCATAGACAGACCAATCCTTAAACGCATTTTATCAACTTACACCCAAAGAGAGACACAATATGACAATACAATATGATACCATACAAAACAAATCCAGGGTGGATTCAGACTCCTGAGAACAGAAACAGCCATCATCTGACTCCATATTTTTAACATTTTTCCAGTGGGTAAGAAATTACATATGATTTTAATTAGAAAATAATGATTTTGCACATCAACAGTAGATTAGTTTAAATATTTTATCCCATGGCAGCGGGCAGTCAAAGTAGTCCTCGCATTTTCCATATGTGTGGGGCAACCTTCAGTGATTTTCTTTGTTTTTTTTTAATAAATAGAAATTATATAATATTCCCTTTTGTCAATTAGTTTCTTATTGGAGGTTTACAAACATATAGTTTAGTAGTTCCATTTTTAATTCTTTTTTTTTCCAATTACTCCAGTGGGTTGGTTAAAGGAGAAAAGAGAATATTTGGACAACTGGAAGAAAGTGAATTAGAATAAAGAGAATTTAGATATAAAACATCAGTTTTTGGGGGATGGAACAGGTTTCTATAGGTTTGAGATTAGATCTGTGAATAATATAAAGTCAAGCCACAATTTAGTTCCTCATCAGAAAACATGCAGCAGTTTTTTCTTTGATTATCAGGCTCATTACCCATCTTTGAATTCTGACATCAGTGGCCCTGTTTAAATTTCAGTAATTTTGCTCTGAAATAAATAATAGAAATTAACATCTTTCTGTGTGTTGGTTGGGGGGGACATGGATGGTAATGTTAATCAACCATACTCCTAAAACTATAGAGAATTGCCATGTTGCCTGTCCTTATTTTTTTCTCCAACTCGTTTTGCTAGGAGTTATCAAAGATTGCCATGCCCGTGGTCTTAAATGAGCCGTTGAGCTTCCTGCAGCGGCTTACAGAATACATGGAGCACACCTACCTCATCCACCAAGCTAATGCTGCAACAGATTCAATTGAGAGGATGAAGGTAATAAGACCTTCTTATTAAGTAAAGATTGCATTTCAAAAATGTATTTAAATTGGTGTACATCTTACTATCATTATCAAAGAGCCAGGAATTGGCTCTCATATAGAAATGTTTGTAGTGTGTTGCAGCGTTTGCTGTTTCAGCTGTAGCTTCACAGTGGGAGAGGACAGGAAAGCCCTTCAACCCACTATTGGGGGAGACATATGAGCTGATCAGGTACAATCTGGAAATAAACTTTCTGGTTGTTTGTGGACTTCCTGCTATTTTACTAATTTCCTTGATCTCCACCAGAGACGATCTTGGCTTCAGGTGGGTGTCTGAGCAAGTGAGCCATCACCCTCCGATCAGTGCCTTTCACGCTGAGGGCCTTAAGGAGGATTTTCTCTTTCATGGTTCCATTTATCCCAAACTGAAGTTCTGGGGGAAGAGCATAGAGGCTGAGCCCAAAGGAACCATCACCCTAGAGCTACCCAAGTGAGTTTAGCTTGTTTTCCTAAGAAGTTAATATTATTTATTAGATTGGGTGATCCCTCATCACTGGGTGATGCTTAATCTTCACAGATATAATGAATCATACACCTGGACAAACCCCACCTGTTGTGTCCACAACATCATTGTTGGTCAGCTTTGGATTGAGCAATATGGGAACGTGGAAGTCATCAATCACAAGTAAAGCAATCCCCAGTCTTTGCAAAGACCCTTACTGATTAATTTGCATGAAATATTTTTCTTTTTTCGGCTCTGCAGTAGAATGTCAATCTACCTTTAAGTGTGTCTGATTAATTTTTGGAGTGTAACAGGGAATTACAACAGAGCAGAGTGAACAAAATTATAAATTTTGAATGAACACATGCAGAGTGAGAAAAGTGAAAGAGAATCCATAAACAGGCCGTTGTTATGTTTCAGAACTGGAGAGAGGTGCAGCATGACATTCAAACCATGTGGTCTCTTTGGAAAAGAGCTCCATAAAGTGGAAGGATACATTCAAGACAAAAGGTGCTGTCTCATTAAATATAGATATTTGCCATATTGCAAGATTAAATGTTTATATCTATGCTGTCAAAAACGACACCTTTGTTTACAGATAACAGCTTTTAGCAGAAGCTGTGGTTTGATAACATCAGATGTTTTTGTTGGCAGTAAAAAGAAGGTCTGCGCAATATATGGAAAATGGACTGAGTGTCTGTACACAGTCGACCCAGCAAATTTTGATGCCCACAAAAAGATGGATAAAAAAAACTTGGAGGGAAAAAAAAGCAACAAAGAGGTAAGAGTTGTTTACAAATCCAAGAGCTTCATCTAATTGGTTAAAAAAGTTTTAGCTTTCATAAGAGACTGTTAAGGTTTTACCTGGTGAACCAAACTGTTTTCACCTGTTATGATTTACAGTCAAGTATGAAATTACAACAACAAAAAACGGGGATTTACTCAGCTCCAGCCTTAAATGTTAAAGCCAGAATATGGATTTTGATGATTCATGATAAACGCTTATTGAGTTCAGAGGCTTAGGCAAGCAGTGAGGAAGTTTAGGATCATCTGCAGAACTTAAACTCTCATGAAACTGTTTGTATTGCTGAATGTTTTTTCAAGCTACACATTTTTTTGACTTGTTTTTAATATCTATGAGAAAGTATCTCATCACAACAGTGAGCCATTCATGCTCTGCATGTTCGTAGTATATTTGGCCAGTTGGTTGGACTCTAATGGCTCTTAATATCCACAGTGGCTGAGATTCTAAAGCTAATAGGGAGCGGTGGAGACATTTTTATGATGGTTTAAAGTGTCAGGAAAATGTGAACTATTGTCAGCAATAGTACTGCAGCTAAATACAACCTGACGTATGTCACCAAAATAATGTTTTCTGCTGCTATTGCATTATGTGGTATGCCAACACAGCAGATGGAGAAATCCAATGCAATGTACAATACACACACAGGGATTAAAGTATTCCAGCCCAAGGCGGGATTTCTGGCTCATAGCAATTGCCCATGAGTAAAAATAAAATAAAAAATTCACTCGAAAATAAATTGATTGTAAATAAATTTGAAAAAAGACAATGAAAACCCCTCTTGCGTTTGTCAGCCAATGAGCGCGCTGAAACTAATAGTATTAGCCAATCAGAAGAAGAAAGGGGTGGGTCTTAGGAAAGAGTGTACCTCCTCCTCTCGTTTCTTGCTCTAGTCGCCAGATAGATTGTGCTACAATTCTGAAATTCTACATGGAAAGTCACCTTATGCCATTTACAGTTCCATTCCACTAGAGACGTGTAAAAAGTCAAAAAATAAATAAATGAAACTTTGTGTTTGGAGAGAAGCACGATAGAGAGAACGGAATTGCATGGAGTGGGCACAATGCAGTTCATGAACTCCCGAGAAGATGTCACGAGCTTAGATAAAGGTCTCAAAAATAAATGGCGCTGGGCATGGCTGGAGAAGACAGGGCAAGATGGCAAGCCATTTAGCAGCTGGTGCAGGAAGTTAGGTTAACCAGGCGCTTACTTCTGCACACTGCTCCATGAACGCTCTGATATACAGTAGGTGCACTTTTGCCATCTTCTGGCATTGGATTTTCCATCCATCCATATTCTGACACGCTTAATCCCAAGTAGGGTCGCGAGGGGTGCTGGTGCCTATTTCCAGCAGGGTACACCCTGGACAGGTCACCAATCAACAAGACAAACAATGATTCTTGCACACACTCACACCTAAGGAGAATTTAGAGAAGGCAATTAAAAGGAATCGAACCAGCGACCTTCTTGCTGCAAGGCAACAGTGCTACTTACTGCGCAGCCAACATTGGATTTTCAAAGGTCAAATCTACTCTTGTCATTCATGCAATCTCTGATCCCATGCCCCCACACACCCCTGGTGCATGGGTATATATATATTACTCCACAAGGTTCATAAACTGCAAAGATGGGTTAACAAGGAATCAAATAACCTGATAAATAAGTTTCTCATCATTATGTGAATGTGCATTTTTGGTACGTGGAGGTTAGGCTAATAATTTCATGTCCTGCTTCAACAGCCTCAGAGCAACGTTGATGAGGAGTCAGAAGAAAAGCCTCCACCTGATGCCGAGACAGTTCAGGTGATCCCTGGAAGTGAGCTTATCTGGAAAATTGCCCCTCGACCGGAAAACTCAGCAAAGGTGCAGCATTGTCTATGGCAGAGATAGTGCTGAGATTTTTGAGCTAAACCGTGTCTCCCTCTTGCAGTTCTATGCATTCTCCACCTTTGCCATGCAACTGAATGAATTGGATAAGAACATGGAAGAGGTCCTTCCTCCCACTGATAGCCGCTTAAGGCCTGACATTCGTGCCATGGAGAATGGAGATATAGGTATCCTGACCCAATTCTTTGCCCTGCTGCAACTCCCTAATTGCATCTCTAGAGGTGGTGATTTTCCTTTATTTATGTGTTCTAGATCTGGCAAGCACAGAGAAGAAGAGACTGGAGGAGAAGCAGCGCACAGCCCATAAAAACCGCTCTAAATCCACAGAAGAATGGAAAATAAGGTTGGTTGGAATAATGTTCTAGTTTGGTTTTGATAATCTGTCTTTTTGGGTCTTTATTTATCTTAACACTCCCTTATATTCTGATAAAGTTATTTCTATTAGCAATATTAAGAAGGCGCTCCTCACTTTGCCCAAGGTTTTGTTTTTTAAAGCTTTGCTTTCATCTGGTCACAGCATGCACTCATGTGAAGAGTTACTCTCTACTGCCCTCTTGAGGACAACCCTTATATAAAGCGCTCCCAATTTTTTATTGGAGCTTTTATTTGTTTTTTTCATAGATTTTCTTTTGTCATCATTCTGCAGGTGGTTTAAGCAAGGACCCAACCCTCACAACAAGGCTCAGGACTGGCTCTACGCAAAAGGCTACTGGGATCGGAATTATGCTCAGCTGCCTGACATTTACTAAATAAAATATTTATGGATTTCCATTTTACTACCTTTGGCCAACTGCTGCTACTCTGGTGATGCATTACCAGCTTAACTTTGGATTCGGTATGGAAGAGGGGATTATGTTTAAAACTCATTCTGGGGGGAATAAAGTAGATCTATGTGAACAGAAAAAGCACAAACCTCTTAACGTTTTCACTGATGTAAAGGTATAAGCATGAAGTGAAATGACTAGAACATGCTCTAGAGCTACTGAGTGTTGGGTAAATGGAGTGTGTAAAGAGCAACCTTAGTTTCACTCAAGTGTGTTCATTATTTCTAGTCAGAGAGGAGAACATTTCACATTTCACTCATCAGTGTCGGTACAGTGTGTGGAAATCAGCTCTTCCAGCTGCTTGGCCTGAGCTAATTTCCCTTAAAAACTGCTTTGGCATTGATTGACGCTTGTGGATGCATATCATTATGCAATGCAGATTTTAGGGTAGATAACAGATGTTCCTGTTCCCCACTTTTTATGATGAGTGGTGCAGACATCTGGTGTTAACATGAATGTGTTTGATTTTTTTTTCTGTGCTTATAATAAAAAAGTTGCTATATTTGTTAATATACATATATCCTAGTGAACATGTCTTATTGCAAAACTAATCCATAAAGAGAACTGCTTATACCGTGATAGTTTGGTTTGAAAAATAAAATGATGAAACATCCTAAATGTGTTGTACCCATATGTATTACGGTAATCTACTGACACACTGAAGATTGTCCAATCTGCTGCAGCTTTGACTCATTTTCTCCCAGTATTGTCTTTTTTTTGCCTCCACTTATATTCATATCAACTCAGACAAATTCCGTCATGCAGCCAAAGATCACAACATGGAGCTGCTAAGATGTTTTTATGTAGAAGTGATGTTTATTGATGGTGGTTGTTTCACTCATCTTGCCAAATTTGGAAGAAAACTCCTTGACTGGACTGTCTGTTTAGGTGAGCGTCTGTCTGGGTTCTCAGATCTTCTACTTGGTTTTTTGAGAAGATTAATTGAATTGTGTTCAATGAAATGTTTGATACACCTGGATGATTTTCCTCTGCTTTAAATGTCTCAACAGTCCTCTCTCCTAGACCTGGCTAATGTTTACAAATGTTCAATAACAAAGCTGAGGCCTTCACAGAACAGGTGGATCGATATTCAGATTAAACACTAGTGGACTTACAGATAAGATGACCATTAAAAAGAATCTTTTCCACCAGATTTATTTTTTGAGCCTCCTTTGCTATCAAAGTGACGAGGGCTTATACAAATACCACCTCTTTCAGCATGTTTTATTTTTTATTTCGAATACCATCAACAAAAAAAGTCAAGAACTGAATGCTTGTTATTTAAGGCTCATGCTACTAGCATTCTATCATCTGACAGTTATGCTGCCTAATAAAAGAATTTAGTTTACCTTTTTTTACTTTGGTTTAATCATGTTATCAGATGGACACCCTCGTATTCCCTTCAAATAAATCATGTAGCGGAACCTGGCACAAATTATCCTGTAGAATAAATTCAAAAGTTATATACCCAAACACATTGGATGTTTATTCTAGAACGTAAATCCAAAAGTAAGGCAAATCATCTGGTTTCATTAAACAAGCAGAAAGAAAGACACCATTTAAAATGTACCTTTTTCACAAGCCTCTGTGAAATGAAGCCTTTTTTAATCTGACTTGAAGTTTAAACTATATAGATCCAAATGCATTACAGCTATAAGGTGTTTCTGAAAGCTAAAGAGATATATTTATATAAAGTATTTCAGAGGCATGACACCATTATGTTTGAATTGTTTACAAATATTCAAATGTATTCTCAAACCACAACAGCAGCTCAAAAATAACTAAGTGTTGCATTAATGCTGTTGTACTGGGGCTGTTTTTGTTTCCTATGGAAGAGGGTTTTACTTGGAGATACACTATATTGCCAAAAGTATTTGCTCACCTGCCTTGACTCACATATGAGCTTAAGTGACATCCCGTTCCTAATCCATAGGGTTCAATATGACGTCGGTCCACCCTTTGCAGCTAGAACAGCTTCAACTCTTCTGGGAAGGCTGTCCACAAGGTTTAGGAGTGTGTTTATGGGAATTTTTGACCATTCTTCCAGAAGCGCATTTGTGAGGTCGCACACTGATGTTGGACGAGAAGGCCTGGCTCTCAGTCTCCGCTCTAATTCATCCCAAAGGTGTTCTATCGGGTTGAGGTCAGGACTCTGTGCAGGCCAGTCAAGTTCATCCACACCAGACTCTGTCATCCATGTCTTTATGGACCTTGCTTTGTGCACTGGTGCACAGTCATGTTGGAAGAGGAAGGGGCCAGCTCCAAACTGTTCCCACAAAGTTGGGAGCATGGAATTGTCCAAAATGTCTTGGTATGCTGAAGCATTCAGAGTTCCTTTCACTGGAACTAAGGGGCCAAGCCCAGCTCCTGAAAAACAACCCCACACCATAATCCCCCCTCCACCAAACTTTACACTTGGCACAATGCAGTCAGACAAGTACCGTTCTCCTGGCAACCGCCAAACCCAGACCCGTCCATCAGATTGCCAGATGGAGAAGCGCGATTCGTCACTCCAGAGAACGCGTCTCCACTGCTCTAGAGTCCAGTGGCGGCGTGCTTTACACCACCGCATCCGACGCTTTGCATTGCACTTGGTGATGTATGGCTTGGATGCAGCTGCTCGCCCATGGAAACCCATTCCATGAAGCTCTCTGCGCACTGTTCTTGAGCTACATGAAGTTTGGAGGTCTGTAGTGATTGACTCTGCAGAAAGTTGGCGACCTCTTCGCACTATGCGCGTCAGCATCCGCTGACCCCGCTCCGTCAGTTTACGTGGCCTACCACTTCGTGGCTGAGTTGCTGTCGTTCCCAAACACTTCCATTTTCTTATAATACAGCTGACAGTTGACTGTGGAATATTTAGGAGCGAGGAAATTTCACGACTGGATTTGTTGCACAGGTGGCATCCTATCACAGTTCCACGCTGGAATTCACTGAGCTCCTGAGAGCGACCCATTCTTTCACAAATGTTTGTAAAAACAGTCTGCATGCCTAGGTGCTTGAATTTATACACCTGTGGCCATGGAAGTGATTGGAACACCTGATTCCAATAATTTGGATGGGTGAGCAAATACTTTTGGCAATATAGTGTATGTCTTCAGAGATGTCCTCGAGTTGCAGTAACGGCTCCATTTGAATACCTTCACTCTGCTTTAGAATGGCTTGATAGCTGAAGAAAGTTTATTTCCAACAGTATTTTTATTAATCTTCTAATATACAGTAAAACTTGTTGACAATAAAGTGTTTTAGTGTGTATTTACACCACTTAGAAGTGGAACATTTCTGCACATTTTTATAAATATGCATTCAAAACATATTTACACCCAAAAAGAACTCTGCTTCAAGTAGGACAATAGTCACATATTATGGCAATGGTTTAGCAAATTCTTTAAAACACAAATGATGAGAAACCAAGACTAAGGTCCTTTCTACTTTAGGCAACAGAAACTTTAACAGCACTTCTTTGTGTTCACAGAATATAACTTTGTTTCTCTATTTGCTGTGAACTTTGACAGATTTCTACAGACCTGCCAAATACATTAAACAAGTGCAAACTATCTTTTAAGTCAAACCACTCAGAATAGAAAGAAACATATGTGCTAATTTATTGTGCAGTACAGCTGCAGGTCTGTAAAACTTAATGTTCCACCATGAAACATTTGTGTTTCATGGAGACCTTTTGACCAATAGACATTCAAATAAAAACACAGTAAAACATCAGGGTTCCCACTTGTACTTTGATTTAGTTTAAGATGCTGATCCAATATCAAGGCTGGGCTGCTCCTCTCATACACGCGAGTGCAGAGTGAATCCGAACATGGAGCCTGTTCTCAAAGTCATAGCCAGCGTAGTCCTCCTGCATAAAGAGATCTATATAAATTATTGAATAAAATTCTTCTTCATAACCCAGAACGACAGGAATAAATCTATAATTTTAACAAAAAGGCAAGTAACTTATATAGGAACACTTCAGGAATTTAATCAATTATCTTTAAGCAAATAAAACTAGATCCAAGTTGGCCCATTCAAGTTATTTTTTATTATCAATATTTCTACTTTAAATCAAAAAGAATTTCAACTTCATGATTTACTATATTCTCTAAATAAATAACATTTTGTCAGAGAGATGATTCCTTTGAGTAAAAATTTTAAATTAGACCAAAAATCAGACAATTATGTTTTTTTTCAGTGAGGTGGATTCACAGCATCACTTGTGGCAAAAATGATCACTAAGATAACTAACATTTGTTTTCTGAACAGAGGTTTAAATGGAGTTAAAGAAAAAGCACAGATGGCAGTAGTTTTTTTTAATACATTGAATTCAGCAGATAGGAGGCTTTAGGTATTGCAGCAAAAATGTTCTGTTTAATTATTTCTATGGGTTTAAAACTGCCATAGATGGTAAAAAATAAACTCAAGTTGTCTTAACCGTCTCATACTTTAGTGTCTACTGATAATATACATGTTAATAAAAAATACCAGTCAGTATAAAGTAAAAAATAAAGTTCCTCCCTGCTTTCTTGAATGTAAAGCTCCAGTCATCAGAAAAGAGCTTTTATTTAAGCTGAGCAGTGTGACAGTGGCCAAGGGCGGCTTCACAAACTTGCCAGTATACTTACCAATACTTCTACTTTATCCGTCCCCTAAAGTTACATATTTCATTGGGTATAAATATTTTTTCATACGACTAATTTTCTGTCGACTAACCTCTTCAGGTATGCAATCAGACTTGAAGAGCATCCGTTTCAATGCACAGCCAGACCACTAAACCTTACACCAACCTCAGCTTCAGTGGTGCAAAAGCCTTCCTGTTTCTTAACATGGTTGTCTAGATAAATGTGTCCTTATGGTTTCCATTTCTGAGAAGTGAAAAAAAGCTGATTCCACGTGTCTTTTAGTCTATTTTAACATGAAATGAATTCATTATAGCTTCTCCAACCAGCTATTAGACTTGTTGGAAATAATAGTCTGATTACACCAGAACACTTGTTCATCATATTAATTCAGCTAGAAAGAAAAAATTATAAGAACTTGCAAAGCAAAAGAGAAAAAGTCTGAAACAACAAATACTTGAAGTACCTTAGCCTGAAGCATTAGAGTTCGACCCTTTGCTGCAGTCTGCAAAAAATATACAAAATAAGTATTTCTGTCAGGTAACAGGTAAAGCTCACTCTGTAAAACCAACAGAAACTGTACCTCTGGGGAATTCAGCAGGACACAGGCCATTTCATAGCAGGAGTAGGGCTGGACGTAAGAATTGCACTGACGTCCAACCTCGTCCCTCGCAGCCAGATGGAAATACTGTGGGGGAAAATTTGTAATGGAAAACGGGGAAGAAAAGTTCAGCCAATCATAAAATCCATTATTACAGGGTACGTATGAGTGCATGGATTAATTAAGACTCTGCCGTGAATCAGAAAAACCTTGTATTATTTCCTACATGCATTACCTGCACGGCATCTTTAGTATTAAGCAGACATCCGCTTATGGCACCAAGGAGCAGGTTTTTCAGGCCAGCCCATGACGCATCTTCAATCCCCTGCAACACTGGAACAAAAACAATCACAGTGCTCTGAACGAAAACCTAACAGCATTCAGAAGAGAGATTGCAGCCTCTTAACCAGGTGCCGTTTTTTACAGCGTTTACCATGAGTCATTGTTTGCAGGTTGGCAGAGGAGCAGTTGGGGAGGGCTTTCCACAGATACAGAATCTCAATCACCGACAAGATGCAGAGCTCTTTGGATAGACTTGGGCTCTGGAAGTTCTCTGCCTGAGGAAAAATGGGAAAAGGACCAGTTTCAGAGCAAAAAAACCCACAAAAAACAAACAAGAGCAAGATGATTGCTTACCCTCTTCAAGGAAAACATCTCTATTTGATTATTCTTGCGTTTGAAAAGTTTTTGAACGTCTGTAAAGGTTAATATGGCACCCTCCAGATCACCTGTGGCCCCTTGGCACACTGGAAAACACAGCAAGAGCTGCAGGTTAAAGGTCACAACAGAACAAGTGCGGTGCTTTGCAAAAATAATAATGTTACGCAAGATATGTAATGCATAAGCGTAATGGCTATTTATATTTTGCTACTCTTTACTCTAACATCAAAAATCCAGTGCAACTTATTGCCATCAGAAATCCATATACGCTCACCGGCCACTTTAGTAGGTAAACCTGTCCAACTGCTCGTTAACACTTAATTTCTAAGCAGCCAATCACATGGCGGCAACTCAGTGCATTTAGGCATGTAGACATGATCAAGACAATCTCCTGCAGTTCAAACCGAGCATCAGTATGGGGAAGAAAGGTGATTTGAGTGACTTTGAACGTGGCATGATTGTTGGTGCCAGAAGGGCTGGTCTGAGTATTTCAGAAACTGCTGATCTACTGGGATTTTCACGCACAACCATCTCTAGGGTTTACAGAGAATGGTCCGAAAAAGAAAAAACATCCAGTGAGCAGCAGTTCTGTGGGCGGAAATGCCTTGTTGATGCCAGAGGAGAATGGCCAGACTGGTTCGAGCTGATAGAAGGGCAACAGTGACTCAAATAACCACCCGTTACAACCAAGGTGGGCAGAAGAGCATCTCTGAACGCACAGCACGTCGAACTTTAAAGCAGATGGGCTACAGCAGCAGAAGACCACACCGGGTGCCACTCCTTTCAGCTAAGAACAGGAAACTGAGGCTACAATTTGCACAAGCTCATCGAAATTGGACAATAGAAAATTGGAAAAACGTTGCCTGTTCTGATGAGTCTCGATTTCTGCTGCGACATTCGGATGGTAGGGTCAGAATTTGGCGTCTATAACATGAAAGCATGGATCCATCCTGCCTTGTATCAACGGTTCAGGCTGGTGGTGGTGGTGTCATGGTGTGGGGAATATTTTCTTGGCACTCTTTGGGCCCCTTGGTACCAATTGAGCATCGTTGCAACGCCACAGCCTACTTGAGTATTGTTGCTGACCATGTCCATCCCTTTATGACCACAATGTACCCAACTTCTGATGGCTACTTTCAGCAAGATAATGCGCCATGTCATAAAGCTGGAATCATCTCAGACTGGTTTCTTGAACATGACAATGAGTTCACTGTACTCAAATGGCCTCCACAGTCACCAGATCTCAATCCAATAGAGCATCTTTGGGATGTGGTGGAACGGGAGATACGCATCATGGATGTGCAGCTGACAAATCTGCGGCAACTGTGTGATGCCATCATGTCAATATGGACCAAACTCCCTGAGGAATGCTTCCAGCACCTTGTTGAATCTATGCCACGAAGAATTGAGGCAGTTCTGAAGGCAAAAGGGGGTCCAACCCGTTACTAGCATGGGGTACCTAATAAAGTGGCCGGTGAGTGTATATCAACTGGAGTTCATGTAGTGAAAACCCTGACTAGAGAATTCAGACAGTAAAACACAGCAGTGGAAGCATCATTCTGGTGGAATGTTTTTCATTCAAAGACAGAAAAGCTGTTTAAAGCTGATCAACACAAAGAGCGAAAATAAAGCCCAGCCTGGAAGAATAGCACAGATGCTGCAACAGACTGGAGAATGGTACCTAGTACGTCATCGGGCCTAAAGATACAGTTACGATCAGATCAGAAAACCATCCTATGTTAAAACAGCCCAATCAAAGGACAATTTCAGTTCCAAGACTTGCAAAGCTGCCAAAATACGTTATAGTTATTTGCAATTACATCAGAACAGGAAAGTATGGCACATTTTTTCAGATTTCTATTTCTTAAAGTATTTAAAAAAAGTTTCTTTCCACATTCCAATAACCCCGTAAGTAATGTTAGTTTATAACAAGGTTCTTCTACTCCAGCCCTCGAGATGCATTGTCCTGCACCTCTCTTTGCTTCCAAACACATATTCGGTACACATTTAAGTGTTCCAGAGTCCTGCTAATGACCTGATTATTAGACTCAGGTCAGTTGAAGCAGAGTAGTCAAAATGTGCAGGACACCAGACCTCAAGGACCAGCGCTAAAGATGGTCTATAACATGAGATGAGATTGCAACGTGCAAAATGTGGAAAATGTTCCAGAGGTAGAAATAGTTTTGCATGCATCATAAGGCTTGATTTCCTTTCTGTATTACCGCCTGTTAGATAGGCATAGTAGCACTGGGACCACCGAGATTCTGCCTTCAATCGCTCAAAGGCTCTGTAGGCTTCTCCGTAGTTGAGTTCGATCATGCTGCACCAACCTGAAACAGCCATCCATGAGAAAAATTACCAGAAGTGTCACATGTGCAGGTCAAAAACATGAGGTAGAAAAATATTACCTATTTCATATAAACACACATGCTGAATCTCCCTCTGGTCTGAGGCCAAATCTAAAGCGTCATTGAAGGACTTCAAGGCACTGCTGATCTGGCACTGGAAAATAAACAGGAACACAATTGTGTGAGCTAAGGTAAAAGTACAAGAGAAAAAGCAACTGATTTCATTTTGAGCGTATTTACCTCAAGGCGTTGAACTCTGCCTTTAAAAAATATGAAGAGGGAGGAGTTTGGATAGGTGGCCTCCCTCTGTTTAAGAATGCATTTAGCTTCCATTAATCCTGCTTGTGTGTCTGAGCCATCCAAAGCAAAGAAGGGCTGAACCACGGTGTGGTACCACAGCAGGGCAAGGCTGAGAAGTGAAGTAGAGAATAAGAACTTATAATCTCCTTTTTTTTTTTTTTTTTTTTTTTTTTGCTTTGATGATGCGGACTCATAAAAATGTAACTGAGTAGTTATTTAATTCAGAGTGGGGAGATTCCAAATATCCGAGAGTCCTTAAAAACAAACCGACATGGGAATTTTGGAGAACACACTCGTGATTTTTAATAAAACAATTATGAAACTAAAATACAGAAGTGATTTAATAATAAGGCAGTACTGCAGAGCTTTAGTCAGCCGTTTGTCTTTCCTTCACTAACTCCTTTTGCTTTCGTTTTTTTAGTTTAGGAGTTTCCATCAAAATCTTAGACTCCATTCTGTTCCAAGAATAATACATACAGCTCCTTGAAAAGGTGTTTTAACCCTTTGAACCCTTTTTTATATTTCCCATATTGTCACAAATGCAAATTTCAATCTCTTTCACTGGAGGAACACTATTGCATGGGCAAGACACCGCCATTTTTTAACAATACATAGAGAAAGTGTACGTTGGAAGTTGGTTAATTTTCCCAAATTTTTAAAATATTATCTTAAATTTTTAATTAAGGCTTAAATTTCAAGCTTTTTTTTTTTTTTTTTTTTTACATTAATGACCCCTGACTGCTGTTTGCAGAGCTTTTTGAACAATGTTCTCAGTTAACTTGATCGTCTGTTTTTGCCAATACAGTTCTGTCAAACACACACAAATTCATAGCAGAAGGGGGAAATATAAACCTAAGCTCAGTAGACGTAATAACTGAACCTAAGTGAATACCTTAATTGTATCCTCTCCTAGAGGAACAGCCCTAAACCTAACATTGATGGATGAGAAACCCAAACCAAAGGAAAATGGACTTCATATGACTTCAATAAGTTCCTGTTTGGAAACGTCTTCCGGTAAGCACTACCAGCACTGAAATAGCGGCGCTCTGCCCCTGCAGTACAGTAGTCTCGGGTAAAAGACCAACACAAAGTTTTGCACAGTTGTAAGGTGGAAAGAAAATGATCGCTAAAATGCATCTATTCTGTAAAGGCCCCTTGAAGGACCACCTAGATAAGGACAGCGTTAATTAGAGAAGAAGCTCTTTGGCCAAATTCCACAGCTCAGGTGGAAGCTAGCAACAAATTTTTTTTTAATCTAACCACCTCAAAAATCTAGAATTTATAGACGATCAAAAAAACAACCAAAGGTTAAAAGGGAACCAATGGAAAACTAAAAATGCTCATCACCCTGAACATACCATACCATGACCCCCTTAATGCTTTGTGATCTAACTTTGTGTTCCATCCTCCTCATGATCAACCAACTGACTTGGAATGGGAGCTAAAGTCCCTCCATCAATATTACTGCCCTGATCCACCGCGGAAGGGTGTCACTAATCGAGATCTACTCTGAACTGTCAGGACAGGAGAGAGTTTAACACTTAAAGAACCAAATACATTTCAAGAGTTTTATTATTCCCATGAGAAAGTCCTCCACATGTGTTCTGGTGTATTTCTGAAAAAAAACAGCCTACCAACTTGAATTTTTCTTTTTTTAAACAAAAAAAAAAACATTAAAAGAGAAACAAATTATATTCATGTGAATAGATGATGTGTTATGCCCAACAATGTCTGGAAAGAGCATGAATTGAAGCAACCTTTCTGCAGCCTGAACCGTAGTTGGCCCAGGCTGGCAGCAGTGACCAGTGTGAGTGAGCTCCACTGTAGTTAGTGTGATCCCAGTAGAGTTCAGAAGAACGGTCTTAGTTATAAACCACCATTCTATAGTTCTACGATCACAAAGCATGCAGTGTGAGAACACACAGCCTTTGAACTAGACAGGTCAAGTTGTACAATGCAAAAGGACTAGGAATGTAAATTATCCATTAATGAATTAATCTAAAGTTAATTGGTCGCATCGACCATCTAATCATTATTTAAGACGTAGAAATGTTCTTAAAAACCTGACTTTTCTTTTGTAATAAGGGGAACTTTCCCTACCATGAAGGATTCAATTATTTTCAAATATGGTGAATTTTAATAGGCTTAGGTCACTAAATTTAAAAAAATGAATAAAACAAGAGAAACAATGTCAATGTATAGAGATGTAGAACTACACTATATTGCCAAAAGTATTTGCTCACCTGCCTTGACTCACATATGAGCTTAAGTGACATCCCGTTCCTAATCCATAGGGTTCAATATGACGTCGGTCCACCCTTTGCAGCTAGAACAGCTTCAACTCTTCTGGGAAGGCTGTCCACAAGGTTTAGGAGTGTGTTTATGGGAATTTTTGACCATTCTTCCAGAAGCGCATTTGTGAGGTCGCACACTGATGTTGGACGAGAAGGCCTGGCTCTCAGTCTCCGCTCTAATTCATCCCAAAGGTGTTCTATCGGGTTGAGGTCAGGACTCTGTGCAGGCCAGTCAAGTTCATCCACACCAGACTCTGTCATCCATGTCTTTATGGACCTTGCTTTGTGCACTGGTGCACAGTCATGTTGGAAGAGGAAGGGGCCAGCCTCAAACTGTTCCCACAAAGTTGGGAGCATGGAATTGTCCAAAATGTCTTGGTTGCTGAAGCATTCAGAGTTCCTTTCACTGGAACTAAGGGGCCAAGCCCAGCTCCTGAAAAACAACCCCACACCATAATCCCCCCTCCACCAAACTTTACACTTGGCACAATGCAGTCAGACAAGTACCGTTCTCCTGGCAACCGCCAAACCCAGACCCGTCCATCAGATTGCCAGATGGAGAAGCGCGATTCGTCACTCCAGAGAACGCGTCTCCACTGCTCTAGAGTCCAGTGGCGGCGTGCTTTACACCACCGCATCCGACGCTTTGCATTGCACTTGGTGATGTATGGCTTGGATGCAGCTGCTCGCCCATGGAAACCCATTCCATGAAGCTCTCTGCGCACTGTTCTTGAGCTACATGAAGTTTGGAGGTCTGTAGTGATTGACTCTGCAGAAAGTTGGCGACCTCTTCGCACTATGCGCGTCAGCATCCGCTGACCCCGCTCCGTCAGTTTACGTGGCCTACCACTTCGTGGCTGAGTTGCTGTCGTTCCCAAACACTTCCATTTTCTTATAATACAGCTGACAGTTGACTGTGGAATATTTAGGAGCGAGGAAATTTCACGACTGGATTTGTTGCACAGGTGGCATCCTATCACAGTTCCACGCTGGAATTCACTGAGCTCCTGAGAGCGACCCATTCTTTCACAAATGTTTGTAAAAACAGTCTGCATGCCTAGGTGCTTGAATTTATACACCTGTGGCCATGGAAGTGATTGGAACACCTGATTCCAATAATTTGGATGGGTGAGCAAATACTTTTGGCAATATAGTGTATCATGATGCTGTGACACTCTGAAACTATTTCCCACTGTTTCAGTAAAGTTGATGGGAGAGACTTTGTCGTGTTAGCAGTGCTTTTAAAAGGCTGGTTATAGTTCAGATTGCTGTCAGAAGGATGTTAAAACTAGGCTCTACAAAGTGTAATAAAACTCACAAGAATTCACCATCTATGATGCTTATTGCTAGCAGATCTTTTTCTATCATGTCACAAATGTTTGTAATGCCCTCCACTTTTCTATCATCACACCCCCGCCTTCAAAGCACAGCAGAGAAGTTATGCTGCTCCACCATGCAGCACAGCTAATTGGGTGCTAGTTAAGTGATAACTTTAAGGGGTTTATCGAGTGGTTATGTTTGCAAACATGCTTTAGCTTTAGCACTACCTCTCTTGCAAATATTAGTGAGGCTCTGTTTAAAATGAATAGCCTCTAGTGGATGGTAAAATGAAAGCATTAATCAGATGGAACAAATCGTAATCTAATAAACCATTAATTGATGATTAATCGGAAGTTGAATGTTTGTTTACATTCCTAATAAGAACAAAGTTATCCCTGTGCTATCTTTAATATTGTGTTTTTATTATTATTGATCACCTAGCTGTTTGTCGGCCCTGCTGCTCAAACAAATTGCCCCTGGTAGGATTAATAAAGTGGTCTCGGTTAGGGATGGGGATCGAAACCCGGTTCTATCAAGGACCCTGTTCCACTTTTTTCAAAACCCGAAAATCAATAACGTTTGGGCTTATCGATACCACTATCGAGTCTGGTCGTTTTTTGTTTTTTTTTCTCCCAGAGGTCCTGTAACATAATTGTGTGTCCCTCAAGTCGCGTCACAGCATTTAAATCTAATCAATCCAATCACTGCAGCATGTCCAGCAATGTTTTGGAATTAAATTGTAACCAAACAGAAAAGTAAAACAAGTGAAGTCTGGCAGTTAACTTCGCTCGCGACTCGGCTTCATTTTACCAAGCTCAAAGATAAAGACGAAGCGAAATGCAACTTATGTTGCAAAATCATCTCTTGTAAAGGGGGGAACACAACCTCAATGGCCAAGCACATTAGTATTGTGCATGAAATAAAGGCCAAATGCAGTACCTCCGACTGTCTCCCGGTTGAAAAGACTCCTCCTCCTGCTGCTGCCGCACCACAGTCAGACCCGTCTTCATCATCCACTCAGAGTACCACTGGTAAGCGCGCACACAGACTTTGCAGCTTGTCCGGTCAGTTAAAAATAGTAATTGTGAAATCCGTGTTGTAATCGGCAGCATACAAGCTAGTTAGCTTGAAAAGTAAATAAAGTTTCAGACGTGCTGCGTGATGATGTGTTCAGATTGGCTCAGTAAAACGACAATTAGGTTATCATGATGCGTTCTAGTGTAATGTAAAGAAAAGGGAAATTGAGTTTTTGGCGAGAAACATGAGTAATACAGTTGTATATTGCTCTAATTATTTTAGAATATTTAATTAAACTACTGATGCCAACATTTATAAAAAATTACATTTAATTTAAAATACAATTATTTATTTGCTAAATATTTTCCTAATCAATAAAAACATGATGAAAAGTGACAGTAGACAATACATTAAACAACAATTGTGAAAATGTATATATTTTTTTAAACCAAAAGAAGACATTTCTTCAAAATATAGGACATTTCTTCAAATATTTTTTTTCCCCACTTCCTTTCTGTCTGTTAAAAACATATTGTCGCATCGTCTTTCCACCAAATACCAGAAAAGTATCGATAGTGGTATCGATAAAGACTCGGATCGATAGGTAGTATCGATAAAGGTATCAATATCAATAAATATTAACGATCCCCATCCCTAGTCTTGGTCTAAATCTAATCTAAAGAAAAGTTTGTGGCAATTAATTTGTAACAGAACTGTGATCTAGATGCTACTGTTATAATGGATTCATTATGCTTTGGGCTTATGAATCCATAGCAGAAGTTAGGGGAACACATAAACAAATAAGCTGATTAAAGTGGATGGGAATCTTACGGAGCTTAACAGGACAGTTGTGGTGGAAAATGATCCTGAACATACAGCCAGAACTCTAAGGGTTTAGATCAGAGATGGCTAACTCAACCCATAAGGAGCCGCTCCCAGGATGTTCACTTATAGCTGAAGGCCTTCTACAGTGAGCATAGACTCTTGGAGTTTCACAGCTCTTGAACAGAACATACATTTTGACTTCCACTTCATATCTATGTATTACTCTGTGTTGGTGTCACATGATATGTTGCATGTTAAATGGCTGTGAATACTTCTACCAGGCGCTGCAGTTAAACATGCTCACTCACATACTCACGTAGCTAACGGGGCCTTCATGTCCTTACTTTCACTGGCATAAGTGAGCGCAGATAGGCCTTGATGGCGGTCTCCAGGGAAGCCCAGCAGGTTGACGATCTTTAGCAGATGTGGCGGCACCATTGAGATACACAGGTGGAAAAGGCCATAACCAAAGCTGACAGAACCTTTCAGCCGGTCCAGAACCTCTGGGCTGATGCCGTCCAATCTCTGGGACCGACTGGGTCCAGTTGAGGAGGATCGGCTGCTGTGGGATGGATCTGAGGTGGACGGCAGAGGCACTGCTTGCTGCTCGGACGCCCTCCTTCTGCTGCCTTCTTGAAGTTGTGTGATGTCATTGTAACATTTGTTATACATCTTCCAGGCTTTTCGGAGGATCCAGCCTCCTTTGATATAGGCTGAAAGAGAGTAATGGCTGAGCTCAGTAAAACTTCATTCAGTATTTAAAATATGACATAAGTTTTTGAAGTTATTCCCCGGGATATTACCTGACAACTCTTGTTTGATAAAAGAAAGGACTGCAATGTAAACCTGGCAGTCTGCTATGATGATTTGCCTCTGCAGCCGGTCCAGAGCAGCCATCCCCGACCTCTGGGAGTCTACCTGCTAAAGCACATTAAACATCCACTCCAGGCTCTTCATAAATATACATGTACAGTAAAGCTATAGATTAGGAAGGTTACTCACACTCCGTTTTATCTTGTTCTTAATGGTTTCAATAACGCTGGCATTTTCACTCTCACACAATCTCTCTGTGGATTTGAGGTCATCAAAGGCCGTCTGCATTTTCTCCTCTTCAAATGTCATTACAGCATTCTAAAAACAAAGCACAAGCAGAAAATGGTGACCTGTGACTTGTTTAAGAGAATAATAAAAGTTTAATTATTTGATCTTTGGATGAGTAGCAAAGCTACAAAAAGCAGGAATACAATTAAATCTTTTATCTTTAAAAACTTAATTAGATTACAGAATGTGGGATTTTTATGTCTTGTATATTTTCTGAAAGAATCTTAATAATTGCTTTCTCTAAAGATCCTTTTCTTATATTCATCAACAGTATTTAGCTCTGTTTTTTTTCTCAGTGTATGAGCTAAATGGAGAATTGTGGGTAAGCATTTTGTCACTATTTCAACCAACAATAATAATTCTGTAGCCAAAAACAGGATGATGTTGTTTGAAATCTAACTTCAGATGTATTGAAGGAGAAGCTTCCATTTACAGTCAAACATTTTGCCAACATACTGATTAGACATACTGATGGATCGCTTATGCATGCTAAACCAATGCTGTCCAGAAGAAGAGCAGAAACACATCATCTGCTTGAATTACAACACCTTTTGTTTTCTGAATAACAATCCAAAGAGAGACACAGCTAATCACAGGGCGATTTTAAATCTCTCAGGTAGGGTGTCAGGTTGTTAGGTCTCTTATATAGTGCTCTCTTAAAATTCTCACACACTTTCTCCTTTTCTATTGGCAAAGTGCTTAAGGAATCCATATTCAACCTGGAGACGTCCTTATCCCCATTTTCACCTTCAGACGCCAATAGGGTAAGCATGAAAGCCTTAGAACAGTGTTTTGTACCTAATACCATAAGGTTTTGCTGTTACCTAAAGCTTAGTTTCCTTTACGTAGTTATTCTTTGTGATGCCTATGTGAATCCTCTCGGCTCCTTTGGCATTACTAAAGAGCATTAGGCAGGTTCTTTATGGGTACAACTCTCACAGACTGCTTCAATCCTCAACTAAAAAGTAGATTTTCCTTAAAGAAGAAAAACCCTTGATGCTTTCCAATGGTAAAAGATTTGTTGCCAAGAAGCATCATTATAAAGAAAAAAAAAATGATTGATGAAAAATTGATTCCCTTAATTTTTGTTCCAAGTTTGCTTAAGAATAATGTTCCATCTTAACATTAATCCATCCATCCAACCATCCATCCATCCATCTTCTTCCGCTTATCCGGGGTCGGGTTGTGGGGGGTAGCAGCTTAAGTAGGCAGGCCCAGACGTTAACATTAAACTAGTTTTAAAGAGGCAGGTTTAAAGTAAGCACTTCTGAGTTTATATATGTAACTCCTTAATCAAACATAAGCAACATCTTTAAAGGTGTCATCACGCAGAAATCTGACTTATGAAGCTTTAAGTCGTAGGGAAACGGCTGTTCCAACTGTTGCATTTCCGAATTCTCCCAAGTGGTTCCCGACTTTACACGAGTGAATAAAGTGAATGTGATTGGTCGTTTATCAAGGGGGTGGGATTGTTGTGGCGGAAGGTTTGCAAGCAAGTTTGGTTGTGGCCGGAACTTGCGAACCAGTTAGCAACTTAGTGCTAGTAGGTTCCCAATGTGAAATTACATTGAGAACAAGTAGCACTAAGTTGGGGACTTAGAAACGACACTGTCAAGGAATGCTATGGACAGCAGAAACATGCAAGAGGAGGAGAGTTTTGTGTCAGAGGTCGTGGATGAGTCTCCTTCGTCATACATTTTTTATTTAGAGGAGAAAAGCGGGGACGAAGTTGTTGTGGAAGAGTACACCAGGGCGGCAGATGCTTCGTTTAGTGTAGAAGGCTTACAGCCGTACATGTTTGAGCCCTTGCCTCGCAACGCTGCCAGTTCTGTTAGCTCTACGCCTGCCGAAGACACAGACATTTATCTCCGCCAACACTGGGACGTAACTCAATGGTAAAGTTCTCATTTATTCTCATTTTTTATTTCAATCGTTGCATATAATAGATGCGACATACAGTATGAATCAAGATGCTATGATCGAAAAAATTGGATTGACAGATGACCGTTGATAAATGATTGGCCGAATTTAGGTGTGCAGGCTGATGTATAACTAACTGGCCTGCATAAAATAAAAAAAATAAACAGATTTTAAGACGGGATTTTTTCTTAATTAGAAATTTTCCAAATTTTGGGATAATATAATCTGATAAAGAGTGCATTTATATACATGTTTAAGCCAGAATGATTTGACATTTAAATATGATGTCCCTACTACTTTAAGCGTAAATTCAATCTGGAAGACACTTATCAGCTTCAGCTGAACCACCTGTGATATCCCTCATTTGGCTCCAGCCAATCAACTCAGGGGCCAAACCTTCTCTGAAGCCAATCACCTTGCAAGGTCCCCTTCATTTAGCTCCTGGCATGCAAACTTTACTTTCACCTACCTCCATCCCATCTCCTCCCTCATTCTCAGACTTTTCCCAGTGTCACTCACCCTCTGGCTTATTCCACCACCAGTGTCCTGGACCTGGGGGAAGACTACTCTAATCCTTTTCTAGGTTACTCCTCCAAGTGTACGTTGATTCACAGCATCAAAGTCTTAGGCCAAATTACTTATTTCGTTTATATCATTGTCTGCTTCTGTCTCTTTGAATCCCAGTCGGTCTCGACAGATGGCCGCTCAGCCTGAACCTGGTTCTGCTGGAGGTTTCTTCCTGTTAAAAGGGAGTTTTCCTCTCCACTGTCGCTACATGCATGGTCAGTGCAAGGGATTGCAGAGAGTTTAGTCCTCGCAATTAGCTGGTTTTCCTTAAATAGAAATATTTTTGAGGGTTAAATAAAAAGTTCTAAAAGAAATATTTTTGAAGAATACGATTGCGTAAACCTGTATAAATAAATTGAATATTTTCTAATTGCAACTTTTCCAGGTTGAATTTGAAGTTACACCATTTGTGTTGGTATTGGGCTTCATTTAAAAACTATCAGACAATGCGGAGTGTGAAAGTGGCTTGTTTTTCTTCCATGTGCGCTTTTTGTTAGAACGAAAAAAAAAACTCTTAAAAGGGTGCAGTTTTGCTCCTCCTTCATGATTCACTTTCTGCATGGAAGGATGCTAACATTAGCCAGTCTTTCTTTCACCACGCCTGTCTCTTTTGCACCAAAAAGGAAGTTATTTCAATAATCAGGGAGTTGGTAAGTGATGCTACTTCTTTAACTATTTACCTATTGTGCCGGAGACCAGGTATCAATAGTGAAAACATAACGTTGCTAAAGCTAGAACTACATGAACATGCATATACGCACTCACTTTAAATTCTCATGCAAACCCTTAAGAAAATAAAAATGGGTATGAAAAGGGCTCTGAATGAAATCCATTTAAAAATAAGTTCCCCTAAAAATGACTGTATTAGTAGAATACTAGGTTGTAACTTATTTAATACATGGAATTAAGTTTTAAATAAATAACTAAATTTTAACTTAGTTCTAGTAACGATTAAACCTTCTGAAATTTGATAATTTAAATTGGATTATTTCATATGGTATGGTTTGAGCGGTTTACTATACGTTTATAAGGGCGGCGTTGAGCTAGAATGGATTTTTTTTTTACATTTAAATTCTGTTTTGTTTCACTCTAAATTGTAGTTTAAAAAATGTCAGCTTTTAAAAGAATGCAAATGTTATTTTTAAGGTTAAAATGAAAATCAAAAGGCCAGTTGGGAAATAAAATAGATCTTCACCCTCAGCTTCTCTACTTACCATAAAACTCACAAAACTTGCTCCAAAACTCATCAAAGGACTGTGGTTCCTGAAAAAATAAATAAAACACAAGTTAGGGGGGCTTTGTAAAAATGCAACCATTCCAACAACAAGTCTATTTAACAGGTGAAACACTGGTGTACAAGGATAGATTTCATCATGTCAAGGCCTATTGCAACTGAATAGCAAAGCTTAAATGCTTTATGTAGTTTTAAAGAGGGAAACTCTCTGGATAATGATTTATGCTGCCAAGCATTTCACTGTTTCACTTCCTTCCAGGTTTGCTTGCTGATGCTGTCAAAGCAGGATGACACTTGGTGCTTAAAGCAATTAGTGGGACTAGTGACATTTTGCTTTTCACCAGGGGTCAGGACACCTATAGGGCCACCTTCAGTGGAATCAACATGTAGGCTTAAAAATACCAAGCTCTGGAAATAAAAAACACATTCTGTAAACATGTTTTTAAGCCTCCCACCTCTGATGCAGCCTAAAGACTATCTTAACTTTACAAACATATAAAGTAAAGAAAGTTAAAACAACTACAACGCCCTGCTATCAAACACAAACCAGCTGTTATATCATTATTTCATTAGATATTTGTCCATAAACAGGTTTTTCTGGCTACCAGTATTTTCTGTTGGAGTTAAATAACACTAATCCAGCTTGTGACCAAAATATAAGGTGCTTATATAAAGTAAAAGCAACATGACTGTTTCTCATGCCTGTTGAATTCTTCTGGTGTATCAGTTGACAGATCTGCAGGCAGCGGTTGAACCTGAAAGCTGTCTGAAGACGCACACAAACCTGTATGTCCTGAAGAGCTCATCACTTTCCTTGAATCCGTTGTTGAGCAGCATGTTGATTCCTTTCAGAGCCAGCTCTGCATCATTTATCGCTTGGGTTTTGTCATTCGCGGAGCTCCCGGTAGCTGGTTCTGTTGGGTCCGCCATTAGGACACCCGAAGCCGCCGCGGCCGCCCGGGGAGGTCGGTATCCAAGAGGTTGTGTAAAGGGGGTGGCTCCGGATAGTTTACTCACACATTCAAAACAGCCTCAACCCGTGGCGCAGATATGAACGGTCGCTGTCATGTCTGCGTTGTTTATATTAGAAGACTACAAACCCATAGAGGCGACATACTTCTTGACATAACAGCTACTGTTTGTGTGGGCTGACCGCTGTTTCGTCTGAAGGCTCGCGCCGCTCTGTTCCGTATTGTGCCGCCTGTCTGGCCGCCCCGGTTCCTGTGGAGACAGGAAATGTGCTGCTTTCAAGTGCATCCGGAATTATAACCTTCCCACAGAACTCAGCTCTCCTTATTTTTTGTAAACTTCAAAGCGAGTTCTTATTTGGTGTAGTAGCAGTCAAATTATTATCAGTGGGTTATTATTATTATTAATTTGTTGTTGGTTATCTTGTGTTTTCCAAAGGGCTAATGCTTCATCCCAACATGTAAAAATCCCCTGAAGCACAAAAGAAACAGTGCCCCCTGCAGTCACAGCATATCACTGTATGAAATATGGATACATGGGAAAGTTTATTGATTTATATAGTTTTATATTTTTCTCTTTTTTGGTCAATTTGTCTCACAATATAAAATAAGATGAAACCAAGTTACATTTTCTACACAATCACTATTGATACAATTTCAAATCGTGTTTTTATATCTCAAAACAAAGATTAAACTTGTTTTTTCATTCAGTTGCCTGAGTTGACAATTCAGTGATATTTATCAATCACTCAGGTAGTCATATATAAACATATATTTAGAAGCTGATTTTAATCTGCTTTAGCTGATACGTCAATATTATCACAATTTCAACAATACCTTACCCAATGAAACTGTTTTTGCTACAGTACAACATGAAGTGATGACATACATCCGACATTTAATATTCAACATGTTAAATATATTGCAATATTTCACTTAAAGCTTGCAGATATCTATGTTGTCATTTTTTCCATGCAACACTAACTTCCCATTTTTGGTTGCAGTAACATGAAACTAAGGACACTTTCTTGTCTTTAGCCAATCTGAATTTATCTGTCTTTGCGTCTGTCAATTTGTCATTGTCTTTATGATATCACATGAGGTGCAGTTTGTTGTTGAAATAATAAAATTTGAATGATATAAATTGAATCCAAGTCATGGATTAGAGGACAGTTTAAAAACATTACATCTAAAAGTTAGTTTAATAAGTTTGATCGGGTTTATTAAATTGCAATAATTAATACTTTAAACACATTTTACCATAGCAACAAAACAAAGTCTTTGAATCTTTATCAAAGCAATTTACTCTCGCACACCATTCAAATGTTTTATTATAAAGAAAAAAGGACCAATAAGAGGGATAATTTATCAAGATCCGACCATATTGTTGAATGCAATTCTTTGTTCTAACCACAAAAACCGAGCTAAGATATCTAAATAAATTTTTCTGATTAAAACATTGAAAGAGAATTAAAAAAGCAAAAACAACCTCAAACACAAATAAAAAAAATCTTTTATTGTCACAAACTATAAAAAAACAATCAAACACGTTTATAAATCGGTCATTATAAGGCAGGAATGCATGTCCAAATACGTCTAATTATACTGCATTTTATCATGTTTCTCGATAATTGTAGAATGAATGTAAAAAAACAGAAAAGTAAACACCTGCTGGGAAATTTCAAGCATCTTTAATACATTTACTTCTGTGCTGAATTGCATTCAGCTCTTTGGTAATGGTCCCAATTTATCACTGACCAAAGCTATGAAACCTATGCTTATGGCACAAATTACAGGTTACTTAACAGGTAAAACCGAATAAACAGAAATGAAAAACCATGCTCTTTCATGACGTGAGCAAAAGGCACATGCAAAAAGGAATGCAAAATGGCAAGGAAATTCAGGTAAAATGTGAGGAACACGTGTGTTTTAAACCAGTTACAAAGCAGAACTCTACATGCAATTGGTGGAAATAAATACATCATAGCTTGGAGACCCCTGAAATAGCAATGACAAGCACCGCAGGTGTAAACATAATATTTCTAGAATAAAATTTGAAAAAAGAAAAACTACAATCCAACAACAAAGCTAGTAATCTTCATTGCAATTGCAGCACCATCTGAGAAGGTAACCTCTGTTCTCTTAAAGTGCTGGGTTCTTCATAGTGAATTCCCCCCATCAGTCAATCACCAGTCTTTTCAGTAGCATTTGGTTGTTGACAAATGATCAACGGAGACATGCATCTACTTGTGTTACAGTTGGAAAATGTGTCCAACAATTGGTGCCATGGTTTGATCACAAAATAAATACAGAGATGTTTGACAGAGGATCCTGTGAGGTGAATATGCTACTCACATCTCATGTCCTCTCCCCCCCTGCCCACACTCATTCAGAAACACACACAGACACATTCTCTGTCTTTTAACAGATTGCACATAGTGGGTGAACAAAATGGTCCCAAGCTTTGTTCAGTCATAATGCGGTGAGGTGTGTTGCTCAGCCTGGACACTCCTTGAGGTTGACGGGGCCAAACTCACTTGATGACCTGTGAAAGGAGACTGATACGTCGTTGATCTTCATGTCTTGAATACATCCCACAAAGGATGATTTAACAGGAAGCGCCTGTTGCATCAATGTTTCTGTAAAAACAAGCATGCAGCATGTAAGTAAATGTATGCACTGCTGCATTTTTATACACTTTAATGTTTCTTAAAGTGATTTTATGCAAACAATTATACTTATGACAGCATTAATGCATATACAGGTATGTACTATAGTAAGTATTCCAACTAACACAGGGCCTCTATTGTGGCCATTTTAGAAGGAATAAATAAAAAAAAAGAAACTTTGAAACTGATTCTTCTTACATCACAGTAGCATATTCTCACACTGAAACTTTATATTTAATTTGTTCTATGTGTGAATATTACTTATTTCTTGCTTTATTTGTTCTGATTGCTGACTGAAAAATATGAATAACATAGACATCCTATTTATTCATTCAAAAATTTGTACAGTACAGCGTTCTGCCTAATTAATGTTTTGTTGAACAAAATATTTATCTATTAAACTGATCAAGTATATTCTTAATGTTATGTATTAGTAGATCTAAGTGTGTGAAATATGCTACCAATCAGGAAGAGAACAGTTTCTTGTTCACATATTTACTAGCAAAATATTTGTGAAGTTATTGGCCTAATTGCGTTATTACAAAGCTGAAGAAATATTTTTTAAATCACTTTGAAAATAGCTCAAATTTACTTGTATTATTAGAGATTTGTATCTTTTACCTCCCTACCCTCATCCTTACTTTGGTGACCTTAACTCCTTGTCCAGCCTTTTTTGTCCCAGTTTCAAGGGTTTATACTTTTTAAGTGTTGTCTAATGATAGACATCACTTTTTGACTTATATACTTACAGTAAGGGAAACAGGATGTTATTGAAAACTAAATGTTTTGGAAACCAAGTTTAAAACATGAAAGTGTAAATTACAATTATGCCTTATTTATATTTTGAATTCTTATTCATTGTTAGGCATACTGTCAATGTTGCACATTTGATTTAAGAGAAATATACAGCTAGACAGACAGACAGACAGACAGACAGACAGACAGACAGACAGACAGACAGACAGACAGACAGACAGACAGACAGACAGACAGACAGACAGACAGACAGACAGATAGATAGATAGATAGATAGATAGATAGATAGATAGATAGATAGATAGATAGATAGATAGATAGATAGAAGAAAATAAGTATTTGAACACCCTGTTATTTTGCATGGAGGGATCTGAAATTGTCATCATAGGTGCATGTCCACTGTGAGAGACACAAAGAAAAAAAATCCAGAAATCACAATATGTATGATTTTTACTATTTATTTGCATTATGCAGCTGCAAATAAGTATTAGAACAACTGTCTATCAGCTAGAATTCTGACACTCAATGACAATATTTGTCTGCCTTCAAAATGTCCACCTCCACTTCATTTATTATCCTAAATTAGATCCACCTGTTTAAAGTCATTAGCTGCGTAAAGACACCTTTCCACCCCATACAATCAGTAAGAATCAAACTGCTAACATGGCCAAGACCAAAGAGCAGTCCAAAGACACTAAAGACAAATTGAACACCACCACAGGGCTGGAAAGGGCTAGGGGTCTACAGACCTAAACCCAATAGAATATCTTTGGAGGGACCTCAGACTCTGTGTTTCTCAGCGACAGCCCAGAAAGCTAACTGAACTACAGAAGATCTGCGTGGAGGAGTGGGCTAAAATCCCTCCTGCAGTGAGTTCAAACCAGGTGACAAACTACAGGAAACATTTGACCTCTGCAATTGCAAACAAAGGTTACTGTACCAAATATTAACTTTGACTCTTACAATGGACATGCACCTACGATGACAATTTCAGACCCCTCTATGATCTCTAAAAGCTCTGCTTTCAAAAAATAGGACAATTAAGAACAATAAGGCAACGTTCAATCTGCACCCTGAAGTGAACCAAATCTGATTTTTTTTTTGGCCCATATGTGACCTGTATATGATCTTTTCATGGCTGTCTGAACAACACAGATCTGATTTTTTCCAATGCGACCCAGGCCACTTGGCTATGTGGTCCTGAATCCAATACGAATCTGATCTTTTCAAATGCGACCTGTGTCTGAACAGCCAGGTCACATTCATCCGACCTGAACGCCATTAATATCCAACAAAGGTCCCTTTTCTGGGTCTTGCTATGAAGAAGCGGCAAGAAAAACAACACCCATGGCTGATGCGGAGAGCAGTATTTATGTTTAACCATCTTGAAAAGATTGTGTCCGTAAACACAGAGCAACTGTGATATCATTGCGTCCTCTACTGCGCATGCGGGACACTTGCGTTGTATGACCGAGTTCACACAGAAGATCACATACAAGTCGCATATACTGTATTTGGAAATGTGAACAGCAATGCAAAAAAATCAGATTTCACAAAAAAATTGGAATTGGGCATCAAGGCCTTCAGTGTGAATGTAGCCTAATACTCACCAGGAATACCACCAACATATAGGGGGACTTTGGTCAAAGGGAAGGTGGAAGGTTGTGGTCCTATCTTGTAGTTGTCCGTTGTGTCCACAGATAGCTGTACAACATTTCTTCTTTTGATTACTAAGGAAAAAAAGATAAGCGATTATAAAAATACATTAATGAGTATTGATATAAAAAGGTAGCCTGGGTGCCATTCCGAACTTAGTCCCGCCCACAAGGTTTGAGGTCGGGAAGTTCGGTCTGGCTCTGCTCCATAGTAGCGCGAGTATGATCGCCCACCCTCTGGCGATCCAATCAAATTGTCAGGGCGGGCTTTATACGATGATGGACAGATGATCAACAGTAACGTAATCAACCACGTGACCAAAGCGCGCTTGGGCGACAACAACAATGGCTGCCGCCGGAGAGTTGAGGTGAGTAGATTCTGCTATTAGGTCTGTTCTAGAAGATATCGACAGCAAATTAATTTTAAAAGAGGAAAAGAGAAACGCGATCAAGTCTCATCTTCTTATTCTAGGCGCGCAACTGCACGCTTTGATTTTTGTTGACAACAACTATGCCTGGCTTAACATACGTCACGCACTCCGTTGCTCTTATTGGTTGTAGGTCTATCCAATTGAGTGCAGAGGCATTTTTTTTCCTGGTCCGTTCAAAACACGCCCCATAATCACCGCTCTATGGAGCAGTATCAGACTCATATTCTGACTAGAATTGAGTAGGACTACGTCAGGCTAATAAAAAGGTAACTCAAGTGGTAAAACATTACTTCTTATTTCAGATCAATCTAACCAGTCAAGAAGAAAACAAAATATGTATGGACTCTGCAGAAGCTAATGAAATGTTGACGCAAAGAGAAAATGATCGATGTGTACAAAATGGAGACCAAAATGGCACCTAGTTTTGTTTGCATATTTGTCGGTCAGTTAGGAAAAAAATCCTCTCCTACCATTTATTATGTCTTGGAAAAGGGACATAAAGTAGATTATGTTTTCTGGAAAAACGATCTAGAAATAAGTTTACATATCGTAAATATATCTTTAATTTAAGTAGGTCAATCAGAAAGTTTGCCAATGGAATGAGTATTTTTACTCTTGAAATAAGATAATAAGATAATATGCACTTAAAATAAGACAATCCCATTTTGTTTTCTTATTTTAAATGTAAATTGTCTTGTTCCATTGGCAAAATGTCTCTTTTACCTCTTCAATCCAAGAACAAATGCACTTATTTTAAGAATAAATGACTTTTCTAGATTTCAATTTTTGCCAGTGTAACCCTTGGGTGAGGCTTGTGAATCTTTGTTTTCTTTTATCTCACTCTCTTATGCTACAAGGATGTGTAAACGATATATTGCATCCAAAATATGAGACTTATTTAACATTTCGTTGAAAATGTTTTGAGGAACGAATCTGACATAATTGAAAATAAATGGCAGAAATGTATTAGGATGGAACGTGGAGAAAATTAGTTTAAAAAAAAATAGAAAATAAAATAAAACAGAAATAAAAAGTACACAGAAATAAATACATATAAAAAACAAGTAATCAATAAAGTTGAAAATTATAATATTAAATAAATGAGGTAATTACTATAAAGATGAATAAATAATTGAGTTAATTAAAGTATATTTGTACATTTTTTTGTACATTTTATTTTTTGCCAATACATTTTTTTATTTGAGCATTTATGTACTTATGTAATTATTTTCAACTATGTCAGACTGGGTCCTCTAAACATATGTTTATCAGGTATATATAAGAATATGTTGTTTTTATTTCACCTGAAATTTTATGGAACATTCCATCGCATAAAGAAGTTTTAGGCTTCACTGATGTCATGTATTCTCCTCTCCCGTTGCTCACCTTTGCCACAACCTGTAAATGACAATATTTTTAAATTTCTTACTTTTAACAAACAAACAAGGAAAGTTACCTGATAATAAAGGTACTTACACTATTCAAAACCAACCAAGATCAGTTTGAGGGACATAAAGTGATGGCTAGTAATAATTTAAAACAGCTATATGGCAATGAGAAGCAAAAGAGTGCTCTTACCTCTCCTCTAAGCATATAAATGCTGAGAAAGTGGCTCATCGTGTTTCCATAGTTGTTTGTGTTCGAATCACCGACATAAAGCAGGAGTCCGGTCTGATTGCGGGGACGTATGCTGAAGAGCAGTTCCAGTTCAGATCCAAACACAAAGGAGTCATCTGAAGTAAAAAAAAAATGTAACTTCAAAACACATATACAGATGCTAGGATTTAAAGGTATAGTGAAGGATGTTCTTTTTCCGGGTGGATCATCAAAATAAGTGGTCCTCCTAATTGTCAATCATTCTGGTGATATGTTTACACAAGACTGTCCTACTTGCTCATTCCCATCTTCATTTACCGGTGGTGATTCTGACATAGTGCTGAGTGTCCCGAGCCCGTAACATCATAAATGACCCCTCACACCCCACCATGGACTGTTCTCCCTGCTGCCCTCTGGGAAAAGGCTTCAAAGCATCTGACGTAGGTCCACCAGATTTCAGAACAGTTTCTTCCCCACTGCCATTAGACTTCTGAATGTTAAAGTGGGTTATTTTATTTATAAAGAAAAAATAAATAAATAAAATTTATGTTAGAAGTGTAAATATACAGTCATATGTTTATATTACTATATATTTTTTATGTATTTATTACTGTTTTCAGAGCTGCTCTGTAAAAAATGAAATTGTCTAGAGCTGTTTTAAACGAAATTTCTTTTTGTATACACTGGAGTATACAAAATGACAAAATAAATTTGTCTAAGTCTAGGTCTGTAATAGAGGAAAAACTGCAAATCTTCTTTTGAAAGTAAGCTCGTATGAGCAATGCAAACAGCAATTTTCAAACAGTGTGTGCACGAGGAGAAATGGGCTTGTGCAAGCTCTCACATGTTTTAATAGGCTTTCCTTCTTGGGAGTGGGTACAGGGTTGTGCATGTGCATTTTTTTTAAAGTAGAGAGGGCAGGTCTTTTTTAAAAATTTGCGAAAATCCTCCACAATACCTTAAAAATTTGCAATGAGCCACCAACCACTGAATAAACAGAAAACCATATAAAAAAACTACGTTTTTTTTGTCTTAAATCGGGCAACAAAAATGTTCTGTTGTTTACAAAGATAAAAAAACAGTGTGGTATCAAAGGGTTATAAAAATGACAAGCACTCACTGATGATGACATGCGCTCCAATTCCTGCAAAGTACACCCCTCTCTGTGTCTGTCCCTCAAAGCAGGGTCCTGCACCATAGTTTGCTGATGGGTTTGACATTGGTGCTCCATTCATCTTAAAATTACGCACGCAGCCGGACACACTTTGCTTTGGTAGAGCCTTTGACTAAAACGGAAAAGAGTTTCAGTTTTTCTGATTGACAATAGTTCTTGAGAAAAATATATTTTTTTGTTGTCCAAAAAATGATATCAGCTGGTTTAAAATTTGTTTTGCTACCTTTAACTCTTTCTCAAGGGATTCTGGTGCACTGCCCAGGTACACAGGTAGGAGGAATTGCTGCATGGACTTCAACTCAGTGTTTGTCAGTTGACCATCCTGAGCTCTGATCCCATCAACAACCAACCTGAATTTCTTCTTCTCCAAACTGAATACGACCTACGGACAAAAACAGTCAACACAATTTTGTTTAGCAAAATAAGATGAGTAGTACAAAGCTGAAGGTCCTTAGATAGAAACCAGATTTTTACGTACTAATACATGCAGTAGTAGCCATTCAAAATTTCCCCACTTTCCTTGATGGGCCCTTAGCTGGTCCCCTAATATTCCTTTTTTAAGGAATCTAAGGAGATCAATCTTTGTACTAAAATATTATTTCTGTCATGATTTGTGGACATTAAGATCTAAATAGAAGTGTCATCTCCTGGCCAGACCCTGCAATTCAGCTAAAGGGTGGAGTCAGAGTAAAAAAATACATGCTGCCCAGGAGAAGGAGGGGGTCACTCCAATGGCTGGATATTGGCTGCCATTTGGCTGGCGTTTGACTGGGAAGGGACATTTTGAATGGCTGCTACTGTACATAAAGACAGGCTAAATTTTCTTCATTGTTTGAATTGAAACATAGTAAGCTTCCTGTTGTTCAGGTAGGACTACAAAAAATATTTTTATTACTAAAAAGAAGAATAATTAGAAATACAATTTAAGATCATTTTATTAGTCTTTTAAGGTCCCTCCCTTCTACACCGCTATGATTAGGGGAGTGTTGGCCCAGTGGTAAGAGCAGGGTGCTTGTGATCTGAGAAGGTTGCAAGTACCCGGTTCGATCCCCATATCCTCCACTCTGGGTTCCTGAGCAAAACCCTTAACCCCACACTGCTCCCCAAGGGGGTGGGTTAAATGCAGAGGTACATTTCTCCAATGTGGTGTCAATGAAATTCAATTAAATCCCATTCGGTGCCTCAGAGGAGACAGAGCTTTTTCAGTTGCTTCTGCAAAACTTTGGAATGAGCTCCTCCTTAGACAATTCCCTTCACTGTCTATTTTAAAACTCATCTTAAAACCTATTTTGATTATTTGGCTTTTAACACAGTGTTTTGCGGTTTGTGCTTTGTTTAATTGTTTTTTTATATGGTTTTGTCTGTTTTAATTATTTTATTTTATGTTTTATTCCTTTAAACTTCTATGTTGTTTTTAAACAATTTTAAATTTACATGGTATGTACAGCACTTTGTGGCATTGTGTTCGTTATGGACAATCCATGGCGAGCACAAAAGTCCAAGAACAGAACACCACTCGAGTTCAGGTCAGATGGGCCATTCCTTCCAACCATGCCTCCCCAGGTCTCACTGTCATTGCCCACATGAGCGTTGAAGTCCCCCAGAAGAAAAAGGGCATCCCCAGGAGGGGCACTCTCTAGTACTCCCCCCTAAAGACTCCAAAAAGGGTGATTAATCTGAACTGCTTTGTGGCCCATAAGCACAAGCAACAGTCAGAACCCGTTCCGCCCACACGTATGCGGAGCGAGGCAACCCTCTCCTTCACGGGGTGAACCCCAATGTACAGGCACCAAGATGAGGGGCAACAAGTATGCCCAATCCTGCTCGGCGCCTCTCACCAGGGGCAACTCCAAAGTAGAAGAATGTCCAGCCCCTCTGAAGGAGACTGGTTCCAGAGCCAGAGCCATGCGTCTAGGTAAGTCCAACTATCTTTCAACCTCGCGCACTAACTCAGGCTCCTTCCCCACCAGAGAGGTGACATTCAATATCCCAAGAGCCAGCTTCTTCAGCCGAGGATCAGAACTCCAAGGTCCCCGCCCTTGACTGCCACCCATCACACATTGCACCCAACCCCTTTGGCCCCTCCTAGAGTTGGTGAGCCCATTGGAAGGGGGACCCATGTTTCCTCTTTGGGCTGTGCCCAGCCGGGCTCCATGGGTAAAAGTCTGGCTACCAGGCGCTCGCCAGCGTGCCCCACCTCCAGGCCTGGCTCCAGAGTGGGGCCCCAGTCACCCTCGTCCGGGCGAGGGAACACCCGTCCATTTATTTTACTTGTCATGAGGGGTCTTAATGCAAATCCTTCTGAGAATTTGGGGAAGAAGAGCCAAAATGCTTGACCCAAGTTGTGCGTTTTAAAATGCAATAACGCCACATAAGAAGTGTATGCAAGTTTTTCTCACTTATTATTCAACCATTTAGAAAGCACAAATCATTTTTTTTATCACTACCTGACCTAAAACAGAAAAGGTGCAGTCTGGTTTGATTCCAGGCAAGTACAAAAATGGTGTTGTGTTATGTGTTTTTTAATAGTTCATGTCAAAAATACATTTTAGATGTAAACATATTGAGAGTTGTATAGAGACGTGTGTGTTTACTAACCGAGTGCCACTTTCCATCATTGTACTTCTCTCTGTTAAATATCTCCTTCTGTTTGCCCACAGACAGTCGGATCCTGCCCTTAGACATGTACAATGCCAGATGAGATTGCCCTCCTCTGGTGGCTGCAAAGAACAGCAGACCCTCTGGAGATCGAGTCCTGACATCTAGAGAGAAGTGGGGCCTGGATAGGAAGAAAGAAAGAAGAACAAAAAGTGAGTATAACAAGCTTTATTGAAGCTCTTTTTATACTCAATTTGTATTCAAAATGTAGGATCAAATGGTAATTGGCCATTTACCTGGGCTGCAAGACCTGTAATGGCAGGCTGTAGCTCAGGCTGCTTACTGGCCCTCCCATGCGATATGCATACTGAAGCTGTGCTGGGACTTCACAGGGTAACACGCTTTCATTCATCATTTGCTGCACATTTTCCTGTGAAGAAGCACAAAAGAGGAAAAAGCAGAAACTCCTTAAGACAAGTTTGTACTTGAATGGCTCCCAGCTCAGGCTTGTAGCAGGTGTCTGGAAGGCTCAAACTCCGCTGGAAAGTAAGGGGGAAATTGAATTATGATCACTTCCATTAAAAGCCTACTTTAGCTGAATTATTTTAGGGTTTTAATCTTATATTTACCAGTAAATCCTGTTTTAAATCTAAAATGTCATAAAACATTTTCCAAATCTAATTTGAAATGCCCATGTCAGGCATAATTGCAAACAATCTGTGTTTCAGTCAGAATAACGAGCAACTTTGAAGCTTTTCAAATACTGCCATACTTCACTGATCTTAAAAGGAAAATTATATGTGATTGACATGTGAGTTCTTTTTTAATTATTATTGAATAATGAGGCCAGACAAGAATTGTGTCAATTTTAATTTAGTCCAACCTAAAGACTAATTTTCCTGCATATGATTTTAATCACTGGTATACTGTGCTTACGTTCAAAAACAGAAATGCAGTGCTCAAGGATTTTCAAGATTTTCTTTGAGGTCTGACCTGCTAATTACAATTTTTTTTCATTCGGATGTGAAGAACAAAGAGCAAAATGTGCCAAAGAATCATTGATAGATTGTGGTTTCAAATGGATAGAGCACAAAAGAAGAGCCAGAGGATCCATCTCTACATCAAAGCAGAACATATGCTGTTTGTTGATTTTTTTTGTATACACTAAAAATGGTAGTTTTTTTATGTTTGCATGTCTATTTCATGCATCTAGAGGATATAAGAAAAGCAGATTTATATTTTTCTATATATTGCCTGCCCATCCAATCAGAGCCAATCGGGGGGGAAACTGTCTGGCAGACTAGTGCATGTCTATTCAAATCCGATATTTTATCACTCATGCTTTCAACATGTTCTTATAATTACAGCTACACAATGGATATACCAGAATTAATTAAGAATCTTATACAGGTTTGTTTTAATTTCTTTTATAAATTGTGTTTCCCATCCCCAATGATTTTGCAATGCACTTCATATAATTAGTAGCAACATAGTGGTATTGATGTAAAGTGCTTTTCCAAAAAAAAAGCCTATTAGGTTCTAATAAATTAAAGGTAAATGCAGATATAAAAGCTGTCCTCTTATTATTTTGTGATAACGGTTTCTCCACATCCATATGAAACCTTATTGGTGTGAAATTATTTCTCTCTTTAACTCCCCCCTTTTTTATTTTTAGCTATGTGGAGTTTATCATGTAGCCTATTATTGGCCTTCTGTGAACCCCAACAGTGCTGATTGTCACAGTATTTATGTTCCTTTATTTTAAATAAGATTTATTAAGAATTTGTCTCCAAGTTAAAATATTATATTTTCCAATGTAGGATGGAAATGCAAGGACAAGGGGATTAAAGGAATTAGTGGAATGTGAATTTCATGAAAAACAAATGAAAGAACTCAGGGCCGCCAGCAAAGAAAGACTTGCATATTTTACCTCAAGGTGAAACTTATGTGAGAAATCCTCTTACTTCATCTCAAAGTCTCTTCTATGTCCATCCATGAACAAGACACAAAAAATTTATTCTTTTGCAGCTCAGTCTGTCAAATCATTCATTTTAAGTATATCGTAGGAATGCTGCTGTAATCCTCTAGCTCTTTCAATTTACTCTGTTTATTTTTTAGCATCTAAAAGCATCTAAATACGCCTGTGCTATTTCAATTAATATTAAATATCAAACATTTCAGGAGCTCTACCTTCAACCTTCAAAAGGGGTTATTTACACCCCATAAAAATGATCAAGAAATACTTCAAATTTTAAAGAAAATCCTTTGTGCCTCTCAAATCAACTTAGTCCAAGCAGGTTTTTGGAGAATTTTAAATGCTTAATTGCTTTTAATATGCTGCCGTCTCAATAATCACTGGAAGAGTTGAAATGGACACTAAAACCCCTATGGTAACAACTGTGTTGAAATCACCGGGCTCCATTCAATAAGGAAGCCAAAGTCTGCGGTTCTTTCTGATTTTACTGCAAACTAGATGCTATAATGCAAAGATTAAATGCTTTTGCAGACATTTTAAACTGCTTTTAACATCAGATATTGCTATTAAGTTGACTTTAACATATTTCTCTGCAAATTTCCTCTTTTTCTGGTACATTTTTACACTTAAACCTGAGTTTTTTTGCTTAACTTCCGGTTTTTTAATACATCAGATAACCTATTATATGGAACCCACATAAAGCATTCACCCCTTTTGCAGTAATCGCAGCTTTCTGGTTCTGTATTATTTAAATGACACAGATAAAAGTATGGCAAAATCCTAAAAGGTGGTGTTAATGGCTACTAAGAAAAAGGTGCAATTAGAATACGTTTTTAATTATCTCTTTATCAGGCATGAGATTATGTGTCATTAGTGAATTAACAGTAAGATGCTTATGAACTGCTGTTAAAAAGGTTACATGGAAGAAAGAGAAGAGACAAAATCCTTTCAAGGTTGTTATTCACAAAAAATTGTATATGGTAAATTTGAACTGAATGAACAAAGGAGGATCAAATACAATGCAGTTGTTCTTTGGCACGTGTACTTAAGCATTCATAGATAAAAAAAATTTTATTAGAGTACACTGTAGATAAATGAGCTTGCACGTAAGCTAGAATAAAACACAGGGTTGCATCAGTCAGTGTTAGATTCTTGTCGTCATCTGCAGGTTTTGGGCTCCTTCTTCTTCATCTCTGGAAAATGAGGCAGCAAAATGTAAGGAAACAAGGTTGAAATGCAAAACGTGACAGTTATAGAAAAAAATTAAGTGAGATGTGACTTACTTCACTTTAAAGGAAGCAAACATTTTTATTAGATTACAAGTTAACAAGTAACATGGATTCTTCAAAGGCTTTAACGGTAATTCAAGAAAAGAAACACATGCTTGAGAAAATGAGAAATTATCTAAGATCCATATAATATATCTAAAGTAAGAAGATCTTAAAACACAAAATATGAGACTACAATAGCAACGCCATATACCATGAGCTGGCACTGGTGATATCACTATGCTGCAGACATGTGCTGGGTTGTTTTGTTAACAATAAACATTTTCAATAAAATATGTCAAATTAATGTGTAATTGATATATTAAATAGACTGTGTAAAAACGTTTTTTTTCCCTGAGATCATAAAACAATTAGAATCTTGGATTTAAGGTAACAAACTACCCAATATTTCTACCCATGCTGGAATATATGCGGTAAGCTTTTACCTCTTTTTAACTTGCATTCAAGCTGACACCATTATTTTCTCAGATGGCCATTTTGTGACACACACATGCTCAAGTTCAGCATTTATGAAAAGAAAATGTTGTCCTTTTTTTTTTTTTACAAAGCTTCTATGTTGTTGTTATTTTTTATATTTCCAAAACTTTGGAAATGAAAACTATTATAACTATTCTGACATACAAATGTACATACAGCTGGATAAGAAAGAAGCATAAGAACAAGTTTCTGAGTAGAGCTTATATATATATGAGAGCTTACCTTTTTAGAGAAGCGGTCCATCATCAGCTGAACAGGATTACTGATGGTGCAAACATCCATCAGGACCTCTCCAGATGACTCGAAGGTGGTTAAGTCCTCAGGCTTGTATATGTTTTCTGGCCTGAAATCACAAACAATCAAATAAAGAACAGATATAAGAAGAGGCACAATTTAAGAACAACCAGAATCACACAGAGAAACCAAAGAAAAATTACCGTCTAGTATAAAAGTTGGAAATGCAGCCTTTGAATTTTGTATTTCCAAGCAACAAAGAGTCATCTGTGTTTGGTAGGGTGGTGGCGACGCTTTGTTCTTGACCATAGTCCTTGTCATCAATCTGCAGTGAAATTCTTAAGAAGAAAAAAAAAAAAAAACGTAAAATGTGCTTGTATGTAGCAGAAGTTACTTCAAAAATGTATTTCAAAAATTAAATATCACATAATTTTTCTTTAGAACAGGATTTCAAATTATTTCCCGTGATTTCAGAAGTAGGTTTAAAATTAAAAAGTAAACCCAAATTCCAGAGTCAATTTGGGTTTACTTCTACATTTAAAATTGATTTTCATTTCATACCTATTCTCTCTTTTGGTGATGGTCACATAGTGCCAATTTCCATCGTTGTACTGTTTGTTTGATTTCCACATAGTGTCGCTGGAGCGCAGGATCAAATGGCCATTTTCCATTGCAAGATTTATCTGGTTTGCCTGGAGGATAAAACCATAAGGATCATTGTATTTAATTAAAGATATACATATCAAAGGAGATAACTGTGAGATGAGGGGGCAAAGTTACCTGTTTTTTGCTCTGCATGATGATGCCCTCACTCTCTATGCTCTTGAATCCGAGGGACACAGTAACGTCATTTCCCATATTTAAGTCATTTAAGTTCTTTAAGGAATCCCCCAAACTTAACTGTGCTTTGAATGAGCCCTAAAGAGAAAAGACACATGGATGTTAGCTTAAACATATGAAAATGTGGGTGAAAAGCTCCCCCCTTTTCTCCGTATTATTTATACATCCCAAGAACATTGACATCAGCAAAGTTAGTGCTATATATTCCATCCAAATTTTGGTTTTATACTTTTTTTCTTTTCAAATATAGTGATATATTTATTCTTTTAATTTCTTTACAGTTCTTTTTAAGGTCAGCACCTTTGAGGGCAGCAAGGCCTCGGACACCACGCCTTACTGTACCTGAGTTGTCCACCTCTGAAGGACATCAAGTCATCTAACTCTGTATATAACTAGAAGCCATCTTGATGCAAGCTACAAAAGAAGCATGGCTGTAAAACCTATGGTGCTTTAACTTTAAGCATAAAAGCCCTTCAGTCCCACTGTTGAGCTTGGTGAAGGAACTATGATGAGTTGCAGCCCTGATAATTTTTTTAGAATGCATGACATCATGAAGATTTAAAGAAAAACTCAATTTCCTTTAGAGAAAACTTCCATCGAATAAAAGCATGTGAGGTGCCCTGATGGTAAGCCAGGATCCTGGAGGATTTAAGGCAGGGGTTTCAAAAGTGTGTCCCCCAAACTCCTTTCAAAAATATAGCCCCCTGCACAGTGATTAATAGGTGGAAACATTTTAGACTTTTCTTACAGCAAGAGTAACATTGATGCATTACAAAAGCCGCTTGATAAGGGAAGTAATAATAATACGTTTTATTTAAAGTGCCTTTCAAAACACCAAAAGACACTGTACAAAAAGCACAATGAACAACGCCTAACATTGAAAACAGAACATGGCAATGAGTTGGAGGTATGCAGTCTTGAACAAAAGGTAATGAGGCAGGCAGGGTGTCATGATCTTGGCACTGATGACTGGATTATTGGTTTATTTCATCCACCTGCGTAGCTCCGCTCAGTTTTCATTATCACTCATCTGATCCACCTGTTCCTGTCCCTATTTAACCTGTTTGGTCCCAGCTACCACAGCCAGATTATTTGAGCCGTAGGTGAGAGTTCTCTAGCATATGCAGTGTGTTTATTCTGATTGCCTGATTCTGACTAGTTTCTGCTCCTGAACTTGAGCTTGCCTGACCCTGTTCTGAACTCATTGCCTGAACTGTCTACGGATTTCCATTTGATTCTGCCTGCTAACGACCTCGGATCTGTCTCTCAACCCTGGCTTGGATTTCCCTTCAGTACCTCTTCTGATCTCTTATCTTCTGGCCTGGACTTCAACTTATTCATCGACACCGGCTTAAATTTTCCTTCCAGATACTTCTGCTCTTCCTCATCAGCTGGCTTCTGCTCATCGGTCTGTTCTGTAGCTTCTTTGGTTTCTACTCCTCGAATGTTTCCGCCAAATGCTGTGGAAAATCATCCTGCTGGATTTCACTCCTTCCTCTAGACCCGGACTGAACTTAATAACCAGGTTAGTGACTCACACGGTCGCTATCATTCCCCATCAGTAACGTGGTCACTAACCTGTGTTTCTCACTCTACAGAGATTCCATCCATCTAGGCCTAGCTGACGAGACGCAGAACTCCAAGTATTTAATTATTGCTTTTTATGAATCACTTAAGTCTGTCTGCCTTAATTCTGGGTCCAACATTCTAATTTCTGACACAGCGGGCTCAGTAAGGAGGATGGGGTATCAGGGACAACCAAAAATATTTATTAGGCCTTACCTATGCCTTTATTTTCTTTTCTACCATAAAGTAAATAAAACCATAAAGTCTTTTATACCTCTTGACCAAGATGATTTAAAATATTTAAAAGAGCACTCTACCTCCTTGTGTTATGAATATTTCAGCTGTAAATAAAAGGAAAGTCATACCAATGAGTCTGTAGAGCAGCGTTTGCTGATCCCCACTCGTTCATCAAGACTTTTAAATCCTTCTGCTAGAGATAAACTTTTCAAACATCCTTTGAAAGGCGGTGTGGTGATGCCCCATCTAAAAATTGAGACTGACAGGTTATTAACAGTTCCCACTGAACAATGTGGCAATGTACATCAAGCATAGATAATAAGAATGTACCTGTCTCTCAGCTCCTGTGTTACACCACCGATATAGAATTCTTTAAAATTGGCAAAGTCGTATTTTGCTATGCTGACGCGCAGTGGTTCTTTTATAATCACAAGCATATCTGTATTTACAACAATCATTTTGACATTGGTGGCATCTTTTACCTGAAAGAGAAAATAAGTAATATACAAATGCATGTTTTTTTCTTGAAGGAAAAAAAAATCTAAAAGTATTATCATTCAAAAACCAAGAAACCCATGAAAAAAACAACTTACTGGGAAAACTTTCGATGTTCCGCTAACCTGTTGTGGGATTAGGTTACCTCGTACAGCCAAAATACCCTTATCTATAATTATTGTCAGGTAATTGTTCTGTGTGACAAAGGAGAAAAAGGAAATAGTTGCAAATATTATCATTTACTGTCATTCAGATAATAATTGATTTAAATGCAAGATTTATCAACATAAAATCGGTCAATTACATCATCTCCTAAGTAGGCGAGAAGAGCATTTTCTGAGCGTGTAATGATTGACATATCAAATCTTTTCAGGTTCTTGCTAATGTACACCTTCCCGTATCCGGTGCCTTCGAAGTAGTCAGAGTTTGAAGTCACAGTTCTAGAAGAGACAAAGTAGCAGACAGAAACTAAATGTAATCAAATTCTGGGGGGGAAACAAACCTGCAGACAAACATGCAGCAGATTTATGACTCAGCCTTTGTAATTTTTGGCTTTGTACCTCTTGCAGGGAGTGTTGATGTTGATCTTTTCTGCTTTTTGGAAGTTGTAGAGACTGACAGCCTTGCTGTTAACGGAATAGAACTCTATGCAGCCTGTGTATTTTGGTAATCTCATGGAGGGAGGAGGCTGCAGGGAGACAGAGCAAAGGAAAGTATTACTAATCACTATTCAGGATACACCTTCTGTGAATTGAATGATGGTATTTGGTCTACAGCGCCTCACAGTAAAGGTGGATGGGTAGCCTCCAACATAGAAAACAACATCTTCAGGGTTGATGTCCAGGAGGTCCTTTTTCTCCTGTCCTTGAATCTCGTTCAAAATTGGTGCAGCAGGTGTTCCGGTTATGCTCTTGGTCAGACTCATCTGCGCGTCTTGATAAATTCTAAGTCATAAGAAAGAAATACATACATTTGAGGTATTTTCACCCCAGCTACTTTTATGTGCTGTTGCTGTTTCTTCTTTTTGATTTACTGTACTCCAAAGCTATAAACATTTAGAATTGTTTATTCAACATGCAGTTATTGGGCTCTATGCACAGTTCCACTACTTCCTGAGCTTACGGCAGCTCTTTTGTTTCCTGTCTTTTTCAACTAGATGAACTGATTAATCCAGGCCTTTCTAACCCCAGTAATCATGGCCAGACACACCTGGATAAATCAGTTAACCAGGTAATGAAACCAGGGTTTTATAACCTAACCCTGGTTGGAACATCTACAACTGTATCCCTGACATTTCTCTTGTGTTATTTGGTATTCATGTTCCTGTTTGTTAATATTATTCTCCAACGGATCTGATACCCTCAACTGGATTTATGCTGAGATTAAAATCTGTAGAAAACTAGTTTCAAAGGATTTCATTTGGGGGTATTAGAGTGAAGCAGTGGTCGCCAACCCATCTATCGCGATCGACTGGTAGATCTCTGAAACATTCCCTGTAGGTCCCTATAGTGATAGAATAAAGCTGGCACATTAACTGTGGAAAAGCTGGACAGTGGATGGGTGACAGCAGATAGACAGTGATGAGGTCAGATGTCATTGCGGTAGCTCCAAGAAAAAAGTCCAAAACTGATCATTTCCATGAGGAATGGGAAGAGGAATACATTTTCACTGCGCTGTCTAAAAGACGACATCTGGAGCGGCACAACAACACCAACCACTTTAAGTTCAAAGGCAGTTTCCCCGCCATGAGAACAATCCGTGCTAGGAAAGTTGCTGAAAGCAAGTTTGAAGTCCCAGCAGTCACTTTTCACAAACCCTGCAGCTTAACATAAGGCTGCAACTGAAGCTTTATTCCAGATTAGTCACCTTTTGGCAAAACACACGAAGCCTGTTACAGATGGTGATTTATTTATGGAAGCAATGGTGAAGTAGAGTCCTGCACGGGTCGAGTTTTACCAACCCACACCCGCCCGAACCCGTTAGGATGACTACCGAACCCGACCCGTCACCCGCGGATACCTTCAATTCAAATCCGAACCCGACCCGACACGTTGGTATTTAACCCGCAACCCGACCCGTTAACACATCAAGTAATAGGCCATAGTACGCTGCGCTGCAGAACAGCGCCATTAACACTGCAGCAGACGTGTATGCACTGACTGTGGGCTTTTTGGAGGGAAGTCCCCACATTGCCAGCAGGGCTTTAAGCTACAACAAGGGTGACCCCAGACAGTGCCTGATTAATATAACATTTCTGATGTCCATAACAATAGACACGCATAAAAAAATAAAATAAAAATCACCAACTACCCACCCGCACTAAAAAAATATCCGCCCGACCCGTTTATTTTTATATATGTATTTTTCACCTGCAAAAGAGCATTTTTGCGGGTGGCCCGTCGGGTACCCGTTGCAGGACTCTATGGTGAAGTGCTTCAAATTTTGGTGAATTAGACGCCATGGAAGATGTTGCTGCTTTCATCTTAAATCCTTTCCTGACCAGTGATCCGGAACAGGTAGTAGCCAAATTTCAGCAGGTATTTACTTTTAGGAAATTGTCAGCAGGGAAAAGTTTCCCTCTATAGGTAGATCAAGTAGAGGTCAGGGATCTTTGGCTTAAAAAGGTTGAAGACCATTGGAGTAAAGGATAATAAATACAAATGAACCCCCACTTAACAGGGCAACATATTCTCATTATCAGTTCGTATGAAATCGTACGAAAAGTTATGCACTGAACAGGGTTATAGGATTTTTTTTAGTAATCTTTTTTTTATTTTTCTTGCTCTCTATTTCAAAAATATTCACTTTGAGTTGATCCATTACAAACATTTGAAATTAAAAAAAATGAAATATGAGGTATAATAAGATCAAATGTAAGACATAAAATGCGTTAAGAGTAGAATGGAAGTAAAGCAGCAGATTACCTGTGTAGGTCTACTTTATCAAATGTAGCCTGCTCAGAGTCAGAGTTGGAAATGAAACCAGACTCCATCTCATACTCCTTTCCGTTCAGCTTATACAGACCATACAAGCGGTTATTCCTCAACACCATACCAATGTAATTCTGAGAGGACTGCAGAACATAGTTGTATTAGACACAAGAGCAAAATGACAATCCGAATGCAGCTTGTATTTTCATTTACTTACATCTCTGTGACCAAGGTACAACACAAACATGCTTCCTTTGTCTTCAGCCTGTCTGCGCCGGCGCCGTCCGTCTCCTCTGCCCTTGGGTCTGTGCAGCGCCAGGGAAAGAGTTGTGTAGGCTTTCAGCTCATCCAGATCTTTCGGCGTGCGCATCTCTATGTGACCATCCCCAGCGAAATTCATGGGAACCATAATCTGAAGAGAAGGCAAAATATAATGTAGAATTATACAACCTCAGCCTAAGTGTGTAAAAGGGGTTGATTTAAAACAACTGTAAAAGAATACTACAGATTTCTTCTATTTTGACAAGATTTTGATTCTTTTTTTTAATATTGTAGGAAGCTAACATATAATCAATACAAAATTTAAGTTTTACATTATCATTTAATTCATCAAATGAAATAAGGTATTCTGACAAATAAGACTCTATAAGAAGATAATTACCTTTGAATCAAAATAGCTTGATTTTTTTGATTTATTGACCAATTGTTTCTTTGCAATATTGTTTTAATTCAACCGTGTTGGAGGGTTTCGGAACTTTAACTGCCTGTTTACCAACAGGCTACGCTCTCTCTTTCAGATTAAAGGCTGAAGCTGAGCAGGATTAGCCAATCATGTAATATTCAAACAGTGGTTTGAGCTCACCATTCTCCTTCAGAAAGTTCTGGTTAATTAGGTTCCATCGATTAAAACAATTGAACAAGGTACTAAGGCATCAAAGTAATCCCAAACAACCGGATGCAACCATCATGATGAAGCATGATGATGTGATAAGGGTGGCGGGGAGAGCCGAGAGGATCATCAGGGCTCCTCTTCCCTCCATTAAAGACATTTCATTCAGGCGCTGTGTGTTCCGAGCCCGTAACATCATAAATGACCCCTCACACCCCCACCATGGACTGTTCTCCCTGCTGCCCTCTGGGAAGAGGCTTTGCAGCATTTGATGCAGGACCACCAGGTTTTGCAACTTTTTTTTCCCTGCTGAACAGCTTTTTCAGACTGCTTAACTGTTGAGACTTTAATCACACTTGTAAACATTATATTTGCACTGCTTTTGGGAATTTTTTCATAATCCCCAAAACTTATTTTTATTACTACTACTAATTTTTAATACCTACTACTGATTTCTATTACTGATTTCTTCATAATCCCATCTACTTTTTGCATCATAGTTATTTATTTTGCACTGAACTGAACCTTTCCATATCAATGCCTTTAGTAACCATGGCTTTAAACTGGTTTTCCTTTTCTCCTACACTGTCTACATTCTGATCACTGCTGCAAAATATAAATGGAATTGTTTATTTTTACAGTTGTAAGCTGCTCATTCACTGTTGAAAAGCTGTATGCATCGAAATTTCCTTTTGTATAAACTCTTTATATACAAGAGGACAATAAAGTTTCTCTTAGTCTAAGTCTTATGGTTGTAAATCATATAGATGTTACGCGACTTAGACATCCATTGTGTTCCTCTTGGTCAGCAGTGGTTGTGAACCCCCTCATTAACACTGACTACCCCTTGCTCACTCTGTGCTACCTCAGATAGCTTCCCTTTCACTCCTTTCTCTTTTTTTGTTGTAGTTGGGTTCTTGACTGTCACCCTTTCAAGACTTCTTTTATCTGCTTTTATTTATCCTTTAGATTTGGTATGATGTATTGCTTTTTTTTAAAACATTTTAGTTTATTCCAATGATCTATAGGTAATCCGTTTCGGGTGTGGTCACTGAAACCTCTTCTTTCTAACAAATTTGTTCATCACAGTTACACATTTAACAAGAAGGATTTTATTAAGCTAAAAGTAGGTTTAGATTGATATTTTTCCCTTTAAAAATAATTATTTGAAAACCACATTTTGTGTCCAATATTTGTAGCTTAAATTTATAAGTAACAGCAAATGCAGAGGAAATCTGACATCGGATGTATAAGCATGAATGAGTGCATTTAGAAAAAGTCGACTGCACCCACCTTATTAGCTGCATCTCTGGCCTGTTCAATTAGTTCTTTGATCTTCTTTATGTTATCAGAAATGTTACTGACGTTTGAAAACTGGGAGGTCAGGTTCTCAACCTCTGAGATCTTATCGTTCAGAGATGGGATTGTTTTCAGCAAGTCCTTTACTGTGTTTAAAAGTTAAGAGACAAAAGATCTTGTTTATAAATCTGCTGTTTTCATTCATATTTAACACAAACATCTCTACAACAAAGACAAGCACTGATTAGTATTCTTAAAAGAATGAAAAGGCTCACCAGACTGGTCCACATCTTTGAGGGTGTTGCTCAGATTGGCGGAAACAGGAGTCACATTGATTTTCTCGATGTCCTTCCTAATTTTATTAAGTTTGTCCATGGTGTTGGCAGCTGTATTGTTGGCCAAAGCTGCTTTGTTCTTGGCCTCCTCAATTTTATTCCTAATGTCATCTGATTGCAAAACAAAATGCAAAGCAGTTGAAGCAGGCACCCTCTCAGAGAGATAAAGTATTGCATAATAAAAATTTTTATATGAAAATATCACAAAATCTTACAAAAAAATAAATAAATAAAATAAAAAATATATCTATCTATACACACACATATATATTAAACTGTGCAAACTTGACATGAAGCATTCCTCAGTGAATGGAGATGCTTTAAAAGCCTTGCCTGAAAAATTCTACATACTGTAGACGACTGGTTCTATTGTTTTACATTTCAGCTTTGTTTTATTTGTGTCAGAAGAAGAAATTTGTAGTTATTTTTTAAAATAACTACAGATATCTCGTCTCCACTATCTTAAATCATCTCGAGATTTGAATGTATTGTTAAAAAATCCTCTCATTTGATTCTAATTAACTGCTTGAATTATCTCTACTCCACCTCTTTTTGTGTTTTCCAAGTTTTTCTGAATATTCTGGAGGTTTTGCTCAAGATCGTTTTTCTTTTCTTTTGCCTTGGCCAGACGATCCTTCAAGTTAGTGAGGTCAGTGGAAGCGTCTGTAACCAAAATAAAAAAACATGTAAAAAAAAAACTTTGAGGTTATTTCAAAATTCATATGCATAAAGGTTGCTCTAAGTACCTGTCAGGACTGCCTCTGACTCTTTGGCCCTTTTCAGAAGGTCATTGCTCTTCTTCTTTAGGTCTTTGGCTTTATCTACAAGCTTTTCTTCGTTTACACTCTAAAAGAGGGAGAGAAAAAAACATTGTTTAATATGCAATAATTTATTTCATTTAACAGTTATATCAACTTTACATGTGCTCAAGTAGAAAAGCTTACACTTTGTGTACTATCTGCAGCCTCTCTTGCCTCTTTAGCTGCAGCCTCCGCAGCATTAATGGCATCTGTAATGTTCTTATAGGCCTCAATGGCATCCTTTGCATCACGCACCTCAGAAAGTCCACTTGCGTCCTTCATAGCACTGTTAAGATAATGCAGTAACAAATGTTTACAGAAAAAGCAGATTATGATTGAACTGAACTACATGAAACCTAAAATCTATGCAAGAACACTATGGCTCCTATTACTTTCTTGAATATTTCTTTAATATTAGAGACTTTTAGACTTAGACTTAGGAAACTTTTATTGTCATGTATACAAAATGAAAAGCTGTTTTGTGCAGCTCCTACATTTCCATCTCTTAAAGTGCATTAGTGATCTAATGTAAACATCGTGGTAGAATGTAAACATTATTCAAACAATAATAAACCTACTCTTCGAGTTCCTTTGCCAGCTCGGTTAGGTTTTTTGCATGCTCCTCTGCAGCCTCCACAATGTCCTTATTTGCTGCTGCCTTGGTGATGTTGTTCACCTTCTTGGCCAAATCAGTCTTTGCTCCATCCAGCTGTGCAGCCAACAGCTCATAGTCCTGCAGCACAAGGAGAAGTCAGATATCTCTGAAAAATGTATTGCACAAACAGATCTTTTTGCCATTTAACTTAGATCTGTCACTCTCAAACAGTAGTGCGCCCTGTTGGCACACGTGGAACACAGGATATTTTTAATAAGAAATGAAATACTGTTACTGTAGAATTTTGTTTAGTGAAAAAAAGTCAATAAAAATAATCTGTGATGGTCTTATTTGCAATGATTTAATTATATTTGCATTGTATCTATTCCTTTTGTGCTACAATCTCTCATTTGTTATCATCCAATTCACCAACACTTTCACTATTTTCTAGTCCATTTAGAAACTTCCAGACCCCTGTAGTGCCTTTTGTTCTTCCAACTAGGCAACTAGAAACAAGTCTAACAACTTTTTCTGTGTTGTTGGAAAATTTGAATCACAACAGGTGAAAGCATATCTCACTCTGGATTTTCTGACTTGATCTCAAAGTGTTTCACACATGTCACTCAAAGTTGAGCAGTCTTGTGTGCAGCTTCCAGCAGCAATGGCTATGATGAGGTAAACACTGCTGGACTCTGGATGCTTCCCTTTCTGCAAAAGCTGCACACACTCTGTTGCCTTTTAAAACAACATATGTGAGAAAGGCTTCGCCTTCCTTACCTTGATTTAATGTAAAAAGAGAAAAGGACTAGAAGCAGAAGATGGTCTCAAAGCTATGTTCACCAAGTCAAGCACTGCCATCCCATTAGGTTATTATGGACTGAAATATTTATGTCTCAAACATTTTTAATGCGATAGTTACACTAAACACCTACTATTGTTATTACAATTGTTAATGACTCAGGGTAAAAATATCGCTACGTGTTTGCATCACAAAAATCACTACCGCAGTTCATATTACTGCAATTACTTATGTTCTGTTCATGTTCCCAAAAGCAGTTCAGATTATTTCTTTTTTTTTAACAACAATTATCCTTTTTGGTCCCACAATATTTTAAAAATATATACCTAAAACATCAAATCTGTGTAGCTGTGGAAGAAAAAAACAGATTAAACAGAAATCAAAGTATACATAGAAAACTGTATTGTTGCCATTCAAATCTATATCTGTAGAAATATATGTATATATTGCAGTATTTTACTGAGTGACATGATTGTCTGCAAGATCCCATCTTTTGATCCCATATTTTGAGGTGATACTCTGAAAAGAAAAGAAAACTATAAAAGACTGCAGCTTATATTTTATCCCCATTCATTTGCGTTACAGTAAAATGTGTTTCATAATCTCACACTTTTAAGAGTGACATGCTCCTACCTGTGAGTATTTGGCATGCTAAAAGTACACAATGTTTAAGTCTACAGTCACAAGTATTGCGGGTTGGTGTTGATGCCGAAATTTAGGAATAACAATTCATGAAAAAAAAAGAACAAAATGTACCTTCTTGCTGTCTGAGAGCATTTCAGCCAAATCGTTTGTCTTCTTCAGTTCATCCTCAGCCAAAGCTATCTGGTTCTTTACAGTTTTCCGCTCCTCTTGTAGATCCTTAATACGTTTCTACAAGCAACATAAAAATCAACTGTAACTGTGGGATTTGAGTAAAAATATTTTTACAAAATAAATATTTGAGTCGATAACAACTATTTAAAATGAATCAACCAGCATGCAGGTCCTGATGAAAGATGAATCGCTGCTTCCTTACCTCCAGGTCTTTCAGCACCTGATCATTCACAGTGTTTTGAGTATTGGCCTTTTTCACCAAGCCTTTTGCTTTTTCCAAAGCTTCCTCCAAATCCTTCAGCTTGGAATTGAAATCCTTGAGCTGGTTTTGGATCTTCTCCACTGCTGCCTCGTTTTCGTTGCACTGCTCACTAACATTATTCTTGATGTTGTCAAGCACTTTAAACATTAAAGATGGAGAACATTTTATCATTGGAAACCTTATATAGTTGAAATTCATGGCTTTATTCACCACCACTACCTTGATGATGCTCATTAGGACATTTAGCATGATGTTACTTACACTTTCTTGCCTCTTCTCGTTCATTCTCAGCATCTGTCTTCTGGGTGGTGAAGTCTCTGTTCTTCATCTCCGTCACCATGCCCTTCGCTTTCTCCAGCATTTTATTCAGACTATCAGCAGGTAATGAATCACCTCTACCTTCATTCTTCAACTGATTGAGCAAATCTTGAAAACACAACAGAGAGCATATGATGTAAGCCTTGAGCCATTTCACAAGTTAAAAAGAAAACAGTGCAAGATAAAAGGAATGTTGCTTTTTTTTTCTACCTTCAATTTTCTGAAGCATTTTTTTAATCTCTCTTTCCAGGTCTTTTGCCCTTTTGTTGCTTTCTTCAACACTTTCAACTGCTTTGTCAGCGTCTCTGGCACTCCTATCAGCCTGGGTAAAATAAGGTTACAACACAATTACAGACGTACTACTTAAATCATATACTGAAGCAATGATAGAACATGGCACAATCTTACTACCTTGTCTTTAAGCAATTTTATTTCATCTCCAAGATTTTCCGTCTCTTTCTCAACTTGGTCAACTTGGGTCTTTTGCATGCTAATGGTGGTGCTGAACTTGTTGACAAGAGTCTGCAAACACAACACAAAAAAATACTTTAAGTAAGCTTATTCCACAATTTCGCCATTGTGGGGCAGTAAAGGGATTTCTTTCTGTTAAATAGAGATTTAATATAACAGTTATAAGAAGTCAAACATTTAAATACATTGACCTTGAAATGTATAGAAAATGGTAGTGGCAGGGTCATGCTGTGGGGCTTAATTGATGGGAAAACAGATGGGGCTAAACAGAAGTAAATACTGACAGAAAACCTTTGAGATGCCAGTAAGGATCTAGGCTTGTAAACAAAGATTGACTGAAATGTCAGTCTGCAAATGTGTTGACTCAGGAGGCCATATTAAAATTTAACTTTTAGGTTTTGCGTGTAAAAACCAAATTAAAACCAAATGTCATTTTCTATCAATTTCACAACTGTACATTTTTTCCGTTAGATTTTACTGAAGCATATCGATCCTATATAATGTCACCAAATGTTGGAAGAAAAGGAAAAAAGCATCTGAATCAATTGGTAAGGTATTCAGGATGATTATTATTAAACTGTAAACTTTTGAAAATACCTGATATATATATATTCAGTGTTTTACAGCTGAAGGTGCAGATTTTTTACCAAGTGAAGGGATTACCTTGGTGTCAGACACAGCCTTTTCTAGCTTGTCCAGCCTTTCCTTTAAGGCTCCACTGACGGAGGCATTGTCCAATTGAGCCTTGATCCTTGCAAACTCAACGTCGAGCTTTTCCAAGTCAATCAGCAAAGTCTGAGCGCAACTATCACATTCTAAGATAAAAAAGAGACGGACAAAGGAAGGTCATGCTTGGGTTATTACGAATGGCATGAGATACCGTCTGAACTTTGATAGGACTCTTTTCTTTTTATTCACCTTGACATTGCTCATCTGTGTTTGTGTCTCCTGGCTCCAGAGAGTTCTTGCAGACTGCACAGCAGTAATAAAAAGAGCACAATGTGTTTGCATAAAAAAAAAACCTTTAAAAGACATTTTTAAAGAAAAATGTTAACAATCTAACCTCCAGTCCTAGGATCACAGCTGTTTCCATTTCCATTACAGTTACATTGCTGGCAATTTCCTCCTGGTTTCAGTGGGTCGCCATAATAACCAGGAGCACATCTGTGTAAGAGAAGGCATTAATGAAGAGGCATGAAACTGGAAAATAGCCAAAAGCCTTCATGTCTGCTTTTCTGAATTACACACCTCTCACACATCACTCCAGTGTAGCCAGGTTTGCAAACACATTGGTCTCCAAGCACGTCTCCACAGCTTACCGCAAAACTGACCATAAATCAGAAGAATCACATTGTTATTCCGGAAACAGTTGCATTAGAAAAAAGCAAAGAAGTAAAGTTTTATTTCTCCTCCACCTGCTTGAGGGTACACTAAAAGGGCACGGGCACAATCTGCACGTTCCATCTGCTGCACTCCCAAAGTAACCTTCTTTGCAACGCTCACATCGGTCCCCAGCTGTGTTTTTCTTGCAGTTCTAGAAAAAAGGTCATAATGTATTCATGAAGTCACCTCTGGAGTTGATGAATGATCAAGACAGGACAACATGCACTCTCTCCTGAATCCTCCAAAGAATGTTGTGGATGAACTGAGAGAAGGGTTCAGTTTGCCGTGTCTGTTTGGTTTTTAGACGTAAATATGTGGCTCAATGCATATTCTGCATGCACAGGCACAGTCTTGTGGGTCTTGCATAACATTCACTCATTCACTCAACTAAGACTGAAGAGCGCAAAGGCTCCATCCTATCTCGTCAGATAATGGTAAAGGAGACGTCAATAGAAGGAAATGTTTGGGAAATTCAAAACGGAATTTAAAAGAGGACAGGAAAAAACAGTGCTACTGGGAGATAATGTTTCCATACTGTATGCACTGAAATTAAGAGTCCCTGACTATGACGAAACTAAAGCAACATACATTTTGGATCATGTTGTAAAGCTTAGCTCTCCCAATACACATATCAGCTGATAAAGTTTGTTGTTTTTCTTGTTTTAAATCTTTCCTGTCATATTTAGTTTTCATTACTTTTCTGTCAAGCCGTAAAATAGCATTGTACAGTCAATGAGTTCTCTCTGACTTTTTGAAATGACTGACAACAATTCAAAATCAGACATGTCCTACAACTTGAAATTCAAAACAGGACAACTTGGAAATGTTTAGTCTATTAGCGATGGCTTCAGTGTTGTCCTCTCTTTACCTTCCCTGACTAGCAAAGAAACAACAAGAACGCCCAGTAATAACTTCTACACTAAAAACTAATAGTAAAATATTAATTTCCCAGTTTCCAACTAACACCTGTCACGGCCAGCTAAGCTGAAATACTGATTCAGGATGAAACAGACTATTTCTTGGCTTGGTGTCTCTGTTAAATAAGTCATAGAGTGAGAAGACCTGGATCAGATAAAAACAGATAAAGTTCTAATTTTGCTGCTACTTTTAGCAAATCATGCAACGCTTATGCTGAAATTGGCACAATCCCATAACGAACCATGTTCTTAGTCTATCTTTAGTTAAGAGTGTATAGGATCTCTTACCAGACACCGCCCTGTTACATCTTCACATTCTTCAGCCAATCCGTTGCACTGACAAGGCAAACAACGGTCCAAATACAGTCCGTTGCCCTCTCTGTAGAATCCAGGGAAACATTTCTGAAAAAATTAAATAAATTAAAAAATAAGAACAGACATTATTATACACGAAAAATATTATTAATTTCTATTATTAACCTCTCCACCACAGTAAATTGCTGTAGCACTGCATTCAAATTAAATGATTAATATACTGGCAGATCAAAACTGAAGCCTGAATTCTAAAAAGTGGATACCTATAAACTTAAATTCAAGTTGCTGATTTTCAACCTTGGTTGTTTGGAATAACAATAGACAAACTATGAAAACTGGGTTTCATCTTGAATTAAATAAACATAGTTTTCAAGCCTTTTTGCTTCCTATGTCAATGAGCTTATGCTGAATTTAGCGTCATGAAATATTAACAGAAAATGTGCCCTTTGCTTGAAGCGATAACAGTCATTTAATCACTGACAGTCTTAGGATAAAACACAGAGCTGAGGTGAGATAACATCTTTCAGTGAAAAATGCAGCACAGATTTTTTTTTTTTACCTGAACCTGAGAACCAGCATCAAAAACTGAGGGTAACTGAATGAACTGTTCTTGGTTTCTTAAGGATGGATACTCAATCCGCTGAGCTGCCTGTTCTTCAATTCTCTGAAGCAGACTGTCATGATGCCGGGTGTGGTGGGGTTGCTCTCCATTGCTGAAGGGTCTGTGCCTGGCGCAGCAAAGCCCAATAAAAGTCCAATATATTAAGATCCAGGACAGAATCCCTTTACCCCAGCGCCTATCCATGCAGACATTCGACATTCCCAGAGTTTGTCCTGTGCAAAATAAGTGCCTGCTCCCCCTCGTCTCAGCCTCTTAAACAAGCACACACTGAGACACAATGAGGACACACCCCATTTACCCGAGTCAGCTTGGTAGATCAGCATGAGTCTGTCCAGTGCATTCAAGCACTCACATGCAAGTGTTTACATGTTCGCTCTGTCTCTTTTACTTGCAACTCAAAAATGCACGTACAGAATAACATCATATTCTTTGTTGGAGACACAGTTGTAAAGGAAAAATGGGTTCAAGTGTCTGTATAGAACCTTATGCCAATAAAAAAAAAAAAACTATGACTGCTCTTTGGCTTCAGCTATAACTGAAAAAAACTTTAGCAATAATGTCTTTAGCTCCATTGTAATCATATGTCCACCAGTTGTCTTAGTTCAGTTACCTTTAGTGACAGTAGCAAAAACAAAAACACAGGTACTGTGATGTGATAGACAGAAGTAACAAATATTCTATGTATATTTGGGTCCCATGTGGGTTATACACAGGCTGAATGGGCAATAAGCAGGCCTGGACCCCTTTACTGGAACCCGTCACAGCTGATAAGACATAACACAGTTGGGTACTTTACATAGGTGTATGCTGAATGTCAATTTATTACTAAAAAATTAAATCAATTTGTGCAAAACTTCCAGAGTCCCTCTTTTTATCCAAAACTGAACTGCATCAAACCTATGAAAGCAAAAAATAGGGCTATATTGCCTGTAACCCACAGTCAGTAAGGCCAATTTTCCAGCTCGTTTCCAATCCAATGGGCTTTTTATGTAATTGACAGCTGTGTTTGTTACCTCTGAAATTTGACTTTGATTTAGTAAAGATATCAAGCTTGAAAACCAATGATATTAGCAAAGGCATATGCTTAGATACCAAGCAAAGTGCACATTTCTCTGCGTTGCTGTCTCTTTATGAGACTGCATTATACTAAGTGTGTACTGCTGAGATAATTAGTTGGAAGGAAGGCAAAAGAACAGCTTTATTTCTTTCTGCAATCACAGCTACATAAACAACATTATCACGAAAATTTTGAGTTATTTCTATTAATGTTGTCAACTTTATGGTTAGAATATTTTTTACTTTTTTATGATGCAACAGGTAAAGTGTTTTTAAGCTTCAGTAAAAATCCTGCTACTTAATTGTCATTCAAAACAGTAGAACCACTGCTTTAGCTTAACATAGTTTCTTAAAATATTTCATTTAACATTAAGAAGAAAATATATGACTGAAGGTGAAGTCAGACGTCCTCAGACAACAATCCAGACACTCACTCGTGAATCATTCTGCACACACACACACACACACACACCGAACAGACACAACAGGGTGTGTCAGTTGGACGTAGACAAATGCTCATATTGGAGGAACATTCAGGTGAGCACATTCAGGTTTATGAGTAACGTTATGTTGCCAAGAGACACGCCCTGCATATCAAGGCAAGGCGCCGTGTCATTGCACCTCTGGCCACATATAATCGACTTCCTCTGAACATGCCTGATCTTACAGGGTTCACACACACCCACACCAACCAGTGGATTTATGAAAAACAGCTTTCAAGATGAAAAGCTGAACATGTTTTTGTTCCCTTATAATAATGTTTCCAATAACTCTACAGGAGAAGCTTCTCTTTAATTAGTTGTTGCTTGAATTCCTTCTTTAATTTGGTTTTGTGTTCAAAACAGAGTACATGTTATGAAACCTAACTATTTCTAAACGGCTTTTTGAAAAGCTGGAAAAAAGCTAGATTAATGTCTGATATCAAAATAAAAACAAAATAAGCCCGTTGTCCATAGCAGCTCCTTATTCTCAGGTACCGTGAGTACCTCGTGTATGCTGGTGATTATGCTTGTGTATGCTGGTGATCATATTAGTAGAATCCCCAATATTACGCCTGCATGACTGTACTACATTATCATCGCCTGGGGCTACACAGTTACTGCACAGTTCTCCTGATGGGTATTTTCCAACAAATTCCTCTGCTAATAAGTTTTTCCTCAAGGTAAAGGGTGTGATGTTTTGTGCAGACATGTTAGAACACCCCAAATACTGTGAGGATGAGATCCAACACCTTTAAAAGACAAGATGCCGTTTCAGCCCCACCCGGTTGTCCACCCTTCCCAGCCCCACAAATTTTTACCAACTTGACTTATGAGGAACATTGTGTAAAAATGTTAATGTTAGTGCACCCTGAAAGTACTGTTCCATGCCAGTTTTAACCTCTCCAACACAGTAAGACTGCATTCATTGTAAAGGATAACCATTACTTATGGATCAAAACAGAGGCGAAAATTGTTATTTATTATAATTTAAAATAGGTGCTGATAGATTTCAGTTATGTTTGTTCATTTTCAAGGCTCTTTTTTTTTTTTTTTTTTTTGCTGTTGCAATAGTCAACACTAAAACTATGAATGGATCTAATCAATACTGGGTCTTATTGTGTTTGACCAAAGAGACAATTAATTAAGCAATCAAGCTGCAAAACAATGACTTTAAGAAAGATTGTTTAAGGATCATTTTGAAACCATAGGTGCAAAATAAATACATTATATGAACAGTGTCAGAGCATAAGTCTGTGTAATGGACCCATATGGTCTTTGCACATATCTATTTCAGCATAACGTTTTGATCATAAACACAAGGTAGTGATTAATTCAATATAATGGGAAAATCGAAAAGAAAGTGTGTCTGTATCTGGCAGAATGATAAAGCAGAAAAAAAAAAATAATAATATATATATATATATATATATATATTTATATATATATATATATATATATATATATATATATATATATATATATATATAATTATATATAATTAAGCCCCAAATTATGAACTGGAAAAAAACAAAATCTTGAGAAATCATTTTTCCTAAAATAAGTGCATTTGTTCTTGGACTGAGGAGGTGAAAGAGACATTTTGCAAATGAAACAAGACAGTTTACATTTAAATAAAAAAAAAACACAATTACATTGCCTTATTTTAAGTGCAATTTATCTAATTATCTTATTTAAGAATAAAAATACTCCTTCCATTGGCAAACTATCTCCTTTACCTGCTCAAATTAAAGGTAAATACGCTTGATTTAAGAAATTTGTACTTATTTCTAGATTGTTTTTCCAGTGTACATATATCTGGCAGTATAATGATTTTTTTGTTTGTTTGTTTTTTGTCCAGCCCCAAAGTAATTTTTTCGAATGCAGTTACAAACAGCAATGACTGCTGAACTTTCAAATGACACACAACTGTATGATTATTAAGTTTCTACTAGAAACCAGCCGCTGACTGAGCCTAACTTCTCACCTGACAGGAATCTCCAGAGTACTCAGGGGGGCAGGAGCAGACTTCCACAGTATTTGCTGGACCTCCAGTCCCTGAGTCAGTGGCCTCCTCTAGACCCACCTCCCCCAAGCTGAGTCGTTGGCTCTGAGTAAAGTACAGGGCTCGGATCCTCAAGCCCACCAGACCTGCTAAGACCACCATGAGCTCTTGTCTGGACACAGGCCGGTTGGTGCTAGCGTGACGCCAGTTTCCCTGGAAACAATCAGAGTAATCCTCAAAAACCAACCACTCCAAATAATGCATTCATACTTCGAGGATGATAAATGAGAGCAAGAAAAATCTCTCCTGCTTTGTAAAAAAAGTCTGTATCAGTTCAGTTATTATCTACCTTTTATTAGATTTTTCGCCACCTTGTTTTAATTTCATCCTTGAAATACTGCACTAAAGGCTCCATCTAAATCACTTCAGAGTGTTTAAACATCAAATTGTACTAGAAACCCATTCCAAATACCTCTTATACTTAGCACTTATTTTACCTCCAGGAGTTGGACTCTTCCCTGGTGCAGCTTGTCTGGAAGGGGAAGCTGTGAAGCCACGTGGATCAGGCTCATGTGCTGACCCTAAAGGGCATAAAATAATATTTTGCTTTTTATGCATGACAGCAAAGGGTAGTTCAGTAAAGCTACAAAAAATACTAGGTCCCCAACATACAGTCAGCACAACGTCTGCTTGTCTGTCAATGAGTGTCATGCCTTCACTCGGGATCCCAAATGATTTGGACTGGTAGGTGAGGAAGCCACCATAGGATGAAACCTAAAATCAGTTAGGAAGAGTCAGCATTAATAGCACAATAATATAAGCATGTTAAATTGAACAGTTCCAGTTAGATTTAAGGTGGAAAAATTACCTAATGTATCCCTCAATAATTTTAATATAAGGCCTATTTATCCCTTTAACATCATAGGCAATAAAATGTTTTAGATACATTTTTTTTATTTTGTTTGACAAAATAAATACGCCTTTGAGCATTTCTAATTATCTATCCTCCACCCTCCACTGTTATTAAAGATTTGTGCAGAAGCCAAATAATAAATAGTTGTTATTATGGAGGCGATATTGCGACTCTTTGCTACAGCTCTCCAACAGTAAGCTTTTGAGATTGAAAATGGAAAAACCACGATTCTTGCTTTAGCCAAGTTTGTCTCAGTTACACTTAACTGACTGTATTGTTGTGCAGGTCGAGTGTAATGTGAGGCTTCATTACATATATTAACATACAGTTTTCATTTTATTTGAAATATTTTGGATGAAATTACACTGAGAAATAAATTGATATGTTTTAATTTGTTAGTTTTTGGTTCTTTGTTAGCTTCTTGTCAGTCAGTACTGATTAAGGCCCATCCTGTGAACACTAAAAAAGATAATGTTACCGTTTTTAGCATTTACTTAATCATATTTACATACTATAGCACAATTGTTTCATGTTAGCAGGGTAGAAAATAGAACAATTGTGTTGAAATAACTAAATATGATTAAGTAAATGCCAAAAGTGGTTGCATTATTTTTTTTAGTGAACCACACAAACATATAGTATAGCACAAGTAGAACTTCGGCTAATCTTTGAATGGACTGAGAGAAAATTGGTGTCTTACGTCTATTGTTGCAGTTGTTGTAAAGGTGACTCACCTGTGTCTGTATTCTGCAGGGCATTGAGGCTAAATCAAGCCCTGGGGACCTGAATATGTTTGAAGCTTCATAAAAAGACCATTTATAGATTGCGATGGGTGCAAAATCCATAAAGTATAAAAGTATATACAGATTTCAGTCCAGAAATGGAAATGTCTTTTTAGATAAGTCTCATAGTGAATAATGCTTGCATGAAGTATTTAGATGTTTCAGCCATTTTCTAGATGTTTGCTAGTGTGTGTATATAAGTTGTGTTTATCCAGTTTTATAGTGGACTAGCTAAATGGGGGTTAAAAGTATTAAGTATAAAGGCAACCTATTCAGATCATCCTGAGCTGCTGCTTAGATCTATGTGATCTGCTGCTCAATAGGGTTTTCTCCCTGCTTTTATCTCTGCATCAAGCCTCCTGTTTAATCAGCTGCTGATGGCCGATCTAACATGGAGAAAATGTGTTTGTGTTTTTTTTCCTTTTTTTTTTATTTTGCTGATGGGGTGGCTAGTGGGCTTAAGAAGATTAACATCTATTTCCCTTAAATGAATTTGCAGTGCTGGAGACAAAGATATGACTTTGTAAAAGAGCACATCAGTTGTGTGACCTCATCTGCCAGACAGCTGTGTGTTGAGAAATTCCCTGTCTGCTGCATCAGAGACATGAGTGTGGGGCATAAACACAGTCCTAGGGTTCAGATTTTGGCTGAGGGAAGTGGTCATATCTGATAAAAGAAGATGGTTGACTTCGGAGTTCACTCAAAGAAATCTTTAAAAATGGAACAGTCATGAAAAACATTGCAGATCACTTTGATAAAATAAACATTTAAACTGTTAAAAATACTTCCAAAAGCTTTATCTCAGCAATATGGTTTCTGCTTGTTCCTTCATTTTTTTTTTCTAATTTCCTTGAAAACTACATTAAATTCATGACTGTATTTGTAGTAGATTAATTAATGAAGCAATGAGTAACTACATCCAGTGTTATCTTTTATTTACCAAATGAATAGCAAATACTTTATTAAACTAAAGATTTCTTTTTTAATCTCATTCTCACTTTCCTTTTCTTTTTTTTAAATCATACAGTTAGGGATCTATGACTTGGTCATATAATTATCATTTCAGTGCTAACAGCTGTTTACCTAATTTAACATAGGTGTTATTATAGTCCTTAATAGGTTTTAAACTAATATAAATGCTACAGATATTAACCTGAGAATATTAACTAGGGATAAACACTCTGTTAAAGATAATTTTGGGAATAAATATTTTGATTTGAATAAACTTAATTAAAAGAAAGATACTGTTATTATACATTTGGGTGGGATATTGAACACTGCAAAGAAAATCTGAAAGGTGTGTCTAATAGTTATGAAAAAGATTTATCAAGGTGCAGATGACTGTGGAAGGTAGTTTGTAGTAGAATGACTGTGGATGGACTTGTGCACTTGGTAGCAAAGGAATAACTAATGTGAAATCCCTGCGCTTTATCACACATGCAGATGTTGAGTTGGATCTGATTTCTGCATTTTACTAAGTACGTGTGTCAAAATAAAAGGCCAACAAATTTCTCCTTCTGTGTTAAAACCACAATGCCCATAGCAAAATTCAGCATGTTTTAGGAGGAGTTGACTCACTCTGTCTCCCAGGTAGGACTTTGGCGCCACCCAGTGTAGAGTCTGAACCGTAGGAGGAAGCTCCTGAATGTCTGCCACTGCTGTGTTACTGATTGCATTCAGCACTGAAGGAACCTCCTCCCCGTCAGGGCTTTCCAATCGCCAGCCTTGCATGTCAACAAACTAATGAAAACTAATGTTAGGAAAAAACCTCCAGCCATTTTTATGTTTCCAAAAGAAATACTGCACTAGGATGTTAGAGAAGAATGCTTCTTTGGAGATAAGACAACAAACCATGATAATCTTTAATTTTCTACAACATGATTAGCTCTAATCAAACAGCTATTAATGTTTACATCATACACCTAAAAGAATCTCTGAACGGGATGTTTTTATAACAGTATGACATGCAGCATCTAAAGGTCATCCTACCTTTCCACGCCGTTTATCAGAGCTCTCACACTGGTCAGTGGCTCCAAAACAGAAGCAGCTGGAGCAGCCAAGGAGGTTTGATGGGTCAAAGTAGAAGGAACCTTCCCGACAAGTATTACACCTGATACCTACAACGTTTTTCTGCAAAAACCAAAGCTTTTATATAGCAGGAGACAGTACAAAGAAGTTGAATAAGAGATCATACTATCAACTCACCTTGCAGAGACACCTGCCTGTATCAGGGTGGCATACATCAGCTGTGACTCCTCCTGGGTTGCAGTTGCAGGGAAGACAGTCAGGAAAGCGATAATAACCCGGAGCACAGCGGTCACACTGACGGCCTGAGATTCGAGGTTTGCAGCTGGAAAACAAGCAGAAGAATTTACAACGATAAAATCATGAGATTCCAATTAAAATGAAAAAAATCTAGTTTTTATTGTTGTTGCAGTGTCCCGCACATCTAGATGTTAATTCATGGGTTAAGAGTAGGAAAGGTGACTGACATTTTAAGCAAATGCAGCTTTCAGCCTTTGTAAGAGAGGGCATTCCTTTCACTGGTGGAGGGGTGTCAATCCAAAAAGGAACAAAAAAGGGATGCTCCTACCAAGAAAGACTTGTTCCTCTTCAAAGAAAAGATAAAGGGTCGATGTTTTATTTTAAAATTTCTACCTAGCATTATTTGTTGGTGGCTGCCCTTCAGGGATTGTTGCCTTGTAGCAACAAGGTCCTGGGATTGTTTCCTAGCCTTGAGTATTTATGTACTATGCACAATGCACAATGTGTGGGTTCTCTCTGGGCACTTTGGTTTTCTCCCACAGTCCAAAAAAACAAAAACAATGTCTGTTTGGTTAAGTGGTGTTTCTAAATTGCCCATGGGTTTTAATGTGTGTATGCATGGTTCTACGTCTTAACCCTTTGATGGACAGGTGACCAGGAACCATCCCTGGTGACCCTGACGGATTAGCAGTAGAAGATGGATGGATGGACAGACAGGTTATTTATTTATATTTCATCTGGGATTTATGGATGTAAAAAAAAATCATACAATAATTACCTGCACTGCCCAGAGACAATGTCACACTGAAGTCCAGCGTTTACGTTCACCCCGCTTGGAGAGCACCCACAGTTCTCACAGCCCAGCAAAGGGTGGTAGCTGAAAGTTTGTTGCTGACACACATCACAGCTTGGTCTCACTGTCTGAGGAGGACAGATGCAGCGTCCAGTCACCTCGTCACACAGGCGGCGTCCACACTCACATGCTGAAAAAGGAATAGAGGAAATTTACAGAAGTTTTAAGTTTCATGTGCATATTTGCTTCATTTATATGGTAACCGAAAAGTAAATGAAAAATTCACGTTTGCAGTAGGGAAATCCGTAGTATCCTGTGGCACATTTGTTACACTGCCGCCCTATAATGTGCTCCCTGCAAGGACACTGTCCTCCGACTGGATCACACACACTCCCTGTAGAGCCAGACTTATCACAGCCACAAGGCAGGGCTCCATCATTGTAAGCTGCTGCAAGAGTGCGGGCTGAGTCTCTGCAAAACTGGGATGATGTGGTGGGTCTGCAGAAATACACAGATAAATAAAACAACTCTTTCAAACACAGAATAATACTCAAAAACAGCAGCTAGGGGGCCCAGTTTCTAAAAAATATTTGCAGCATTAAAGTTTTTTTCTAGAGCAACTTGATCACATGATAATATTCAAAACCAGGATAACAAAGTGTTGTAATTAGTGGACTACATTCAGTTTAAAGATATTTAAATTAGATTAGATTAGAGTCAACTTTATTGTGATTACACAGGTAAAGGTACAAGGCAACGGAATGCAGTTTAGGTCTAACCAGAAGTGCATTAGCAGCAAGTGCAGGATAAATAATGGTTCCATGACTACAGGACATGGGTTTCTACTGAATAAATATAGAGATGAATACCATTATAAACAGAATTTTACTAATAGATTTGTCCTATGAATATAATATATAGATGACTAGTGTTATGAACAAAATTTACAGCTGAATATCTAACGAATATAATATACAGGTGGATATTACTATAATAGGGTTTTCAAAGTTATGTTCAATAGCATAATATACCGATGATTGTTATTATAACCGAGTTTGCAGGTGAATATGTACTATGAATATTGTACAGATGGCTATTACTATAGGCAGAATTATGAGCATAATATACAGATAGCTTTTACTATAAAGTTAATAAATAAAGTTTGGACAGAAGCTATCTAAATTAAAGTGCAGTGGAAGGTAATTGCATATTATATACATACATTATATAAATAGATATATAGCTTTTGCTCACTGATATTAAGAATTTTCTGTCTTATGATAGGAATTAGCAACATTTGTTTTTGTACAAATTTCTTTGTCCAATAAAATTTAAATTAATGGCATCAAGGTAAAGTTTAAAAATAAACTAGTCCTGCCAAAAGGTGACCAAAGGCATACCACTAACGGTAATCAGTTAGAAAGGGGTTAAAGCACTACAAAGTTAATGCTGGGAAGGGGCATCACATAAATGGAGACAAATTTGAGTTCTGCTGCAAGGGCAATAAAAATATTGCACATGCAATAAGTGGGTATGTTGCTAGTGATCTATAATGATTGTGTGTAAAAAGGATATGACATGCAAACAGGTTCAATTCATCCCATTAAAATGAGAAAATTGAGTAAACTTCAGGTAGTTTAAGGGTGGCCTAAAAGAAAGATGATGTAGTTGCCATATATAAAACAATAACAGTGATGATACTCAATGTTTTGATTATACTAAATATTATTTATATCACACTTTACATAAGAAACTTGAAGTTCAACAAACAAAAAAAATAAAAAATTTAAAACAGTTAAATATAGACGGATTACTCTCTGATCAGCTGGATTTGCTGGATTTACCTTCATCAACTTGTCACAACACCTGCTCGACCAAAAAATACGGTCAGAGCCCGTAAGCACATTTAGGTTGTTCCAATCTTTCAAAGTAATATTTAAATTCCTTTAAGTTGTCTTGGTTTAACTGTATATAGATTTGCTTTCCTCTACCTGTATCATTCTACTATTGTTATTTCTGGCAGTCAAATTATATTTAAATGCCCATATGCTCTCTCTCGATTATCTGTCATTGTATCAGTGCCTCCTTTGTGGCCACACTGAACCCAGAAATGTTTGGTTCAGAGTTTGCATCTGACTTTGAAATTAACTAAATTTTGATGCAAAAACTGTGGCCACAATCAGTTTCAGGTTTGATAAATCACTCTATAAGTGGGAAGTATTTGCATATACTCTAACAATTGATTGGCATTATTTGGCCATAAGATCATGATAGTCGTAGACATGAAGGCAGACACACATAAGAGAAGGTTTGCACAAGCTGCTCTGCTAAGATTTTTGCATGTGTTTTAATACAAAGTCTATGTTCACACTGCAGGCCTTGATGTTAAATTTCGATTTTTTTTTTTTGTGAAATCTGATTTTTTTTTGCATTGCCGCCCACTTTTCCGAATATATGTGACTTGTATGTGATCTCCTGTGTAAACTGCATTCATACAGCTTATGTGTCAGTATTAGTGTGCAGTAGGACGCAATGACGTCACAAGCCAGCTTGCTTCGTGTTTACGGAAGTAAACAAGGATGTAGCGCTGGAGCGCATCTAGCAATCTTTTCAAATCTCAAAACCTCAATCTTTTCAAGATGGTTAAAACAATTACTGCTCTCCGCATCATCGTCCGCAATGGTGTTTGTTTTTCTTGCCGCTTCTGTGGAGCAAGACGCAGAATAGTGACCCATGTTGGTTACTAACGGCGTTCAGGTCGGATGAATGCGACCTGGCCGTTCAGACATAGGTCGCATTTAAAAAGATCAGATTCGTATCGGATTCAGGACCACATAGCCAAGTGGCCTGGGTCAAATCTGTGTTGTTCTGACTGCTATGAAAAGATCCGATCCAGGTCGCATGTGGGCAAAAAAATCAGATTTGTGTCACTTCAGGCTGCGGTGTTAACCTAGCCAAAGTGAACTTTTAATGATCAGGCTCTCAGTGTACTGTACCAATTCCATCAACAAGGATCAACCTAAATGTAGCAAAATATATCATAAGAGCTTGTGGAAGGATTCCCAAAATGTTTGACCAATACTATGAAAACTCATTAAAAATCTTTTTTTATTCATCATCATTAAGGAAGTGAAAAAAATATTTTGGTATTATAAATAACATAAAACAGGAAAGAATGTCTGATTTATTGTCATGCAGTGAGAAAGAATATATGGTTGATGACACTTACTCTATATAGAAGCCTTCTCTGGTGCATTGTTTTATGAAATCTGCAGACTTATCAAGTGGCCTCTCTCGCAGGAGCTCTGGAGTGTATTGGCTATCAGGAACCAGCAAAATATAATCCTAAGAAAACAATAATAGTTAACATTTAATACAGGGGACCTTGGAATAGGGCACTTAATCAAACTATTTTCATAGATTTAGGAGAGACAAAAAGTACAACATTCTGAGAAGGCAAACAAAGCTCAACCTGTCCCAAGTCTTAAAAAGCCTTTGGGTTTAGCTTTTACATAAAGCTTTGTGGGGCTGCCAGGTAGAAACAGTCCCTTCATTGTTGTCGCTGGAGATATGGCATAACACAGGGGAGAAGACTGAAGACCACTGCATGCCAAATCATCTAACTAAACAATCTCACACTATGAAAATACAACCTTGAGACTTTCTAAGAATTTTAAACTAATGTTACTTAATGATTGCTTTAGCTACAGAAAAGAATAATCAATAACACACTGACCAAAGTAAGAGTCTTCCCATGTGGCACGGTTACAGAGATGGTGGGTAGCTGCAGAGAAGTCCTGTAGAAGTCAAGAGCGATGCGGCCGTCGGCAACAACAACCTCCCTGCAACCTGACACTGCCGGGCAGAATGTAGCATTTATCTCACCTAGAGGGGAAAGCAGTTTCTCAGTTAGACAATATGCTGCTTAAAAACCTATTCATCTATTTAAGCTACAGAAGGAAACTTCTCTAAAGCCTCAGAGGTTCTTGTCAGGAGGCCAGGTATGTTATCTGATCTTATGAAGGAATTTGCAGCTCCCTGCCAGAGTTAAGTCTCCAACTGTCTCCCAAACACTCACCCTTCCAAACCTGCCCTGCATTTACATGCACTTCCACTGGGAAAGAGATGTGTTCAGGTTGATGATAATGGACCACAACAACATATCGACCTGGGAGAGGCACCTCTGGAGTAAAACTTATTTCAGTCTAGAGGGGGAAACACAGCATTTATAACTGCAGTCTTCTTTTTTTCTATTTTTTTTTACACAATCTAGTGAACATGATGTTGTTGAGCAAGATGAGGAAAGGCAGATTGAAGTATTTGAGGTGAGTACCTGAGGGAATTTCAGCACTGTCCCATCACTCTGAGGCTCATGGACAGAGAACAAACTGGACTGTCTTCTCTGTCTCCAATCCAGATGGTTGCCCTGCTGGGAAGCAGCTGCAAGTGTGGATGACAGCTGTCCATCACGGGCAGGGTACAGAATCGAGGCTGAGGATGGCTTTTCAAACCTCCGCAGAAGACAGTGCCGACTGTGAACATTAAATGGATACAAATTGACGTTAAGGGGAATTCCTTTGAGCCGAACAATAATGTTCAGTGTTTCTTGTATTAAATATAGCAATGCATTTTACTGGGGTTTTATATGATGGAGCAGCATAGAGAGGTGCAGAAGTCTGGATTTAAAGTAAAGCATTAATCTGTTTAAGTAGTGTTTAACAAATGAACATTTAATAGATAACTTTTTAATACATCATCTTTTGAGAAAAGCATGGCACTGCTGGAAAGTTGCTAAGCTAAGTGGCCAACTGGAGGAACTGCAGAGATCTACTACAAAAGTGCATTTATTTGTTGACTTAAAAAATCTGCCTTGATTTGCAAAAGGTCATTGCTGAAAGTAATATGTGGCAGAATTTGTATAAATTAAAAAAGGGGAGACACAAACACAACATGACAAATGATCTGCATGGCAGAAAACTGATACTGAACAAATAGTTAACGCACCGTCCCTACGGCGAAAAAAAAGTGGCAGCACCATATTGTGGGGGAATATTTTCAAGTTACAAATCCTGACAAGTGGAAAGGTCAACTGAAAGAAAATGTGTCAGGGGCTGCAAAGGAGACTTGAATTAATGGTAACTTCATAGACAAAAAAAGGCACAGCTACGATGAAAAGAATAGGAAAAAAAAATGTCAAGTTTTAGAAATGCAACTCTGAGAGAAAGAAGTTTAAATTCCCAGCAGCTGTAACTGGAAGTGATTTAACTCAGGACAGTTCAATACATTGGTTTTTTTTTCCAATTAGTAGAAAACAAAAAAAACAAAAACTGAAATAATTTGCATTTTACTTTACAAATATCTATTACTTTGTGTGAGCCTTTCACTTAAAACCCAAATAGAAAGCATTGGTAAGAGGTAAACTAATCTGAATCATAGAAAAAATTAAAAGCAAGAGATAATTAATTAAAATGGCTGTGCTTGCTTTCAGGTAAATGTCATCATTTTATTATTTTATAGGTTTTTATTATGTATATTTATGTCAGGTTTTCCAGAACACCACAAACTACACACCAGCAGCCGATAGGTCTCTGACATCCATGCTTGTTAGTTTTAGACTTGCAGAGTTATGATGACAGATGTTCCAAAGTTCATCTTCAGGTAAGGAACGTGGAGAAATGCTTGTATTCACAGCTGGAGACCAGATGTGGCCCCCTGCTGTCGAGACTAATCTAGCAGGCAATGTAGTGCAAATGACAACTTACATTCGTGGATGTTGAAATAAGTTTTTTAAGAAGTGTGCATAAATGATCTAATGAGAATAAATTCTCATTGTAGGTTTTATGGTCAGGTTTAGGGAATGGGTTTAAGGTGCAACTACTGATGCAAGTAAAAAAGGTTTAGCAGCATGACCCAAAGTGCTTACCTGTCTTGAGTGAAACGACCATGAGTAGAGACACACAACACTTTGGGCTCCACATAGTCCAGGGAAAACTCCTCTGCAGGCACCGTATACAGCTTGTACTAAACAGAAATATTTGAATGACCCCACTACTTTAAAAAACAAGTGGAAAGGTAGATGTTCTACATGTTGCTGGAAGCACTGTCCTCACCAAAAGGAATGAAGATGTGGAAGTATGTAGAACAATTTCCGTCCTGTGAGAGAGCTGCAGCATGGCCACTTGATTTCTGCTGTCCACCGCCACACTCCGGCACAAAAAACTGCATGAGTTAGCAAACAATTCGATGTTAGTATTTAACTCTTACATTGTTTTAAAATGTTAAGCATTAAAGTTGAAGGAAAATTATTCAAAATTCTCAATTATTTTTTCCACATATACAATACAATACACAACAGTGTCGCCTCCAACAGATATTTATTTCTAGACTAGGTTTTAATTTACTTCTATGCATAATACCTTGACTAATGGTTTACACTTCTCCTAATGAAGAAAAGCAATCCAAATGCATAATACTACTACCGCCGTGCTTTAACCTGACAGCTGGTAAGCTCAAGCTTGTTGTAACTATTCCGCTACAGATGTTGTTTCACATGCAGCGTTTGGGTCCTATGTAATGTTTTTCTTTAAACTGCTTCCTTTGTTTATTATGTAGCACGTGGCGAACAGCAAAAAGCAAACTTGAGTTTGTAGCATACTGATTCCCTTGTTCCTTACCTGCCTGCTGCTCTCCTTGGGCTTTGTGGTTTTATTTATGTTCTCTAACGAACCTGAGGCGTTTACAAATCAGCTGCATTTGATTACAAACAGAATGAGTAATTTGGTAATTAAATTATTTCTGGAATCATTTAGTAACAACGGATATAATTTTGTGAAAGAAACTAAATTTAATTGTACAGCAAGCCTCTATATGTTTATAAGCTTTGGATGGCAAAAGCAATTGAAATGTTCCAGAGTGTTGCCACAACTTTGATGTGGTATATCAGATAAAATCCCAATGAGATACATTGAAAGTTTCTGTTGTTATATGATCAAAGGACACAAAAAAGATCTATGCATGGAGTGCAGATAAATTTGCAAGGCACTTTATTGTCAGAAACAGTAACTCTAAATCAGTTAAATATTAAAATGACTAACCTGAAAACACATGTGTAAATATTTGCTCTAGCCAAGATCTGACTCCCTGACTGACTACTTAGGAGTATGTTGACATTCTGGATAGTTTCCATCTCACTGGTATACTCCAGAATGAGGGCATAAAGGCCCGCATGAGGGACACGAATGCTGAGCTCCAGGCGAGACTATAAGACACAGAACATGCACATTATTTACAGATAATATAGGATCTTAATCCTCCAAATACCTTTTACACACTTTAGATTTGTGTTATAAGATTTTTAGAGATGCTGATGTGTGTCTTATTGTTATCTACTACATTGTTTATCGATAATTCTGAACACTGAACCTGTCTCCCATTGACAGTTGCCATGTCTGGGTGATCTGGAGTAAGACGCCGCATACGAGCCAACCTCCTCTTCCTCCGCCCATTCCGGGGGGACAATCTGCCCTGAGTGGCGAGCACAGAGCTGAAACCATCCATGTTGATGTGCTTGTACAGCAGGCATCTTAAGAAAAGAGAAGTGAGATTACCTTATTTTGTTAACAACAAAAATGTGAGAAAAATGACGGTAAAAAGCAAAGCTTTACTTTTCCTCCCTGTTTGCAGTGTGTAAGTATGTGCACGGCTGAGTGACCTCTTCCTGCAGCAGAAAGGCCTCGTAGTAATCTTGAGGCACCAGCACTAAATAATCCTGAAGTGCGAAGGTAAAAATATTTATTTTTCACAGATTAGTAACACAATCTCAAATGAATTCCATAGATTTTTTTTTGCAATAAATGATCAAAAACAGTACATAATTCTGAAGTAACACAAAAAGAGACTTGGTTTTGGAAAGTTTTTTTATATCAGATAAAAATCTGTAGAGTGGCATATATTTCTTACTTCCCATGAGACAATGTCTTATAAGATCTCCTACAAATTACAGCTGCAAATACTTTGGGGTACAGAATGTCTCTAACTGCTTTGCACATCTAAAGGCTGAGGTTTGTTTTACCATGACTCTTCAAAAAATGCCTCCAACTCTTTCAGGTGACTCGCCAAAGATGTAGTTCTGAATTTTGATTAGGTTGATCTTAGCTTTGGATTTATGTTTAGGGAGCTTGTTTATTCTCTTAATGTAAAGTATAATCCCAGCATCATGCTATCCAAATTGGCGACATGTAGTGCTGAGTCTCTTACAAGGCTTAAAACAAATTAGCTGCAGGACTTATTGTCATGTTTTCTTCTTCCATCTTTTCCATAAAGACCAAACTTATGAAGTGCAGAACTAATACTTCATGGTAGAAGTGCACTATTGGGATATTGCAGTAAAAAGGTGCTAAACACATAAATACATGACTCATTGTTCAGTTCCTGTTTTTATAATAAAAATGTTAAAACTATTTATTTCTTCTACTTTACAAATGTTCACTTATTTCACATAAAGCCACCCACAAAAAACAAATATGTGTAATTTCAAACCAAACAAAACACCAAATATTCATACTATACTTATTTGTATAAGGCAAATTATGGTGTGTCTTTTGTTTGTTTGTTGTTCTTTTCAGGTAAAATCTTACACAGAAACTTACCAAGAGGATTCCCTCAGCCCTTATATGAATGATCCACTTTCCAGGATTTAATTCAAAGGGCTCAGTGAAGCCCTCTCCTGGGACGGTGACAAAGGCGGGGGATGAAGTTGGAGGAAATATCACTTCCTTACTTTGACCTTCCCCTGCAGAGCATCAAGCACACAACTCATGAACCTCTGCTAAGGTCACATCTATGCGAAGACAGTTCATCAACCATTTTCTCCCATAACTGTCAAGAACGTTTTCATGTAATAAATGATGGGTTAGGTTTTCACAGTTTGATGATGGAACGGGGCAAATGATGCTGTGTCAGAGGCAGTCTTACCTGCAGTGCCTCTGCTATTTGTAGCTCTGATGCTACCAGTCACACTGACGATGTTGGGGTTAATAAACCGCAGAACCACGTGGAAAAAATTCTGTCGCCCCTCTTTGGGATCAACATGCACTGTTACCCTGGCTTCACTCTGCAGGGACGACAGTCACACACTGATTCCGGTGACATAGGTTTGAGCAAACAATAGGTAAGTGGTGTTAGAGAGACAAATGAAAGCATGGCGGGAAGATTAAAATAATGGAACGGGTTAATCAAAAGAGAGTGAGTGAGGCAAAGGCAGCAAGGCAAGCTCCCTTCACTTACAATCACAGCAAGCCTCAGAGTCAGCTTCATCCACCACCAAGATCCGGGCTTTCACTCGGACTCTCTCCTTTTTTTGTAGAAAGGAGTAGTGTAATATAATGTGGAAGGGTCCAGGAAAGCCAAGGCTAAGCATTAGAATCACCTCCGGCTGAGGACAGAGAGTGTTAGTGCTAAGAGATGGTGTTTCTATTCCCACATCAGCAGTGAAAAAAACAGGACAGTCTGTGATTATTTGTGCAGAGGCAAAAAGCAGAAGATTTATTGCAAGGCTGAAAACCACTAAGGTCTAGATCTCACATTTACAGATTCACTGCATCCAAAGCACCAATGAGAATAGGCAAACCTGTGCAGGTGTCATTATAGCATAACCTCTCCAGCTGAATCCTGGGAACTCTTGGGGGTTAAAACCAAAGCGGACAGGTCGAGCGTTTGGTGTTGTGCCATCCTCTACCTCAAACTTCAGCTGATGTAAAGATGGGAAGAAGTAACCTGGGGCAGGCCTAGAGAGAGAATAGTTGCATTCACATTGTTTTTCAAAGCAAGTATATTTTACACATTTCATAATTAAATGGTATTTTCATTGATTTAATTAATTATTGAAAATATGGGGGAAGTGGGTTAGAGCAGTGCGCTTGTGCTCTGAGAAGGTTGCAGGTACCCAGTTCAATCCCCACAGCCTGCAATCTGGGTTAATGAGCAAGACCCTTAACCCACAAACTACTCCCCTGGCACCACACAATGGCAGCCCACTGCTCCCCAAGAGGATGGGTTAAATGCAGAGAGGATATGTCTCGAATGTGAGATAAATAAAGTTCAATTAGACATTCAAATATTTATTTCATGAAACATTTATTATTTTATTTTGTCTTTTTTGCCTTTGGTGTCATGATCTTGGTGCTAATGACTGACTTAATTACTAACTCCATTTACCTACAGTAACTCTGCCCAGTTTCTCATTACCTCTGATCTGACCCACCTGCTTCTGCCTCTATTTAGGGTGCTTGCATCCAGTTTTCAAGATCAGATTATTTTGTTCTCACATGCCATTCATGAGAAGTTTTTTAGTGTACCTTAGTGTTTCTGATTTCTTGCTTCTAACCTGTTCTCCCTCTCAACCACTGAGCCTACCTATTCCCGAGCAATCTCAGTGGTAAAAGGGTTTTTAGCGTACCTGAGTGTTTCTAATGACCTTATTCTGACTCGTTTTGCCCCTCAACCACTGAGCCTGTCTGTTCCTGACTGTTTGCCTGAACTGTCTTTGGACTTCAGGACCTCTGAGCCAGCCTGTTCTTGTTCTGATCTGTTTGCCTGACCTGGCTTCAGACGATTGCTTGTTCTCCATTCTCCGGGGCTACAGTATTTCAGACACTTTGGGCGGCACCCCCTGCATCATGTTGGCAGACCGTCGGCTGGATCCTACCTCGTTCTCAAGACACGTCCTGAACTGTTAAACCAGTTTAGTGACTCACGTGTTTATATCATATTCTACGTGTACGGGGTCACTAACCTTTGTTTCCTTTTACAGAGTTTCCTCAAATAGATGCTCTACCTGCTGCCACTCAACTTTTCTGTGTCTTAAATAAAAGCTTTTCAATTATCCTACTGTCTATCTTGCCTCGAATATGGTGTCCCCCATTTGGTACATCTCAGGGGTCAGACTGGTTCTTAAAATCCCCTCTTTGATAGACCAAAACCAATATATTATATCGGCTAATTATTTTACAAATTAAAATCTTGAAAGTAAAACATGCATTTGCATGATACCTCTTCATATAATGTAGTCTAATCAATTGCCCATAGTGATCACCTAATCAGTAAATAGGTAGTGTAAGTTAATTTTAGCATTATAAGAGTGATATTGTGGACATCAAGGTTTTTTAGAAAACATGAATAAACGAGTTATTCATGAAGATCAATGAAGACATGAAATGGCTCAATGATAACACCATGGAGATGTTGAAAGTAAATTAGGGCAAAACAATATCTAAAATTGAGCATTTCATTGTTTATTCCATCATCTGACTCTAGAAAAAAGACCTAAACCATTTAAGAGTTGTATTTACAGATCCTTTTCTTTCAGCATCCAAAAGGCTCATTACAACTCTGTTGGAGCTGTAGAGATCCGCTTCTATTGTAATAGAATTTTAGAGAAAATTACCTCAATAAAACAGAAGCTTTCTATTGCTGGAAGAAAGTTACTGTCCGTTCCATTAGCAGTCTGGCACAAGGAATGTTAGAGAAAAAGAAAATAGCTCAAAGCATGCACTCTGGAAAATTTAGATCAAATCGCTTTTTTTGTGCAACACTGTGTGGTGGAAAACTAACCCTGTCAGGCAGCATCGTGCTGTGGGAAAACTTTTTTTTTACAGCAGGAACAGACAAAGTTAGTCAAAGTTAAAAGAGAGATGGTTGAAAGAATAGAAAAGGCAATTCTGGAAGGAACGGTTTAAAGCTACAAAACATGGTATCAGAGTGGAAGTCTATTTTAGAGGTAGACAACAACCCTAAATATATCATCAGAGCTGAGATGGAATGGTTTTGATCGATATGCATCAATCTGTTAGAACGGCTTAGTCAAAGTTTTGCAAAAAAAAAAAAAAATTAAGAATAAAAATATATATATATAGTTTCTTAGATGTGTTCAAATAATCTTAAATCCCAAAGACTTCACTAAAGCCTGTGGTTACCATAACACTTAAATAAAATTAAACAGTAATTATCCTTTTCCAATGCCATTTAGGGTTAAGAAGATGTGCATTTCCTGATTATTTTTAAGAAACCCCATAGCTTACTCTTTGCATATACGGCCAATTACATTCTTCCGACACTGACACTGTCCAGACGTCTGATCACATGCCATGCCCACAGCACCTCCTAAATCACACTGACAGGCTGGAAGAGAGAGAAGAAAGAATTAAACAAATAGTTGAAGAAGAGTCACTTAACAACAGACTGAACAACAATTGCTGGTGGCTGAAACCTCAATTTTTTCCACCTCAAGTCACTTCTTTAACTCATTTAGCTATAAATGATTGGACAAAATAAAGAACTAAAACACAATAAAATTCTATATTTATGGGGGGTTCTTAAACTGTTTTTACATTTTCTAACATCTTCCTGTACCGTATGCAAAGCTTTTTATATTCATATGGTGTCAATTCTGTCTTTATGAGCATACTATAAACCTTAGATCTCTAAAGTGAGTTTTTAAGGGGTGTTAGTCTGGAGCTACATTAAAATAAGACTACAAGCATTTGCTTTATATCAACTTCAATGGGGTTTACAGGTTTTACAGTGTTGCTGAACAATACGCTCTATAAGCGCTGTTGTAAAGAACAATGGGACATCATTGTCCTATTTTCCAACCATAAAAGATAGCCTGGAACATCCGTTACTAATATGAAGTTAGCACTTTCATTATGTCATTCAATAAACATTTTCTTACCAGCCACTTCTCTGGTACTTCAACACATTTGTATTCAAATATTTAATTTTATAACTGAGTAACTATAATAAATCAGTTTTGAAAGGAATCAAAGAACTTTCAGCCTTACTGAGCTATATATACAATGTCCTTCATTTACAGAGGTGAAGAACTCATTGAGATTAAAGCTGTTTTTCTAAAAGAGACCTGCCAAAGATCACAGTTCCGATACATGGTTGCAAAAAACTTAAATTCATACATCCCCAAAATGGGATTAACAGTTTACAAAGTGCAGTCACAACTTCCAATAGGGTTTATTACTCTTCTCTTGTAAGTGATTTAAATCCCCCCCCCCCAAATAAAAGATTTCTCTATTTGTATTTATTATTGTTTTATTTATCTGACCATACACAGTTGTCAACACTCTTCAATCTAGATGCTTTCATGGTGTAAAGAAGATGTCCTACTTTAAAATCAAGGGAAAAGAATTTGAGATTTGGCAGCAATTTAAAAGGAAAGTCTACCTCTGGTGACATGTAATGGCCAGGCAGACTGTAGGAGAGAGGGTGAGCTTTTCAGCAGATAATAGGAAGTCTGGTTGAAGTACAGCAAAGCTGCTTTGTTTCAGTTTTTTTAAATTTATTTTTATTTTAGACTTTCCACCTCTGGCATGTGGCACACTGAATTATAAAATGTTGGCATTCATTAGGAATGGTCAGGGTTAAGGTATGGTACAGTTCAAACACATTGATAGTTATATAGTTACAACTATATTTCAGATTAATGCATGCCTCGAAAATGCAGTGCATCTTAATGATATTTGATGTTTAATGTTTGATGAATAAACATCTTACCCTGACAGCCAAAATATCTCTTTTTTTGCAGTAGGAAGTATCCCTCTTTGCAAGAGTCGCATGCAAGGCCACACACACTTGGCTTACAGTGGCACTGCCCTCTTCTCTGTAGAAACAAATCACACAGAAAAGAGAGAGTTCATTAAGACTGCTGCACTTGCAATGCAGTTAAACAGGGATAGACCTTTTTTGTGCATGGGTGGATTGCTTTGTAATATACCCACCTGCTCACATTCCCCAACACCGCTCAGTGTCCCTCTCAGATCACACTGACATTCTGGAATGGAAGAAACAAGAGAAAATTGAAGGGAGGGGTTGAAAAGATGTAACAGTGGAGAAACTGTGAATAGATTCTGATTACAGGATTTTCTAACACCCACAGGTGTAACACAACAACTGGGAAAACTCTTCAAGCTTCAAAGAAATTAAGGTCAAAGGACATGAGAAAGTTCTTTTTTTATATACACAGATAACTGTGTTAAAAAAAAGTTTCCCTGAATGTCTGTCTACTTCAACTAGAGGCATTCTTGAGATATTAAAAGCGTGTCCTGTGTTTTCAGGCTTAGTGGCAGAGAGATCAGTCTGGCAGGAGAGAAAAGCTGTAACATGAGGGCAATTTCTGGAAAACCCTTGAAGCTGTTTTTCAACCATAAAGGGATCAACCTTATCTTCCCCATGTGAGCTGCTTTTAGCTGATTTACTCATGCACACTTTTTGCACAGTCAAAATACAGAGAAATCTGAATTAAACAGTTAATGTTTTAATGTACCAGTCTAAGCTATGAACGTCCACAAGAATTCGCTCAAGTAATGTTATCAGGAAACCCAGCCTGGCCTTGTTGACAGGGATATGATAACATATTCTCTGTGTAAAAAGGGGCTCAGATCAGTACATTTTCAGACTGCTTCTGGTTATCAAACAATCCAGTTAAGAATTGGGTCAGTGAACAAAAAAAATAAATGCTGCAGGCAACTTATGTTTAACTCAGGAGCCGTTGTTTTAGCAACAGAAAACCAGATTGATTATTTACTCTAAATGTATCCCCTAAAGACCATAAGAGACCTCCATAGCTGTTTGAATCTGAATATAGCTCACTTATTAGTTGTGCACTCTGCCGATCAGGCCTCTAGGAAACAATGGTGATAAGAGCGCAGAAAGTCAAAAGAAGTGCACGGTTCAGTTTCATGGTTCAGTGCAGACATGTGGATGGGATGCTCTGGTCAGATCAGACCAAATTTAAATACTAACACATGCAGTGAACGAAGCATTACCACAGTGACACATACATATGGCAGCAGCAGCATGGTTATAGTATTATTTATTTCAACAGTTAGGATGGCATAGTGTCGATAAGAAAGTAGATGGAACGAGATGCAGAACAATGCTAGAAGAAAAATGTTGGAAGCTGCAAAATGCTTTAGGTTCCTCTATGTCAGCATGTTCCTGTCAAAGTCCAGTACAAGATAAATCTATTAACCTGGTTCAAAACCTGATTTTTCATAACAATTGCACTCTAATAGCATTAAAGGGGACATAGAATGCAAAACCGAGTTTAAATTGTCATAGATGAATAATGATAGTTCAGTGGGTGAAATTGATGTACAGAGAAGTTCTAACCCCATCGACACCTCCTTTCTCTGCAAATCTCACAATTCTAAACTTCCACCATAAAATGGGTGAATCCAATTGAAGACCCGAGTTGATGTCAACTCTGGAATGTTGCCATATTTAGTTCTGGCCTGCACTTTTGTCACGCCCCACAATTGAACATACAGACCAGCCCACTGGTTCACTGGCCCAAAAACATGACTAGAGGTAGATGGAAGCCACCGGTTTAGCTGTTTAGCCTACAGTTGGGTATACGTCTACAAGAATTACAAAGCAGGCAGTTTCTCTATTGAAAATGAGCCAAAAACCACAGGCGGAAATGCAGTGTTCTAGGCTGCACTGAGAAACGCCAAATTTTTCACAGCCTTCCCAAGGATCCAAAGACATGACAGGCATGGAATATTTTTGTGTATTTGAAGATCCCTGCAAAGTTTGATGCTCAGCTGTTAATTTTCTCTAAGCATTTTACTGAAGAAAAATTTCAAAATCTTCGACAGTTCAAAGCAGGATTTGCTAAACTTCTTTTACTGAAACGAGGGTCTGTTCCGACTGTAAGGCCATCGCAACCACAAGCTGTAAGTATTATTTTGTCGCTAAGCTGTTGATAGTAATGATAGCATATCTAGGGTGACCAGATTTGGGTTTCTGAAAAGGAGGAAAGGGGGTGGGGGGGTGGATGTGTTGCTGGGACACTGACTGGACCTCACCGGGCAACCGAGCCGTCAGCTCAAGGTATGGCAGACGATTTTGAAATTCCCCCGGGACATTTTTTTAGCTATCAAAAGTAGTACATGTCCAGGCAAAAGAGGACATCTGGTCACCCTACCATATCAACAATTTGATGTTTCAGTGAGTGAGTGCTTGTTGCTATGATGCATCTTTGCTCGTTGTAAACCAACCAATCAGCGCACAGCTCATTTAAATATTAATGAGCATACCATAAAAGGAAGAAAACCTGTTTTTTCATTTTAGGACTTATAACCAGGCTTGCATTAGGGCCCATAGAACAGCAAATATGCCATCTCCAGCACATCCTATTCAGAGACCTTAAGGACCAGCATCAAATACCCTATATAATCATTCTATGATCCCTTAAAGAGTTGGTAGAAACATGCCCCTAAAGACCCGCCGATGTTGTTACAGGGAAAGTTGATTGACTAACAAAGGCAAAATTTAAATGTGGTACATTTTTCATCAATTATAAAACTTTTTAATAAAATGCAGCTAAGTTTGCGGTTTTATGGTTAAAAGATATTTGAAAACCTTTACTATGCATATAACTGTAGCATTGATTTCAGGTTTCTTACCTGTACATCCATTAGAGTTTTCTGCAGCTAGATTCCAGTAGAGAGGTTTACACCTGTCACATAACCTTCCTTCTACATTTGCTCGGCATTGGCAGGCCCCCTGAAACAGCAAATAAGGAATCTAAGAGTTTTCCAGACCGGTTGCAGTTGCTTAAAACCAGGTTATATCGGTTTGCCATCATATACCAAGATCTAATCAGTCACGAGGGCCTGCATATAGTGTTACAGAGCAAGTATTCTGAAACAAAAACTTTCAGCTTTTTTTTTTCCCAATCTTCTAGGTGGGGAGTATGTTGCCAACTTTGGAAGTATAACCACATTAGTAGCCGAGAGTTGCTTTGTGTGATTATTGTTTCTTCCGTTTCTAGATGGAAGGAAGTCTCTCTTTCCTTGTTTGGTTACGTGTGCATTCCACGGGAAAAGCCTTCCTTTGTTTTGCAGTTTAAAATTCAAGCCAAAGTTCAGCCACGTTATCAGCTGTGGGATAGTAAATCTATGTAAAATCACCACCCTGGGTTGGACAGGAACTAAAGGAAACTTGATAAGAGCAGGTTAAGTTAATAGCTGGCGGCTTACTGTTTGAGGACTGGACACCTCTGTTCCATCTGGGTTACAAAAACTGATGGACTCTGCGGTAAAAAACAAGAGAGACCATAAATTAATGCATAAAAAGTTTATGCCAAAATTGAATGGAATAATTCTGAAGCTTAAAAGAAACCTTCTCTAACCTAATTTAAAGCAAATCTGATTATTCTCACTTCCTACAACTGTGATGCATGCAGTGTGTTCAGTGGTGCCTACCTGAGCATTGAGGAAACCTTAGTCCAGACACCCAGCGATCACACTGCTGGCCTACCACGCCTGGCAGACACAGGCATTGACCCGATAAGGGATTACATGCAGATCCATATGAACCTTCTGGTGAACACCGACAGGCTGGAGAAAACAAACATCACAATTTATAACTTAACTTCTGCAGTAAAAGCTTTTATAGTCCTTCATACAGATGTTTATTCTAGTGATACCCAGTTGTCCATTCTTGAAAAGGCCAAACACAGCAATAGAAATATACAGTACGTACACTCATCATATGCCTGAATCTAAAATCAATTTAAATATAGAACATATAGAAATATAGATAAATATATTCTAGATCTGCTTACTTTCAAGGGCAAATTAAGAATACAAAAGTCAATCCTTTTTGTAAGTCGACTTTGGTAGGGTTTTTTTTTAGTTGTTGGCTGTTATCGGCATTAACTTTTATGGGGCAATAAAAAATGCATCACTGTTAATCTGTTCTCACAGTTGGGATGGGAGCTGGGTCTAAACTAATGGTAACTTTCACCTTGATATTTTAGTGCGGATGTATATCAGGCGCAGGTGTATATCTGGGGGCGAGAACGAATCGGTCTTCCAACCTGTGTAGGCGTGCTGTTAAATTATCACATTCAACATGACGTGCTGACATGATGCAGCTATAAAGACGCCGGGTTTACTTCAAGGAAAATGTATTTTTAAGAAGATTCCCAATGGAAAGATTGACAAGACTAAAGCTGTTTGCACATGTGTGCAATGGGTTTACTGCAGGAGTTCTTCCAGTCTCAAGTACCACCTAAAAGCAAAGCATCCCTTTGTCAATGTCAAAGAGGCCACGCACTGATGTAGCGCAGTGGAAGAGTCATTTTCATCAAGCTATAACGTTTGAGTGTAACCGAGGCAATCCCATCAGCAGAGCTCTATCAGCCAAGCTAACTAATGTCCTCGTTCAGACAGACGTGAAAGTTGAGAAGTTGGTAGAAGCGAAATGTGCAGCACTGACGGGGGACAATATTATGCGTGCTTCTTGATGATTGCTTTGGTGAAAGTGGGTAAAATGGGACGGTTTTTGTGTTGACTCTATGGGGTTTGTTACCAGCCTATTTAATTTCTAGAGCTAGAGTCATGATACATTTTTAAAAACCTCGGAATCCTCACATAGCAAGAGCATAGCATAGCAAAACAGATTTTAGTATTATCCTCAAACGCTGTTGCCCCAAAGTCTATATTGCTAAAGTGGGACATCTAAAATTGGAAGTGGGATGCTCTATTTTTTGCAGCAAAAACACAGTAACAGATAAGCAAAACAAATATTTATAAATTTGTCAAAACCTTAAGCAGGAAGACGAAATTACAAATTTGTGATTATGCAAGCATGAAAAAGGTATACCTGATATTTTTAATAGATTACTGTGAAATTAATCTAGATTAAAACAAATGAATCTATGCCCACCACTAGTTTTTATTTTTTTATTAGGTTACTTTGAATGTATACAAACTCCACTACTAAACTGTTTAGATGGCCTTCATGAAGAAATAGAGAACCCAAACACTTTCTGCAGAAGTCAATAACATCCTGGCACATTTGTTATAGATGATCTCTGCAGAATTGACAGAGCTTATTAAACTGGTTAAATTTCCTGGCACCAACTCAATGTTTGTTAGTAGTCCTCTCATTGTTTAACAGTATTGTGGAGTGAGCAATTTCAAATGCCTAAATGAACGTATACTGTAGCGTATTCATTCCAACAATATTTAGATGATATTTGGGGTCCTCCTCCTGTTGGAAAACCCAGTTGTGTCCAACTCTAAAAATAATGACTCTTCCTTTAAAATTTTATCCAGTATGATGACACAACCTCAGTCAATTGGCAGTGTTCTTAGGTATGAATGCATCAAACTGACTCCAGCATCTTCTGGTTAATGATTCCCTTGGGTTGCTTTTGGACATTATAACCATCTTCCTTTCATTTGAGAGTTACCGTGTGGGACAGATGAATGAAACTTGGAAACTTTTGGGTTTTCCAAATAACAAGTAAAACGCATAAAACAGTATTCAACCAAATCGCTTGTAGAATTACCCTTCAAAAAATGTCTGATGTTAAACCTGTTTGCAAAAAAAGCTTGGTTTGTGGGGGAAACCATGATAATAAAAGGTGTTAAATGGCTTTGAAAGACGTGGTTTGTTTGCAACTCTCTAAGGGACACTTAGTTAAATATCAAGAGTGTGTATAATTAGATTTGAGCTTTTATGTCAAATTTTGATCCTGTTTGGATTTGAGACTGACTATTACTGCATTTCATTTCTTTGAGTGCCATGTGTAAGATAAGACAGGAATACGTAGTTGTTTTAGGAAATAGCATGGTAAATTCTAGATTTCATGCTTCTAGAGTGCATTGATAAAGAAAGCTCTGTGATGTTATTTCTTTATTTTTGTAGGATCAAAAAATCACAACTCACCAACACAGTCTGGATATCCATAGAAACCTGGTGCACACTGGTCGCACTCCCTGCCCTGGTAGTTAGGGAGGCAGTTACACTGACCATTCGGACTGCATATGCTCTCAGCCACTCCAGCTCCACCACAGCGGCATGCTAAAGAGAATATGTAATCATACGCAAAGTGAAGTTATAATCAAAACATCACTACAGATCATATTGCTGGAGCTCATTCCGACATTCCTTGGTCATCGCTTTCTAAATAAAAATTATTATTATGAGTATTTTCCTTGAGGTTAGGGTTCCCCTACCCTGGCAGTTTGGGAAGGAGTGGTATCCAGGTTCGCACCGGTCGCATCGCTCTCCCTCCACTCCCCGACGGCAAAAGCAGCCCCCATAAACATCACATACAGCATGAGTTGTCCCTCTGTAGTCACACATGCATGCTGCAGACAAACAAAGTGGAGATATTTATATTACACAGTAAGAGCAAAATCATTTTCAGCTGAGCAGCCCAGCTTATATACAGTATGATGTTTTCTACTGAATAGCAGGTAAACTTGGCCTTGCTTGATTTTATTTTGTGCTGCAACTTTAGACTAAAAAGCTGATGACTGCTTCCTGCGTTTCATTTCTTTGAGTGCCATGTATGAGATAAGACAAGATTACGTAGTTGTTTTAGGAAATAGCGTGGTAAATTCTAGATTTGATGCTCCTAGAATGAATTCATACGGAAAGCTCTGTGATGTTATTTCTTTATTTTTGTAGGATCAAAAAATCACAACTCACCAACACAGTCTGGATATCCATAGAAACCTGGTGCACACTGGTCACACTCACTGCCCTGGTAGTTAGGGAGGCAGTTACACTGACCATTCGGACTGCATATGCTCTCAGCCACTCCAGCCCCACCACAGCGGCATGCTAAAGAAAATATGTCATCATACACAAAGTGAAGTTATAATTAAAAAATCACTACAGGTCATTTTGCTGGAGCTTATTCTGACATTCCTTGGTCATCGCTTTCTAAATAAAAATTATCATTATGAGTATTTTCCTTGAGGTTACGGTTCTCCTACCCTGACAGTTTGGGAAGGAGTGGTATCCAGGTTCACACTGGTCGCATCGCTCTCCCTTTACTCCCCGACGGCAAAGGCAGCGCCCATAAACATCACATACAACATGAATTGTCCCTCTGTATTCACACATGCATGCTGCAGACAAACACAGTAGAGATATTTATATTACACAATAAGAGCAAAATCATACAGTATGATGTTTTCCACTGAAGAGTAGGTTAACTTGACCTTGCTTGATGGTATTTTGTGCTGCAACTTTAGACTAAAAAGCTGATGACTGCTTCCTTTGGAAAGTCACAAAAACACCATTTATCTCAGCCAACTTACAGGATGAAAAAGCTGCTTAAATGATTCCTCTATGTTTATTTTCTTAGAGGAATGAAATGATTGAAATTGACAGGGGTGAAAGGTTTTCCTAAACTGCTGATTCCCAGCTTAAAAGAAATCACAACTTCAATATTTCTAATATTAGCCTGGTTGAGTTCTCACTAAAAAGTCCCAGAGGAGTGCTGCCATAACAAGAGAACAGAGAGCACTTTAAATCCCCAAAGATAGACCAGATCTTTTTTGAACCATCAGTCTTTTATGCTTATATTGTCTAGTGGAGATTCTTATGAAGCATGTAAATATTCTATCCCTTTATTTTTTCCAAATATAGGAGACACCATGTTTAGAAATGTCTCATGCATGGTTAACCTACCGCCCTTTTTATTAACATTTAACTCAAGCGCAAACTTAGTAACACTGGTTCCTAACACCCTCCTATCGTTTCTTTTTGTCTTCCTCTTAGTAAACGAGGCTGAATTAAGTGTCCAATAAAAAAGCTTTTTCGAGAGCCTATAAATACAAAAAAAGTGCATGAGAGCGAACAACAAAAGCATTTAACATAGCCCTGCCTTAAAACACTCATTTTAGCTCTAACTGCACTTACGTTGACATGTAGGGGAGTTGAAATAGCCTGGGGGGCAGGCAGTGGGTCCTTCATAGGGAGGGAAAAAAAGAAATAGTTTTAAAGTGCCTACTAGATTCAGTTATGTTGTGACAAGCAACAAAATTAACTCACCCACTATAGGGCCTGCAGGTGATTCAGTTGTCAAGTACACAGGATAAGCTATTTAAAAAAAAAGGCACAAAAGAAAGACATTTAGGAAAATAATCACATGATATTATTTTTCTTGAATCAGAAGTCTGCAAGATTTAAATTCTCGTAACAAAAGCATATAACAGGAACATAGACTTCCATTAAACATTACTGATTAATATATATTTTTTGTTGTTAATTTAAATTACATCCTAGCATTTTTTACTATAGAAACTTGGACTGTTTTCATCCCCTGCTTTAAATGTGTTGTACTTATCATGTAATTCCAGATTTACACACCTTCCCATTAAATGCCAGCCCATAATATGAAGAAACATTGATCCACGTGAAGACAAAAAATATTTCAGGGAACCCAGACAGCTTCCTAATAACTGTCAACATGCTGTGTCCTGGACTGTCAGGGCAATCAAACTTAGAAAAAGTATTTTACTCATAAATGACAATTAAAGGTGAAGTAAAAGACTTAAGATCCGAAGGACCTCAGGCAGGTTTGCACACGACAGGTCGCCTGTGTGTGAAGCAGCATTAATACACAGGTAATACCATTACTGGTGATACATGAGGTAACAGATAAATTGTGGAGGATTTGGTAAGATTCTTCTGTGCACATTCAGTACTTTTGAGGATGTAATAAATCCTGGCAAAGCCATGTGTCAGTGTCAACGGAAACACTAGAGGAAACATAAAGAATTACCAAAAAATATGAATCTTATCTCCACCCCTTAGCACATAGCTTAGTCTTTGCCAGGGAAGATCCATATGATAATATGGGGAAATTCTTTATTAGATTTCAATATCTCTTTTTTGGAATGCGCAATAACCCGTCCTATCTGCAGGGTGTGAATTATCTCTCCTTGTTTTTCAGAAGGAATAAACTCTTGTCTTGCAGGACAAAAAAAACAAACAAAAGAAACAACCTGCTTAAACAAACGTCAAGGGGACATGATTTCAAACAAACAAGGACTTCATATGTTAAATGTTGAGTTGCATAAAACCTTTATTTTATTAAAGGCATGTAAAAAATATGAACGATCAATTAGTTATGGTCTAGATTAATGTATATTATATATGGCATACAAAAGATATTAATGGTATAAGAAAGGTCAAACTTACTAAAGCACTCTGGGTAGTAAAAATGTCCATCGGAACAGCGATCACAGTTTTCTCCAGCAAATTGTGGCTTGCAGATACACCTTCCAGACCCCATCTCACAGCCATCTGTGATCCTTTCATCACAGCTACAAGCTAAAGAGAAATTCATTTCATCAGCAAACATTTAACCCAGTGGCTCTAACAGATACACTCTCGGTCACAGGTTAATATCTGTAAAAAACAAAAAACCTAAACATTAAACTATTTAATTAATTTAGAGTAATCTCACACAATGAACTCAAATAAACACCACACACAATTACTAACATTCTCTAAAAACCAGCATAGTCTAACTTTAATATTAATTCATGTAGATTAAACTTTTAAAATATTGTGAGTATCTCAGAACATTAAGTAATCCATAAAACCTTGTTACAGTTTGGGATAAATAGAATATTTCACATTTCTTCTTAGACAGTTTTAGAAAATGGTGAATAGCATGTTGAGCATAAGCCGAGGAATAGCTTATAATAAATAACTCATTAGCTAAACTTTCCTCTATCTACAGTCGGCGCTTTTTTATATAACATTTTTATATTTTATTTTATTTTATTATTATATTTTATTTTATATAACAACAATTGACACAGTCATTTATTATTAAAATCTACTGGGAAACTATCAAAAGATTTTACCTTGGTTATATAACACTAAGACTGAACTTGTTACTGACAAACACAGGAAGTTCTGGTGTAGAGCATAATATCAACATGTAAGAAAATCCACTCATGCCTATCCATAAGCGTGGAGAAGGGGCTAAAAGGTTTAGAGAACTGTTTAAGGAGTTTATCTGAGTTATTGTTACCCCTATCAGACTGCATCAAATTAAAGAAGGATAATTAGTTCAAACATCTCACTTACTATAAATCATCAGATGGATGTACAGATTATGTCTGTATAGGGTCCTTAGGTTGATGACCTATTATGGATGTCTACATGATGTGCAAATAAGTTCAATGTTTAAACATCTGACTTGCCGTTTTTTGACTTTATAAAAACATCAAACACAGGTGCAGATAGATTTATTTATTTTTAACATACAAGATGTGCAAAGACACGTCTATGATGTCTTTTTGAGGTTGCCTTTGCACGTCTGATGTTTGTGAAATTAAAAAGTGCAAAAGAGACCTGAAAAGACTTCATATAGACGTGTTTTTGTGCAGTGGGATATAACCAAATCAATACAGAAAGTAAACTCAATTCATGACAATCCGGGCTCCGCTAGACATAAACCCCATAAAAAAAAAACCCTGCAAAATAAGCTGAGAAATAAAAATAACATGAGGAAAAGGCATGGAACTGCATTCAGAACTTTTAAAGATTCAACTTTTAAAATTTTTTTATATAAAAATAATGTGTTGCATTGAGTAATAACATCTGGGGATGGTAATAAGATTTTCTTTAAAATTGGGAATTTTAAAGTTTAATTGAATAGATTTTTTTGCAGAGACAAGCTAAATAGCAAAAATGTTTTAGTAACATAGAAGATACCTACTAACCCTCCACACATTTCCCTCCTAAACATACAGGAGGGATTTTGTTGTGGATTCTGTGGTTCAATCTTCAAAGTAGGGTGAGCACTTTACATCCCCACACTTGTTAAAGTCCAAACAGAACTCTCAGCTGTTCCTACCACAAAGAACAGCTACAAAGCATTCCAGTAAGGTAAACAATGGTAAAGCCCAGTTTAGACATAGTGCAACCATTGGTGCCAGTGTCGTCGCTGCACTGGTGCCATTTGGGACTGTCTGTAACAACACTGTTAAGCCCTTCATTGAGTAAAACTCTATTTAGGCTTCACAGGTTATACTGCAGATCAAATGCCATCATGTGCATGAGGTTTCTAGATTCAACCAGCAGAAGCACAACCTGGAAAACCGTGCAAACGTCTCCTTGTATCGATTGGATCTACAGCAAAGATCTAAGGTAAAGAGTTGAGGCTCCAGATTTATAACACAACGAGTTTGATAAAACACAACAAACACCATCAAAAAACTAAAACAGAACGAAAGTTTTTTAGAAAAGTATTTTGCTTTACAGTAAACTTATATGTAAACTATTTATTTTTCTTTGCATGTTTATAATAGTTTAATAGATCTTCAGTTAATTCTATCAATTAAATTTTTTATTTGAAGAGGGGGAAAAATACCATTAGTCTTAAATGAGAAATGTTGTGCATTAGATGTCCGGAAAGTGAACAACTGAAAACATGCAGTATCTTATTTATGCTATTTTCATTATTTATGAAAGACTCAACTACATTGAAAAACTAATGACCCAACAAACACCAAGCTAAGATTTCCTTACTAAGCAGTCAAAATGAATGTACTGCCATTTCTTGATGACAAGAAATTTCACAACAGAAGTTAGGCTGCAAAAAGTTACGTAATGTCCCCATTAGCCGTTACCCTGAATAAAATTATGACAACAAATCACTCAGTTAAATGACCCAACTATGCAGCAGGGTTTTACTCAGTAACCCTGGGTAATTCCTATTTTTCAGTTAAATCTCCCCAGAAAGTGCTAAAAATGGCGCATCCTTTTCTGAAAGAGTCTGTTGAGGTTGGAGTTGAATATGAAATGCTGGCAGTGCAAAATCTTAAGGTATCACATCACTAATTGCTGACTATTATGCTGCAGCTAGACACAGATTTAGTGCCCACAAAAAATGACACTGTGCAGGTAAATAAAAATTGAGTAAAACCACCTTTTAATGTCACATTTCTTTTACAGTTCCTTAAAATATAGAGCTTTTCCTCACTGAGAAAATTCCCTATACTTAAATCTATTTTCACATCCAATATCTATATATGAATGCCATATGTATTTTTTCTGAATTATTAGAGGCTTCTGTCCTGTCCTACCCCAGATAAAGGTAAATATTATTATCTATGTTCCATCAATGAGGGCTTTTTATATGCTTGTGCTCGTGCTAAGCTCAGAGTTAATTAGTGGCTGAGTTTAGTTACCGGATTGATGTGACCTGTTCTGAAACCAAAAACTCTAAGAAGGTAAAAGGGGTAGAACTATTACTACTAGGGGTAGGACATTCATTTCTGAAACAGGTAAAAAGAATAATGAAAAAGTTAAACTCACGTATACATCCAGTTGGAGACTCAGGAGGCACTCCATGTGGTCTGTAGAAGCCTTCAATGCATCTCTCACAGTTTATTCCTGCAGTGTTGTGCTAAAGAACAGAAACACTTACCATGCATAACATATAAAAACTGTGAAAAAAAAACAGCTATTTTGCACAATTGCAGAATTAATTGTTATTGTTTATATATCTTGTCTAATATATTTGAAGGGCTAGGCAAATTTCTCAATTTAAAACCATGGATTTAAACTTTCCTTTTCCGCTGAGAGGGATTTAGCTTGAAGTTTCTTGGGACCTTGGTAAAGCATTTTATCTTAATTTTGTGATTATTCCAGTTAAGTCCTTGATAAATGGTTTATTTTCCAGAGTATTAGTCTTTTAAATACTGCTCCGCTTGAACACGGTTCAATTGTTTTATTTTGGTAGTCTTTTTTCTTCTCTGCACTGGGTTCTACTTACTGATTTTCCTCTGACACCTGTTGTTTAGCTTTGGATTGATTTTTTTTATACACTCTTTTGTTTAGTCAATCTGTGCTTACTCATAGTTAAGCTTTTCCCAGTGTATCCCTGCGTTTGCTTGTTTTCGCCTTACCTCTCCTTGGTTTCCCATAATGTTTCCCTGAAGCTTTTTTACATTCAGTTAATCAGTTAATTACCCATTCGATGTTTCATTAAGCACTCTCCCAACACTCTATGTCTTCTCATTTCTCCTTGTTATTTTAACCTGCTAATTCTTCATGGTTCTATGCTGGTTGGTTTCATGTATTATTTCCTGTAGTTCTCTTAGAGTTTGGGCTCTGATTTGATTAAATATAATATATATCCTTTGATATATAATAAACTTTCTGAATTTGCCTATCTGCATGTGACTACTGCATCAAACCAGCTCTTAATATTTAGCTTTTATTACAGGATTAATTCACCAAACCCTGAAACCTGACATTTACCTTTAGCTGCTAGAAAACCAAAACCAGTGTTACCAGTTTGTGCGAAAAGAGGGAATTGTCATGAGCTAAGTTCTGTACTGAATAGGAAGCATCAGTAGCAAACCTAAAGGGGAATAAAGTTTTGCTTTAGGTTTTGTAATGAGAACCACAAACTTAAGGCGCTGTCACACCTTGCGATTTAGCCAGCATATGGTGACGTCCTGGAGTCTTCTAAAACGCTGGCATATGCTAAATTTTCTATGCATTTTTTCAATTTTGGGCGCATACATAGAGTAAATATAACGAGTCCAGAACTTATGTCCAATGACAGCCTAACTTATGCATAATACTTCAGCGTAATGCCCATGAAATGTCACAAGCCAGCGACCTGAGGGGGGCAGCAATGCATCAGGCCTGCATAAAAAGCACAAGAAGATTTCTCTAAACCTCGCATTTAGGGAAGGTATAATGGTGGTATAATGTATGTAGGTATGGAGGATTTTCGCAAATTTAAAAAAAGACCTGCCATCTCCAAATCAAAAAGAAAAAAAATGCACATGCACAACCCTGTACCTGCTTCCGAGAGAGAATGCCTATTAAACGCATGTGAAAGCATGCAAAAGCCCATTTCTCCTTGTGCACGCTCTGTTTAAAAGTTGCTGTTTGCATCGCTCATACAAGCTTACTTTCCAAAAGAAAACTTGCAATTTTTCCACTATGTCTGACTCACCACCGGTAAGTTAAATGGGAACGAGCACGTAGGATGGCCTTACATAAACATATCAACAGAATGATTGACAATTAGGAGGACCGCCTATTTTAATGATCCACCCGGAAAAAGAACATCCTGCCGTTTACCATTCGCCAAAAAAAAAAAAATAGAAAGAAGGTTTGCAGAAGTAGCAGATTCAGCTTAATGTCTGCTAGGAAGTTTTTTTGGTCGTGGCCATGGGTGTGAACGCAGTGAGGATCCATCACACTCACAACCAACTAACAACCAAATAACTTACCTGTAACTTGTGCCCCACGTATGAGCATACTCTGGTATATGTCAAGAAATTTTGAGCGTGCTCAAAATGTCTTGTACGTCAACGTGTGCCAGTGTGCTTCAGCGTGCTCATAACATACTCATAACTTATCCAATGCTCTGCAGCATTTTTGTCAAATCTTTTTTTTTTCCATCGGCATACGCTGGCTCAATAATCAAGGTGTGACAGTGCCGTTAAGAGATTTTGCTGTGTTTTTGATTCTGTAATTTTTATTTATATGTATATTTACTGCAGGTATGTTATCTGAAATATGTCTAATCAAAACATTATCCTGGAGACTGCCAAGTGCAATCTGTTGTTTAAAAAATGTATAAAGGTAATTGCAAATATTTTATTCTATAACAGTTTGTCTTTATCAAGGAAGTAACTGCTTTTTTAATGATTTATGTAAAAAGGCCAAAAAGGAAACAGGATAAAGCTGAGATAAAATCATGCAGTATGCTAGACTTATCAGAAGACTATGTAAACAGAGACATTTTATCTATTTTTTAAGTTTAATTACCCCCCCAGAAGAGAAATGCATGCTTTGACAAGAATCAGTTTGAACATGATACAAATTTCATACCTGGCAGCCGATGCAGACTCCTCCTCCACTGTACCTACCGAAGGTGTTCAAACTTGCTCCCCTCTTTTCAACCTCTGGGTCGTAATAACAGTCAGAGGCATGGGAGAAACACTGGCAGGCTGAGACGGAAAGCCCCGAGACAGACATGCAGACAAACACAAAATAAGAACATTTGCATTGGAACTCAGTCATGTTTATGTATATCTACTGAATAACTGTTTCTATTGTTAGTCTTCTTTCCTACAACTTTTAATTCAGGCCTATATTGGCAATACAGTGCATTTCAAAAGTATTTAATTCAGCTCAGCACAACTACATAAGCATTGTAGCCTGCACATGTATGAATAACAAGCTGATGGTGGTGGTAGCATCATGTTGTCGGAATACTGTTCTTTAGCAGGGACACAGAATATGGTCAGATTTGATGCAAAGATTGTTGGAGCAAAATGTAATGCATTCATCGAAGAAAAAACTGTTCAAGCAAAGACCTGGAGGCATGATGTCTGAACATAAAGCCAAAGATTTACTGGTTTATATGAAAACATATCCATGTACTAGAAGTCAGAGTCCAGATTAAATTACAATTTAAAATCTCTGGCAAGAATTTTACATATGTGTTTTCAGAAGACAAAACATTCAAAGATTTTTGTCACTAGATGTGCAAAGCTGGTATTAAAGTTTGAAAATACAGGTGCTGGTCATAAAATTAGAATATCATGAAAAAGTAGATTGATTTCAGTAATTCCATTTAAAAAGTGAAACTTGTATATTATATTCATACATTACATACAAACTCATATATTTCAGATGTTTATTTTGTTTAATTTTGATGATTACAAATGACAACAAATGAAAATCTCAAATTCATCATATCAGAAAATTAGAATATTACTGAAGACCAATAAAAACAAAGGATTTATACAAATGTTGGCCAACTGAAAAGTATGAACATGAAAAGTATGAGCATGTACAGCACTCTGTATTTAGTTGGGCCTCCTTTGGCCTGTATTACTGCAGCAATGCGGCGTGGCATGGAGTCGATCAGTCTGTGGCACTGCTCAGGTGTTATGATAGCCCAGGTTGCTCTAATAGTGGCTTTTAGCTCTTCTGAATTGTTGGGTCTGGTGTATTGCATCTTCTTCTTCACAATACCCCATAGATTTTCTATGGGGTTAAGGTCAGGAGAGTTTGCTGGCCAATTAAGAACAGGGATACCATGGTCCTTCAACCAGGTACTGGTAGCTTTGGCACTGTGTGCAGGTGCCAAGTCCTGTTGGAAAATGAAATCTGCATCTCCAAAAAGTTGGTCAGCTGCAGGAAGCATGAAGTGCTCTAAAACTTCCTGGTATGTGGCTGCGTTGACCCTGGACCTCAGAAAACACAATGGACCAACACCAGCAGATGACATGGCACCCCAAACCATCACTGACTGTGGAAACTTTACACTGGACTTCAAGCAACGTGGATGAAGTGCCTCTCTTCTTTTCCTCCAGACTCTGGGACCTTGATTTCCAAAGGAAATGCAAAATTTACTTTCATCAGAGAACATGACTTTGGACCACTCACCAGCAGTCCAGTCCTGTTTCTCTTTAGCCCAGGCAAGACGCTTCTGACGCTGTCTGTGGTTCAAGAGTGGCTTGACACAAGGAATGCGACAGCAGAAACCCATGTCTTTCATACGTCTGTGTGTGGTGGTTCTTGAAGCACTCACTCCAGCTGCAGTCCACTCTTTGTGAATCTCCCCCACATTTTTGAATGGGTTTTGTTTCACAATCCTCTCCAGGGTGCGGTTATCTCTCTTGCTTGTACACTTTTTTCGACCACATCTTTTCCTTCCCTTCGCCTCTCTATTAATGTGCTTGGACACTGAGCTCTGTGAACAGCCAGCCTCTTTAGCGATGACCTTTTGTGTCTTGCCCTCCTTGTGCAAGGTGTCGATGGTCGTCTTTTGGACAACTGTCAAGTCAGCAGTCTTCCCCATGATTGTGTAGCCTATAGAACTAGACTGAAAGACCATTTAAAGGCTTTTGCAGGTGGTTTGAGTTAATTAGCTGATTAGAGTGTGGCACCAGGGGCCATCAATTTTGAACCTTTTCACAATATTCTAATTTTCTGATATGATGAATTTGAGATTTTCATTTGTTGTCATTTGTAATCATCAAAATTAAACAAAATAAACATCTGAAATATATGAGTTTGTATGTAATGTATGAATATAATATACAAGTTTCACTTTTTAAATGGAATTACTGAAATCAATCTACTTTTTCATGATATTCTAATTTTATGACCAGCACCTGTATGACCAAACTTGGGGATGTGAATAGTTTTAAAAGTCACTTTTGTCTTGCGGAAATGATCTCAAAAGTCCACTTCAATTCAGTCCTGTGGATTCATGCTCTGATGCTTCTCTGGACAGAAGTAATTTCACTATCTACTGTAGGCTGGTGCAGGCCTGTAAGACCTACAGTACCAGCCAACAGGTTAAGCAGACAAAAAGCAGCTATCCTGAGGCCAGTTGCTCATCACACAAACCATATATGGAATGTCCTGTCAAATCTTCACTGACACTAACTCTATACAATACCATATCAGGGCATCAGCAACTGGGTTTGAATATCAGAGACAAGAGGATACTCCAGTCCTCTCTTGGGAATGTAATTCAAAAGTCACCGACGTGGGAAGGGGCAGCCCTGTAAGCTCTACATGTGGAATGAAGCAATGCACAAGAACACTCACGCTGACACTCGTTGGGGCTGTCAACAGTAGCAGCACGCCACGGCTTCTGGTTAAAGCCTGGACAGCAGTGGTCACATGACTCGCCACAGGTGTTGTGTTGGCACTCGCACTGGAGTCTAAAGTAAGAGGACGAGACAGTGGGACATAGTGATTCTGTGATGTTTGACACATCTGAGACAACACTTCAGGCTGCACATCATTCACACATGGTTCACACATTATCACCACGAAGCTATGACAATCGTGTCACCTTCAACAGAGAATGATATTTGGTTTGATGTTGGAAATGCATTAGATGATTAGACATCCATTGCTTTGGCAGACTGGTAAATTTCAGTACATGGCCTAAAGTTGAGCAATTATAAAACTCCTGTTCACAACAACTGATGTAAATGTAAATCCTTTATTGTCCCCCAAGGGGGAAATTCTGCCACTGTTGGCGCACGGGGAGCAGGCTTGGGTTAAGGGTCTTGCTCAGGGACACAAAATGGCAGTCTGTGGGATCTGATATCTTTACCATTTGTTAAGATGTGCAGTCTGGAACTGCACCACTGAAAATCTCTTACATCCAAGACTTTTTTAACATTATTTTGAATTACTCCATGGCTGCCTAATGTTGTTTTTGATTATTTCTAATCAAATTCTGTGTTATATACTTTTCCACTGGGGATTCTGTATGGATGTCTGTGTGAAGGTTATTGTTGCTGCACTGATTGTGTACTCACCCAGTCAGTAAAACAATTAAAAGGTTGGTGCAAAAAATAAAAAACAACAGATAAAATTACAGTGATAAGAAGAAGAAAAAATGCAGCTTTTTACCATTGTGGATATTGCAGCTCTTGAGATTACAAGGACAGAAATCCTGCATTGATACTCTTTTGATATATTATTTTAAGGGGAATACACACCATGAGTGTGCCTAATCAAAAAGGACACAACAAGGTTTGGATAGATTCAGCAGAAGGACCGATGCTTCTGAAACCAAAAGGTTTAAATAAATTGCTGGGTGCTGTGCCCAGGAATACTGGCTACCAACCAGAGCTGCTGTTGGTTTGCTGGAAAATAACTGGAGTGTTTATTATTTTTCCCCAAAAATAAAGCTGAAAACTTGTTTGGGCTTATTCTCGCCAACCCGATAACCTGTATTGTCTCATGATCTAAATGTATTATTACGCCATATTTATTACATATCTATGTACAGCATTTATTGGTACTGTATCTGGCATTTTTCTAAAACTTTTGCATAAATGTTAAGATGAAAAAAAAAATCTATTTCTAAAACAGTGACTAATCTTTCTTTATTGTATCAATAACATAACTCTTACTGGATTGCTTTTAAACAGTAAAAACCATTTCCCACTTAGACGACTCAGTTCTGTTCAGGAATACACTTAATAATTACAATAGATAAAGTTTAGAGTTTCATCAATAAGTAGTGACAAATGCATCAACCTAATAAAAATGAAGCAACGAGGTTGAAGCGTAAGACTGTTACCGACCTGTTTGGGTTCTCTGGATTCCGACCTGCATCACAAACTTGGGCGTGCCCATTGCAAACACAGCGTCCACCAATACTGATATCCTTGATACTGTAAAAATACTATTGGAAAACAGAGAAAAATCAGCACAAGCACAAACTGGTAGATGTGTTATCAGAGACATTCAGCTTCAGCACACCTAGAGCAAATTGTCTATGCTTGGCTACAAAAGGGAATCAGATATGACAAATATAAACTGTTACCATTGAGTTTAGTCATTCAATTAGAACATGTCCTAACATGAATAAAATTCCAATGACTACATCTCAATGTTAAAAAGTAAAAGACTAATCTCCAAAAGATATTTCTGTAAAACATTTTGTCATTCATTTTAACCCCCCCTTAAAAGATGTACACTGCTTCTTTTAATAGGATTTTGTCCTGAGTTTTAAGCATAAGTGATATATCTCACACCTACATGCTGACAGAACTTTCCAAACCTGTCCCTAGTAAAAGCTTTGCAAAGATGGCCTGTCGGACTGATCCAGCTTTAGTTCTCCACCAACCCCTAATTCCAGAAAACGTGTCAGCAGAGGGGTGTGACTGTGTCAGCAAAAATGAAGCTGCCAGGCAGAAGGCATAGAACCAAGCTTTATCCAAATGGGAAAGTAGAGGATGCCAGCTTGACACCTTGGTGCCACGTTGTACTGTTTTTGTCTTACCCTCCGTGTGACGGTGGGGTCTTTTTGGGCTTTGGAGATCAGGTGACCTAGAAGAGTGTTGGTACGAAGGAAGTGCAGACGGATGTTTGTGGCTTTCGTAAAGTCACGGAGCACTGGTGAGTAGGTGAAGTTTTTGGAGCCTGGCCGGCCGTTGATCAGAGAAACTACAATCTGGAAAGTACAAAGTTTATTTCAAGTAAACTGGCTTTCAGACACTTCCTGGCATTTGTTACCAGATTTCTTTCTAATGTTACCTCTCCATTCTCCAAAGGAATGATCCGTGAATACTCCGTGGTGCAGATTTGGTCGTCATCACTCAAAACACGACCATTTGGCTGTTTTCCAAATATTTCAATACACTCCCGTTTGGAATCTAGAAAAGGGAAGAAAAAATAAATACATTAAATAAGTTGTAGTTGAATGATTACAATATTTTACAAATCCAGCACAACAGAAAATGGATAAATGACGAAGCTCTATCAGAAACCAGAATGTCATAGGCAAAAGGTGCAATTTAAATGAGTGTACTCTTTCAACATGTACAAGAATAAGTTACAAGGGTATTTATTCGTATAAACAGAATTTAATAGGTACAGTTACATTAATGGTTCAGGATGTTTACAGTCATTTACTGTTTCAGTGCTGCTGTGTTATATGTTACGGCATTCTGCAGAAGTCCTGGAGGCCTTCCTCGAGGGTTGCTGCTAAAGAATGGTAAACCTGAGTTGCTTTTAAAGGCTATCTGGTGTTTCTGCTCTATATGCGGGATGAGCTTTTATGCGCATAGTGCAACCAGTTTGGGGCACAAGCTTAAGCTATTTTCCAGTGTGGGTCACATTATACTAAGAATGCCAATTGTTACAATCCTTTTTGGCTTAACTCTCTATTGAACACAATAGAGCATGATCATCACAAAATTTTGTTATGATCATGATTATCTACAAGATCTCAAGGCAGATTCCTGACAGTTTCACAACAGAGACTGATCTTTGCTTTGCAATTGATGTTCTGTTGCAGAGGTGTCAAGTACCGAAGTACAAATACTTCATTACTGTACTTAAGTACACTTTTTAGGTATCTATACTTTACTCCGTTACTTATTTTTCTTCCTACTTCTGACTTCTACGTATTACATTTTCACACAAGTATCTGTACTTTATATTTCTTACATTTTTAAAACAAACATTTGTTACTCTTGGCTTCGGTTTAATGTTTATAAATATTTATTTCACGTCATGTGGGCCATCCAATGCAGATCATTGGCGCCATCCATCTAGTGAAAACTAGTGTCATTGGATTTATACTTGTGTACTTTAAGTAGTTTTTGGAGCATATACTTTTACACTTTTACTTCAGTAAAGAGGTCTAGTTGATACTTTTTTCTAGTTGATACCAGAGTTTTTAAACTGCAGTATCTATATTTCTACTTAATTAACAAATGTGTGTACTTTTTACACCACTGTTCTGTTGTTGTTCAAATCATGGCCTTTCAGCTGGCATCTAGCATTTTGTGGTTGAGGGTAAATTCCCTTAATGTCTGAAGTAAATGTTCTCAGTGGTTTAAGTACAGTTGGTCCTCTGATTCAAAGGGAGCCGGTTGAGGGGGTTCAGGTATCTAATTAGGATACTTCCTGGATACCTCTATGAGGGTTTTCCTGTATATGGAGAGGAACTGCAAAGTCTGCTCGAATGACTACAGATGCCCATTGTGGCTAAAAAGCAACTTACAATCCACCAGAATGAGAAAAAGAATGTAACTTAGAAAAGTGAGATAAGGGATTTCACTCCTGGACCTCTTACCCCAACTACCCAAACTTTCAAAAGTTGTTAAAAATTTAAATATTATGTCTTGACACATTTTTTGTATTGGTTTGCATTTTAGGTTCTATTGAGAAACGTGCTAACTATTTATATATAACTGAAAATACTTTGATTATGGGCACTTTAAGATATTTTTTGATGGATAAAAATATATATAAAATGCATTGTACTGAATTGCAAAATAGGCAAACAGAGTTGTGAGCAAAATTTGTGTAGGCCTTAAATCTAAAACCTAGAAGAATCATTCCCACCTAATTTTCAATGTATCTAATTAATCCTATTACAATGACAGCCATATTTAATGGTGGAACAGTTGTTGTTAGTGTAGTGTTGTAGTTCAATAAGAACGCCAGAATCCAGGCCAGACCTCTTTTGTGGGTTCTCTTTGGGAACTTAAGCTTTGTCCTACAGTTAAACAATATGATTTTAAAGTTTGTGGATAACTCTGTCATACAGCCATACATACCCTAAGTATGTATGGCTGTTTGTCCCTGTTGTGTCTGTGTTCCCTGTACCAAACAGCAAAAATATTAAATCTATCAGAAGACATTGAAGTAGTGAGGTACATATAATTGCTTATTTTTCTATTAATCTGGGGACTGCATTATGAGAATATGCATGAAGGCAAATCTTAATAGGTGCAGTTAACCTACACCATGATGCTTTCATATGATGGTGAAGAAATTACATTTTTTCAACAAAGTTCTTACCATTTGTTTGGCCAACATATGTCTTGGCGCTATTCTGAAACATCACAAACTTTAAAATGAAACAGACTAATGCAAGAGTTAATCCTGAAACACCTTACCAAATAATATGAAATAAAAATTCAAGTTATTAAGTTACTTCCATTTTTTCTGAGCTCTCAGTTAAACAATAAGGGCCTGATATTCAAAGACTCAAAATTAGCAGCCTTTACATATTGCTAGTTTTTTTTATTTTCTTCAGTACATGTAATAAGTGGGCGTGTTGCAAGCAATGTGCTTGTGCTCTGAGAAGGTTACAAGTACCAAGTTGGATCCCCACAGCCTCCACTCTGGGTTCCTGAGCAAAACCTTAAACCCCACACTGGTCCCCAGGCACCACACTCTCCAAGGGGATGAATCAAATGCAGAGCGAATTTCCCCATTATGGGACAATAAAGGGATTTACTTTACTTTATTTTAAAATGTATGCATATCAATTTGCAGCTCACTTTCAGAAGTATTTAAAAAGACCTAAAAACTGCTGTTACAGTTCAGATTTAAAAAAAAATGCTTTGCACACTTTAAATGTTGCATATAATACACCCATGAATTTGTGCAGGATGGCCATTAGAATATGAGGTCTGCAACATTTGAAACGCGAATCCCTTTGCACCTTCCTTGATTATCTTCTCACTGGATACAAACACAATTGCACCTGTTTAAAACAAACCTTGTGAAGATCAGGCCAGAAGTGTGTAACCAGCAATGAATCGCCTAGTAATTTAATTAAGCAACTGCATGTGTAGAACCTGAAACTCAGATTTAGACAAAATATCCATCACTGTTAAGAAAACATTCTCCTGAACTTCAAAGGTGGGTCAATACAATTGTTCAATATAAAGCTACTCTTTAAATGTGTTTTTGGCTTTGTCTTCTTAATACGTATCTGATTTAAATGTATTTGTTTATTCTTAAATGACTATCAGCTTAAAATCCTAATGGAAACATCTCAAGCTTAACTATTACAGCTTTATGTCAAATGGTTTACTTCTTGACCTCAGCTAAAACTAATCACTGACCAAGGTCCAACATTAATGTCAGGCTAAGGTCCTGAACACTAATTCAAACAGGTTCATGAATCTTACAGAAGTACTGTACGTCTTGGTGAAGAAATGAAAAAAATAAAAAATACATAAATCATGAACTTATTTACCAACCTAAATTCTAGCATAACAGGCCATTTAAAACAGAGAAAACTACAGCTTAATATTATTTTATTTTGTTACTATGACTGACTTTTTAACACACAAAGACAGGCTAGACCACACGCAAGAGAGAGAGAGAAAGAGAAAGAATGACTAACACTTCCTTTCTTAAATCATCTTAAGCAGGTAATAAGTGTGCATAGATTAGGCCTACACCTCAAAACACACATATATCCACCTTTGCAATATATATTTTTTTTTAGACAACAGCTTAACGTGTTACAACATCCACAAAAAATCTGTTATTGATATTAACAGAACTTTTTGTGACTACCCTAAATTATACAAGAACAGCAGCAGTAAAATAGTTTATTTTTCAATCTGTACCTGTGAACAGATTTTTTTTCTTGTTTTATTGATTCTCAAATAATTCCAGTTACAGCTCATAACACATGAGAACTTAAAAAGAAAATAAAAAAATGAGAGAGTTAAACTTACGAGCAAAGTATTGCCAGGGGGTGAATGTTCTCCCATTGTCCACAGAGCGCTCCAGCACCCAAAGGTCAGGACGAGGTGAATTAGCAAACTTGATTAGGACATACGCCACATGGAAGACCTGAAAAATTAGGACACAAAGAGCCGACTAAACAAAAGGCACTCAATGCTCACTGTTTAGAGCCTATAGCGGATTTTGGCCAAAGTCTCCAGTTTCCTGAGCTCCCCTGACTCTGCAGAGGAAAGGCCTGGCTTTTGGGCTCTAACAGTATTCTTCAGTATTCTTATTTCCTTTCATGGGAAACCCCTGGGCACATATTCATCATGGTTCTCGTAACCTTGTAAATAACAAGTGCACAAATAATGACTTGAATTGAAACAGTTTCCTGTCTTGAGAGGGTTGTTTCACTTTAGCCTTACACTGGAGCCGGGCTTACAAAGAAAGTTATGCCTGTTAGCATGGAGTGAATGCAACTTCTGCAGGTGCAACCAGGCAGGTAAAAAAGACACACGCTAAGCCTGCCTGATTTCTGTTTGTTCTCTGAACTCTCTATCTCAACCTCAATCTGATTATTTGGGGTAGAAAATTCAGCCAGGGGTTGTTTCTATATAAACCCTGACGTTCATTGAAGGATATTTCCTTTGTGTTTAAACAGTATAATGATCAAGCAATGAAAGGGACAGGTTTAAGCCTGATTGGCCATTGTACGGAAATCGGCTCTGTTTGACCATTGGGGAATTGGCAATCCTTGGGAGTTCAAACCTGCATGTGACACCTGCAATGTCAACAGAATTTCTTAGCTTCACCTGAGCACACCTGTTATGATTTGAAAGCCACGGGTACTGCATGTCTAAATAAGTACATAGCGGGGTCGAGAAACACTTAGAGCCTACATGTTCTGTCTTCAAATGACAAATAGAAAGAATGTAGTTCAAATATGGTGCTCTATCTTAATAAAAGACATTTCTACAGGCTGTCTTTTAAGAAGGATGCAGGCAGGCCCACACTTGTCTAGCTGAAAACCCCAGCGGGCATTTAAAAAATTCAGGTATCCATCTCTACATGAATGAGGCAAGAAGTTGGTTTAAGACATCAAAGAAAAAGAAAAGCAAGGCAAAGTCTTTCCTGAGGAGTCATTTACTGTTTCAAAATTACCCATAATTCTGGATGTATTCCTCTCTAAATCCTGGGATGTGAGGGCCTCAGACTTAAGCTGCTGTTCAGTTGTTGCACTAAGAGCAAATTCAGGGATCAACTGGTAAACTGGGTTTCCTTAATCCTGTGGACAATGAGAGCACTAAGAGTGGAAAAGTAAATCATCCGGTTGCAAATCAGGAGCAGGCCATCATCTTACTTTAATCAGTGTTGATTCCCTTTTCGAATCCCACTTCTGAATGGGGTGTGTTTTGAAAATAATCAGGGCCATTTCCACCCACACGCAACAGGATGTGCAAATAACTAAAAAAAGACATGAATGGTACACATAAGAAGCTGTCTAATAAGAGAAACAGGCAACCTACTCTTAGTTTTCCTTATTTCACATGTACTGTGATTACATGTTGGGACGACTTGTTGGTGGTAGGATGAAAGGGGGTCCAGAGAGAGGTGTGTAAAAAAGAGGGTAAGAGTGCCAAGAGACGTGCAAGCTACCCTGTGAACCCATCTCAAAATTCCAAACATAGCAACACATCCCCCCTCAGGTCTAATGACCCAAAAACAAAGCTTGGCACTGCTTTCATAAGCACATCACTAACACGATACAAGACTGAAATCCTTCCTCAATGCTTGACTTGAAATGGATATAGAATCCCTTTCTCTAAGGCACTATTTTAGTTGAATTTGTTTACTTCATTGTGCATCAATTACTGTGCTAGGATAATCCCTCCACAAAACTTTATTCTGTGCTTTCCTTTCAAAATGAATTGCATTATGTGGGAGAAATATACACTATAACGCTAAAAGTGTTGGATTGTCTGTCTTCATGAACATATGAAACTGAGGGACAGCCTATGGAGTTTAATTTTAATGTCAGTCCCTGAAGCTGGGGGCCTGTTTTAGCTTTACAAGTAATACAACTATAGCTCTTCTAGGAAGGCTTTCCACATGATTAAGGACTGTGTTTATGGGAATTTTTGACCAGTCTTCCAGCAGTGCATTTGTTTAGGCCAAACTGGGATGCTGGATGAGAAGGTTGAATTCTGACTTTACCCACCGATTGTTCCGAAATGTTTTCAAGCAGGATGAGGGCAGTGTTATGCGGAAATCAATCGGGTCCCACTCCATACCTGCCCATCGCTATCCTTATTTAGCCTGCAAACTGGTGGGAAATGTCAGAGTAGGAAGAGACCATCCACAAACTCTTTTCACAAACGTAATGCATGATTTATTTTTTCTCAGTGACTTGGTATACTAAAGCATTAACAAGTCTTTTTACTAAAACTGTGTTCCCTAGCCTTAAAGAAAAGGTTAGTATGCTGTTAATGTTACACTGGGAACAATGCAATGAGACAAATGCAGTTCTCTTGGCAGCTGTGAGACCCAAACATGTTCATTGGATTGCCAGAGGCATGTCTCCACTCTTCTAGACCCCACCGGTAGCTTGCTTTACAACACTGGATCCACTATTCAGTTTAGTGATGTAAGGCTGCCTTTGACACAGCTGTTTGGTGTCAGTAAAGCTATTCTATTAAACTCTCTACCCATTGTTCTTGAAGTAATCTAAATGTTTAAGTAAAGTTTAGAGCTCTTAAGGGCCCAGAAACAGACTTAAATCAGAGGCAACATGATTTTGGCACAGTTTTCTCAAGAACTTTCAACACTTACCAAGGAGTCTAAGTATCATTGCTCGCACTAGAGCAACCTGTAGGTGATGTGCTACTGTTTTTAAACACATGAAAGCCCATCCTCTAGGGTACACTCATAGATGGATGCAAAACAACAAACCATCATTCATTCCTTGGTCATGAGGTTACATAGCTTGGTGTGAGTTGTGGTGCGGGATCTGTAGCTATTTTCTGTGCAGGAAAGGGGTCGCCTCTGTAGTATAGGGGTCTGACCTACATACATTTCAAATAAGGGATGTTAAATTGCACATGCAATATATTTTTTTGGCTTGTGCAATAAGTGGACACGTATGGGTGATCTACAAAGATTGCCCCTATTAAAATAGGCAGATTGCTGGTGATAGTGGTAGTTGCAGAGTGACTGTAAACAATAGATAAGGTTTCTGCCATGTTGCTGGAGGTAATAACGATAATAAATATTCAAAACCCAAAAAAAGTTTTTAAGAAGGGGAATTTTAGAAAATTAGATGCCATTTAGATTAAAAAGTTGTACTTGTCTGCTGACTGATAAAACCCTGCTAAAATCCATCCCCATCCCATCCACCTCCCAAATGAGTTGTCATCAGATTTAAAGGAGAACCTGAACCAACTCCTCTAAACATCCGCTTGACCAATACATTGAAGAACAAGATAAGCACATAACTTAAGAGTACATAGCTGTGGTTGTGCATAGCTTGTTAAGGAACATTGAGAGACAGAAATCCCTCTTACCCCAAATAAAAGAGGCACAGTTCCCCAGTCAAAGTCAGAGCATCAAAGGAAATTGGTGTTGCATTAAAAAAAGAACAAATATTAACCTAAGTGCTCTACAGCTAAGGCTGACAAGGCAATACTATACAATCAAAATACTTGTAGACAAACAAATATGAAATATAGTGAAACATTAAAATAATTTTTAACATGATATGTTATATATATTATATATACATACACACATAAGAAGAGTCTGCCTGTTATCTTGGAAGGATCCCTGGAGACTGTCCTGGCATGGCTTTCTCGCCAACTGTATCCTGCCAATCTAAACACACAATCCTGAACTATGTTCTGCACATTTGTACTGTTTGGAAGGGGGCTTGAAATATTGTGATGACATGCTGTGTACCATTATTGGAGGATTCCAGTGTCATTACAGACTTTAAACACAATGACAAGTTTGTGGCTAATAGATTTGTAATAATACTTGAGTTCAACCACTGTCCACCCAGCAACCACAGTAGCTTTAGCTATGAGTGTGCACAAAGGGGTTGGACATGAAAATAGGTTGGAGGGTTAACTGTGTTGGCCTTTCTTGCCTATCATATTTGAATTCCTGACCTTGACGTGTCTCGTCACTGTATACAAGATATAAAAGTACCAAATAATCTCCTACTTAAATGTTTACACATAACTACAAGAGAGCCAATACGGTCCCATAAGACCAGACACCATTTTTCTCAACTGCACATTAACATATTTTCTTCATTTCATTCTTTGCAATGAAATATTTAATTTTGATAGACACTTCAACACTTTCATTTTGGATCTGTTGATCTTTAACTTATTTGAGCCAAAAACTTTCAGTTGTTTCTAAATCATTGAATCTAAAGCAAATCACTGGCTCCTGACAGATTATAAGTACTGTAACTATGACATCTCAAATGACATGAGTCACATGACCCCCAGCCTAACATGTGCTTGCCGCCTCACTTTAAAGAGTAGCATACAGAACCTAGAAGAGAAATCAAAGGTGTAAAATATAGACCTTGCATGTTTGATGTTTTTTTTTTTTTTTTTTTTTTGTTATCTCCAGTTCCCTGTACTCTAGTTTTCCCTTTGGTTATTCTTTTGTCCCTAGTCATTAATCTTATTTCTCCTTTGCTTCTTTAAGCTGAACTTTCTATATATTTTTCAATTTTGGGGCGTTATGAATAGAGTATTCATAACGAGTCCAGAACTTATGTTAAATGCCAGCCTGAATTATGCATGACGCATGGCAGCGCAATGCCCAGTAAATGTCACAAGCCAGTGTCCTGAGGGGGGCAGCGATGCACCCAGAGGTGCCTGATCTGCATAGCTGCTGTTTGCTGCAACCCCCCGACCCCCCCACCCCCCCCCACCCACCCACCCACCCCCCAACCCCCCAACCAACAAAAAACAATAAATAAAAAAAAAAGAAAGAAAAAAGATTTGCAGTCGCAGCAGATTCAGTGTCATGTCTGCTAGGAAGTTTGTTAGTCTTGGCCGTGGGTGTGAACGCAGGAAAGATCCATCACACTCACCTTCTCGCTCACCCTATGATGCGGATAAAGTCTGAATAAGAAGTGATAGTTTCCTCCAGTGTACCCCATTTTATAACAAAACGCTGCCAATATGCCATAATACAGTAGCTGTCATCTGGAACATGTAAGATATGTTGATATGCATTGGAGATAAGAAATGATTTTTTATTTTTTTTTATTTACATAAAACATGACCAAAGTTTTGTTTTCACTGCTAGATCAGGCAACAAATTGATAGAACATTGGTTATAATAAAGTATAGCAGAGGTTGATGCATGATTAAAATCACCAGATATCCCTTCTCCTCTATTAAGTTGTGTCTTAGCATCAAATAAGGTGATAGCGTGATATGCAGTGTCGATAACAGCAAATGGTGGAATGTAAACAGTTGCCAAAATATTACTGATGAATTCTTTGGATAAACAGCATCAGGGCTTGGCAATTATTTGCATTTGCAATTTAATTGCAGTTTAACAGAACACAAATTTCAAATTGCAGAGTTGTTCAATTTTGGTCAAATTACATTTATCAAGAGACACAAGAAACAAGTAGGGGTAAAATGCTAAACTGGGTTTGCTACCACACACAGGAAAGAGAGAGTAGAACACAGCAGACATCGTAGTGAACAGGTAGAAAAAAAAACTCAGGTTATAAGGCTTTATCTCAAGCTTTGAATGCTGTGCAGAGCACTTTTCAATCCATCATCTGAATATAGAAAGTTTGTAGTACAACAGCAAAGCTACTAAGACAAAACCATCTACCTAAACTGAGAAGCCAAGCGGGGCAGAATCAATCAGAGGAATAGCCAACAGACCCATGACAACCTAAAGTGATCTGCAGCCCAAATGGGTGAATCATTGACATATAGCTTCAATTTGAACTGCATTTTTTTAGGCAAACTTAGCATTCAAAGCATTTTAAACTGTTTCCACTAATTCACACAAATTCAAACACTTACACACAGGAGAGCAACTTAGAAGTGAGATTATTTTTTGCCCGAGGGGGAGCATTAATTTGTGTTAAGCAAGAGCTGAGTTGAACCCAAAATCTTCTAATTGCAAAACATCAAACGCACGCACCCATTGACAGCACCCTGCACACTCCATGAAGCTGGCTCTTAATAGAGCAGGTGATAACAATGCCTTGGTTGAAAAAAAGCCATAAGGAGTTCCATTTAAAGTTTAACATGCCATTTAGGGGACACAGCAAGATCACCTCACACGCCATAGCCTCATGTTGAAAAATGGTGGTGACAGCATCTTGCTGTATGAAGGTTGTGTTCAGCTGGTAAGCTAAAGGCTAGTCAGTTTTAAGGGAAGATTATTGTAGCCAACTAAATGGCAGTCTAAGGAGAAAAACTGTTAGAGGCTACATATGACTGGACATTAAGAGGAGATCACCTTCAGGAGGTCGACAACTGGAAACTTACAGACAAAGCTTGTGTTAAAATGGTCTAATTTAAGTCCAGAGAAAAATCTAACTTAGAATCAGCTAGACCAAGACCATATATGGTCATAGGTATGACATAGCTCAGGAACAGTATGACATAGTTAAGTTATACATTTCTAAAATCCTCTTCTGTTGTCAAGACATTTGTTTATTGCCCCACTATTATAATGTTTTAAAACAAAAGAGCAGATAGAGTTACACTAATCATTTGACAGGTGCTTGTATGTTGTTAAGTAAAAAATAGAGGTCAAAAGAAAATCATTACATCGTGATTCCCATTAAGTTGGGAAGTAAAGTTAATATAAAAATAAACAAGTTAAATACTGGGATTTGCTCATTTTTAAACAAGGTAACCTTTTATTTTTTAGTTAAGAAATGGTAAGAACTGTTTAGAATTATGCGCACAACAAAATGTTTCATGGTTCTTTTCTTTGAAAGGTTTTTTAAACAGGAGCAATCACAGCAAACTGAAAGACAAAATGCTATCTCGGTAGTTGTTATAACCTTGCTTCTTTTCTGGGTTACAGGTTAGACTATGATTGTCAAATGGATAACTTTAGAATATTTACTCTAGCATGCCCTTTATCAAATCAGAAACCCCCCATAAATAAAATCAATGAAAAAAAACATTGTTTCAGTGTAGATATAGTTTTGTGACAAATATTCTCAGGGTCATAGATAATAAATATAGTCATAACAATCACAACAAATAATAATTGCCAGTAAGACTGTGACCTAACCTTTGATTGCATTGTGAGACATTAGGTCCACAAAACAACGCATCCATTCATCTATTTTCTGTAACTGCTTTGTCTCATTCAGGGTCACTGGGGCTCAGTGGGGGAAATATCCCAGTGGTCAACTAGCATGAGACAGGGGGCATTTATCATAGACAGGTTGCTGGTTGATTATAAATAGTCAGCAACAATATTCAGTTATTTTGTGTTTAAATTTGGAATGTAAATTTTGATTAATTAAGTACTCTAAATTTGATTGATCTTATCGATCGACAAGTAACAAATAATTGGTAGGTGGCCACTTCCTTAAAAAGAGTTTTCTCGTCTAGAGAAAGAGAGAATTGATCAAACAAAGGGATAAACATTTTTTTTTACAATATTCTGAGTTAAGAAAAATACATAATTATGTTTTTAATCATTTATTGTGCTAGCTCACTTAAATAATGACTGACTAAACTTTTTTTTTTTCTTGCACATTAACCTTGACATATTTATAACCTAAAATGCATTAACAAACAAAAGCCTTCCCAAATTACTATGCTTATTGCATGTTTTTCTCTGTCATATTATAATAATGACCCCTTGTCCACTGGCCAAAAAAACAGTTTAAACCCGGGAACGATCGGCTTTTACTGACAGTGAGAACAGCTTCCTGACTTGTGTTGACCCGGGTTTAAATGACTCGGCAAGCGACCCGGGTTAAAATCGCTTTCAAACAGCTAAGCTCCGATCAGCAAACATATGGGAACATCAGTCTCAGGTCCATTGAGAGCAAATTATGGACGTCAACACACCACGCCATTTGCGTCTGATCTAACAACACAAAACCACTCCGCTAACATTCAATAAACATTCTGCAGCACTGGTGAGAGAGGTTCTGAGGGAAAAAAAGAATGAAACAATAAAGCACATTTACTATGTGCTGGCTTACTTCCACGTTGCTCTCCATTGTTTACTTTCCTGATTTCTGTCGCAATGGTGACATTATCAATGCTAACCCAATGTGATGGCATAATCAGACACAAGGCAGTTGGGGCACTGAGGCCATGCAGCTTGCCTGCAGGGGACAGACCTGGCATTTTTTGCCAATGGGATGGGAGTCAAATGCCAATTGTTAGAGGGCTGAGTCGTGTTTGAAAAACCAGCATTAAACTGCTAAGTTCAGTAGGAAAGAGGCTAAAATTCACACAATGCAATTCACTTTTTTAACTTCAAATGCTAGCCCAAGCGTGATATAAAATGGCACTTACATGGTGTTTATATTAACAAACACAGCCACATAAAGGGCATTCTGCAGGCACTGTCACCATTAAGCAGTGTTAATAATCCCGTACTGGATAATTGACTCATGCGTTGGTGCTAGCATGGCTCCGATGTTAGTTCTCTTGCAAAAATACTAGAGAGGCTCTGCTTAGAAATCAAAAGTTGCACCCTCTAATGCATGGTGATAACACTACAACACTGAAAAAAGTTCCTTAAGTGGAAGTTACCAATTAATTGGATGGAAAAAACATTGTAATCTAATAAATCATTAGTCGGCAATAACAGTTTAAATGAAACTGATTTGGTACGAAAGGACTAGAAAATATCTCTCACTCCATCATGTCTAACTGTACTATCCAAACACCTCAACTCACATTCCTATTTACCTAAATCCCATTCTAAGCCCATTCTGGGACTTGGATATAAGTTCAGCAAGTCATCTTTACTTTGTCTTAACCTCTCTGTGCAGTGAGTTGGCGCCATATAATTGGCAAATATGCTATTATTTTTAGCAAGAAATTTGACAGGTGCTGATTAATAAAGTGGAAAGTGCATATGTCACAGAATAGGTTGTGATGATGTATGAGGAACGTGTGCTTGTGTTTCATTGCTGTGATAATGAATGGTATTTGGACCTTTAAAATAGTTATAACTTCTCAAACAATTGTTAGAAGTGATGACAGATCACAGGACTTCCATTTTATAATTGTAAAGTTGTTTCCTCCCAATATAAAATTCTTTGGTTTAAATCTTAGCTGAGAGGTTTGCACTATTGGTTATGTCTAAGCAACCATTTTCAGGGTGTTCTGCGTTCCTTTTGTTGACCAAAGTTGTGTGAATTATCTTGATTGATGATTTCAAGTGAGTATGTGGGTGAATGGCTGTTTCTCTTGTTTGTCCCTAGTTGATCCTGTGATGGATGAGTGACCTGTCTAGAGTGCGCCGAACCTCATGAACCGTGAACTCCAGTGTAAGCTACAAGGCCTCTGTAACTCTGAAAAAAGCTGAGTTAAATGGGGGAAAAAATCTAAATAACAGAGTTTTGGGAATACCCATTAGAGTTGTGCCTACTTTCAATGCAGAACCATCTATGGAAACAAAGCTCAATTCTCTGAATGTCAGGGGATATTGTTAGAAGGTAAGGTTTGTTTTCTTTTTAACCAAAGTGCTATTAAAAGATAAGCAAAGTACTCCAAATATACTTTTCGGAAAGACTCTCAGGATTGCTCTTTCTTAACAAGTCACGTCTGTTTGACTGACTTTTTTGTCTTCTTTTGAGATTTTTCAATATAATAAAGACTTAAATGACTAACAAAAAGCTGTTGACATCATATGCAATTATCAAGCCTATTTATATAAATGTAAAATTATAAAAAAAAATAATAATATTTTATTATAGGTTCCTCAAAGTTTTTTCTTTGTTCACTATATTTAAGACATCTTTCTAACTTTATAAATAATCATTTATCATAATTGCTTCTGACAAATGAGATTTATTTTCATGAATTTATAAATATATAAATAAAAAGAGTTGTGCAGCTGAATATATAGTTAAAAGGCACCTGTGAACAGTTGGTGATAAGTGATGATGCTCAATTTGGAAAGGCAAACTCAGGTATTGATGCAAAATCTTAGCAATAGCAGAGTTCAGAGAGGGGAGACTTTTCCAATGGGTTAGAGGAAATCAGAAGAAATGTTGCTTGAGAAGTTAAAGGAGCTAACAGAACTGCAAGTTTTACAATGAGTGCAGTTAGAATGTAAACCTTCACAGTATATAAAAATAGCATCTTAGCAGCAATAAGATACATTTTGTATTTCATCTCTGGTTCTAACCAGTGATGATACTCTAATATTTATGGCCACGCATCATGTTTTTACCAACAACTCACTAAAGATGACTACTTTATATTAAAAACCCATGCAGCTCCTTCTAAAAGACTCTTTTCTCCACATAATTAATCCGGTGTTTTAATCTGAGGGTTTATTGCAACTACAATAATTTATCAGTTGAAATATTTTTTCAGGTGACCATATCTCTCACACCATTTAAATTTAGCAAGTCAATTTTTAGTCTGATGTTTGGCCATAGAAAATACACTGAAAGCTAATTGTAAGCATGTTGAAATGAAAATGATCAATAATAATCAATCATTTTCTAATGAAACAGCAGCTGCATTTAAACCTTCTCAGTTATTTAGCTCAAAAACTTACATAAACAGTTATAGATGAAATGACAGGGACAGTGTTTACAAATAGCAGTTATTGATTTCAAACTTTATGCAGAAAATTTTATATTTTTTACATTATGCCTAAAAAGACTAAATGTGACAACCTCTTTTCTGCTCAAGCTATATATATATACTTATATATATATAGTACCATCCTAGCTTAGGCCAGGACCTAAATTACTTTTCAGACTTGTGTTTCACAAAAGTACGGGTTGAAATGAATCATCCAATTTGAAAAACAATAGAAAGGTTGGGTTTTATTGCTCTAATGCAGGTTTTTTATTTAAAACAAACATAATATGTTCGTCTGCAAATCAAAGTATGCTGTGTTTAAAACTGCTCAGAAACAAAAATATGCAGTTGAGTTAAATCAAAAAATCCTACAGGTCTAAACGCATACAAATACAGTAAAGAAAATCAGAAAACCTGAAAGCATGTAAGATGAGGGATTAGAAACACATTTCAAAGAAGATAGGGCCTTGCCTTTTCTTTGAGTGGATCAGCTGTGTAGACAGAACACTACAGTGGAGCTGGAGGAGAGGCCGCCGACACATACCTCCCACCCCAGAGTTTATAACAATGCAATGTACAACTGTTGGTCTGTCTACAACAGGTGGGGCAAAGTGAGGGCAAGGGGGTGGGGGGTGGGGGTCATCTTGTTTTTTTTTTCTGTCTCCATGACAGAATGTATGCAGTAAGAACAGAACAGTTGGCTACAACTTAAGTACCAGTAGGTGTTACAGAAACATAATGAGCATGCATGTTTGTACTTGTTTGCACTTTTCTTTTAAAAGTTTGAGGCTGCAGCTGTTTGAAAACTTACACTTAGTTTTTTTCTCTAGGTTATATGCTTTGTTTGTAAATTAGGGAATGGATAAAATAGCATAAATTAATGCCAGAAACTACATTTCATATTTGCTTGTTGGTTAGCCTAATTCTCTTAAATTTATTGAAAGTGTGACAACCTTTTTTTTTGGTGACATGGGTTGACAGCTGAATTAGACATGGCTATTTATGACACATCTTTGTCAAATTGGTCAAGGAACACTGCACTTCTTCTAACACTTCCCATTGCATCAATGCCTGCGTCAGTAAACCTGTGACTGGTGATTAGCAATTCCAAAAAGTGAAAAGATCCCATAATAACCTCCACAAGCTTTTAACACCGCAGCTCCAGATTTAGGAGGAGCCGCAGTCCAACAGACAAATGTGATGCTACGTTCAGTCCAGCATGCAAAATAAGAACTCTCTATGGTGGCTGTTAAGGTAGAGCAGTACGTGTCTACTTGGCAAACCCCCACCGTCGTTTCAGGCTGCCCCACTAAACACAGTCACTTACATCACCTCAACCGTCACTGTAACAAAATGTCTAGCAGCCAATTCGGTCTCTGGACTGAGCCAGCTGCACTGTACTGCAAATCCTTCTGGCAAAGCACTCATCTAAGGTAACACTGACAGGATTTTCAAATCACTCTTACATACATGGAGCTGAGGCAACTTCAACCCAGCCAGCAAAACCAACTTCATTTCAATCAGTGGCAACACTGCCAACCCCACCGTCATCTGCCCACTCAGACTTATCCCACCTTGAATCCCTAGTGAACAGCTAACTTAAGCCAGCTGGGCTAAAATAGCATAGGTTTACGCAGGTAAGGTTTTTGGAAAATATTGACAGGGAACTTTTATCTGAATAGTTGTCTTAAAATGCTGAGTCCTTGAACTAATACCGTATTTTCACGACTATAAGGCGCACTTAAACGTCTTTTTTTCCCTCAAAATGTGCGGTGCGCCCTTTGGTGCGGTGCGCCCTATGTGTGTTGTAACTGCGACTTTTGAGACCACCTCATTGAGGAGATGATGAAAGAGTGGCTGAATGTAAGGAGACCAGGTGTTTTTTTCCACTCATCACCATCGCTGTTAATATGTAACTCCATGCGTGCCCATCTCACAGCTGATGTGAAAAACATGGGGAAACAAATGAACGCTGTGCTCGCTGTTATTCAACCGCTCGACAACCGCTTCAACCGGACCCAGCAGGTGCAGCAGAAGCAGCATGTTTACATGCAAAGTCAATGGTTGACGCGCGTATAGGCGCAGCAAAAGGTCCCGTAGCGCGTTTTGAGCAGCAGGCGCAGCGCGTCGGGAGCGTTTAAGCATCTGCCAACGCGCTGCTGCTGCTCAGATAGAAAAATTGAAGTTTTGCTGCTGGACGCGCCGCATCAACCAATCAGAGAAGCTGATCTGGGAGCTGACAGCGAGACAGACACAGCGCTCTGATGACATATGATATTAACGCAAATGAAAAAAGGCTGGATGGATGAGGAGATGATGAAAGCGTGGCTGAGGCAGGTGTATGTGAGGAGACCAGGTGGTTTTTTCCACGCATCACCATCGCTGCGTGCCCATCTCACAGCCGATGTGAAAAAAAGGTGAATCAAATGAACGCTGTGCTCGCCGTTATCCCGGGGGTCTGACAAAGGAACTTCAACCGCTCGACATCAGTGTGAAGCGGCCGTTCAAAGTAAGGCTGCGAGCGGCGTGGGAGCGATGGATGACAGACGGAGACCACAGTTTCAGGATAAGTGGAAGGCAGCGCCGGGCAAGTTATGCCACCGTTTGCGGATGGATTGTAGATGCTTGGACTAAAGTGTCTGCTGGCTCTGTTGTTCAAGCTTTCGCAAAAGCCGGCATTATTTCTGAGGAGCCGCCCGGCACGGAAAGTGACTCTGACAGCAAAGAAGGGGAAATTGGCATGTCTGATTTAGCGCAGCTGTTTAATTCAGAAACAGAGGATGATGCCTTTGATGGGTTTGATTAATACTTTGTAATAAATACATGAATAAAGCACAATCATACTCAGTTTTGCTCCCGCTCTATTTTTCTACCTGAAAACTTAATTCAACAGCAGCCTCTGGGCGGTTCTCCTCCTCCTCACCGCGGTGGCTGGCAGGTGTTTTTTCATCTAAATAATCTAAATCTTGCAGCTATATTTGCTGTGATCAGTGGGAATAAAGTGGTTTTAATATGTTTTTAAGTGAGAAAGTCCACCTGAAAACTTAATAATTGCAGTCAGTTCATCCAGATTATCTATTTCTGTCGGAGGCGCTCAGACCCCCACATACCAGCGGTGCGCCGACAGTAGAAATCTCTTCAACAGCAGTCTCTAGGCTGGGCAGCCTCTGGGTTCACCGCGGTGGCTGGCAGGTGTTTTTCATCTAAATAATTTAAACTGCAGGCACAAGGATACCGGTAATAAAAGCGAACATATTCCGTCGGCAGGTTTCACGATTTTAAGTTAATTTAGGAGTCATCACAGCGCTCTGTCATCTGCGATGTGTCTGTCTCACGGCCAGCTCCCAGGTTTGATTAATACTTTGTAATAAATACATGAATAAAGCACAATCATACTCAGTTTTGCCCCCGCTGTATTTTTAAATACGCAGTAGAGGTATTTAAAGGTAGTAGAGGACATGTAGCTGTATATAAAAAACGCGCCCTATAGTCCGGTGCGCCTTATGTGTGTGTTAAATACAGAAATGGGACACATAACTGAGAGTGCGCCTTTTAGTACGGTGCGCCTTATGGTCGTGAAAATACGGTAATAAAACAAACCGCAATGAATGCAAAAATTCCCCTTTAACGCACTTATAGCTTAACTTGTCTAAGTCTGACCAAAAAATTAGTTAGCCAATCATGTTGCAGTATTGCTGTTTAAGGCGGGAAATATAACTGTAGTAAAACCATGGCCGTGGTCACACCATTTTAGATGAATGTCCGAACGTCTAGAGGATGAAATAGTAGCGGACTCGGAATTACCCACAATGCAGCTTGATATGTAGTGATCATCCGTGGTAACTAGATGAGCAGATATATCCCAGAATGCTGTACAAGGAGGGCTCTCCTCACAAAGCATCATGGAATGTCCTCTACGGCTGTTGCTACCCAACATTAGCAACAAATAATAAAGATGGCGCAGGCACTGTGCGGGAAGGCACAGTTACAGGGAGCAAAAAGTGGTGTACATCCATCCAAACAGCCAGTTAACTGAGTTCACTATAAAGACCACTATATAGTCACCGCTCTATATAGTGACTGAGGGATTTAGGAGTTAGGGCGGACATTCGGACACAGCTCAAGAGTTGCCACGCTCTCAGCCGAACCAATATAAACATGGTAACGCTAGAAGACGCACACGTAGCTGCTGCTTTCACATTTTCACAAGAGGAGCAGTGACAGCATAAAAGTATAAGTTGTTTTGGCAACGCTTGGAAACTGCCGCTATTTCATTTGTTTGCGTGACTGACTAACACCATACTTTGGTTTGCTATTGCTATTCCCAATAAGCTTGAAAGGTCCATTTAAGTGTCCTTCCCCAAACAGATTTTACTGATTTACATTATCCATTTGGCTTGTTACAGATATTCAAGGTTCAGCTCAAATCAGATTACAAGATAAGGGCAGAAATGTTAGTTGAAGGAAAAACTAAGGGCCTACTTCAAGTACGAACTTCATTTTTTTATTCAGGACCTTAAGTAAGTGAAGAAAAAAAGGTAAAACTTTTTATATTAGAATTTTTAAGTTATTTCTACCAACTGAAAAGAGCTTGATAATGGCATCTTCTTTGTTGTTTAACTGTTACTTTTCATCTTAATTGTACAATTTGAAAAAAAGGAAAGAAATATCTTTAATTGTTTTCTGTTCTGCCACTTTCTACTGCCAAAATTACCCCACCTCTCAATTTCTAGACATTTATCCAGTGAAAAGAGAGGTCCAGGTCATTTTCAATGACGCTCTAGGAAGACCAAACCTTTGTGAGAGCAGGAGAGCACAGAAAGGACGTCACACAAAACCTGCCTTGGAGGATTCTGAGCACAAAAGGGGGCGACGGCAGCAAATAAAACATTCAAACCAAATTTGGTGGGAGGTGGACCCCTGAGAGAGAGGATTAGGTTTCTTGGGAATTTCTGGAAAATTGAGTTAGTAAAAGCTTTGTGGTTTGGGCATTTCGGGGTTATGAGAAGAGCTGAAGTTGTCAGACTAAACTGGTGTCAGAGTTCTTCTAAAAGTTTATTACAAAACCAAGGATCTTATAATCAAATACATTCTCTAAAGTTAACACAGTATCCTGTGGCTTTACCATCATAGTGTTTCATAGTAAATAATCATATGTTAAAATAAACCTTTTTTTCAATCTAGCAGCAATTTAAAGCAACTAAACAGTAAAACTAAATATTAGAACAATGTATATCTTTAACCTTCACAATAAAGCAACAGAATAATCTACTAGACCTTATGCTAAAAGTATCAATGCCACATTTCACATCAGCATTCTGCTTTCATCTAATGAAACCAATTAAACCCAGTTCAAACTCATCAGAAAGGAGGCATACAGCAGTCAGCCCTGGTATGTTTGCCTCACATGCTCTACTCTGGGTTCACTCAGGCAGATAAGCACGTGTGGTCATGACTCCTAAAATACATCCTCAAGAATGAAAAAAAAAAAAAACTGCGTGAGCGACTGGCAGTCTGATAGAGGGTGTAAATGTTTAGCAGAACAATGGCTTAACTACTGTGTCCTGTAAATAGTTTAACAGTGGCGCTAAATGTTCCAGGAAAGGTAGCATGATGCCTGAGCAACAATTTACTGAAGGATCAACAAAAATCCCTTAACCAATTTTAGCTGTGTCTCAATGGTTACAAAAGAAAATTATTTTGAGGGGGGTAGAGTATAAAAATTAGAGATACAAAATGTCACAACTTTTTATATTTGTGTTAGATAAAAACCAAAACATGTCAAATTGCAATTGTTCTGTTTTTTAACTCAGTAGTTGTAGAAGAAAGCTTAAATTGTAGCTCATGTGTTTCCCAACATATCTCTAAATCAACACTAAAGAATTTTGATAAGTTTTTGCAATTTCTTTTTAAAGTTTCCCAACTGGGGATCACAGTGGTAATTCCTGAAGACTGAGGAAGGGATTTGATGAGGGTCATGGGTCAAAGGGCAAGAAGACACAAACAGGGAGCAGAGTAAATGCTCACATTGGCCTTTCTGAAGCACAGTTATGGCGATGTGCTCAAGTTAAAAATCAAAGATAGATCAAAGGAGAAACTTACATTGGGACAAAAAAATATTCCTGAACTCGTTTTAGAAAAGTTCAAATACTTTTTGAATATGTTCCCTGTTTACTGTTTTATTATATTGAACAATGCTAAATGAGTCTTGAGCAGCAATGCTCCAACGTTTTTATAGCAGCAACTTCTGTGTGAATACCACAGTGCCATCATCAGAACATGCCCTTTGGTTGATGGATGTAAGGTAATTATGGGTCATATCTAAACTCAGAAGTGAAAATAGGCAAGTTTATCCATCCATCCATCCATCCATCCATCCATCCATCCATCCTTCCTTCCATCCATTCCTCCATCCATCCTTCCATTTATCAATCCATCCATCCATCCATCCTTCCTTCCATTCATCCTTCCATCCATTCCTCCATCCATTCCTCCATCCATTCCTCCATCCATCCATCCATCCATGCATCCATCTCTTAAAAAGACTTGTCAATGCTTATGCCTTTCCCCAGCAGTCACTGGGCAAGTCCTGGGTCCACTGTCATACCTAAGGAAACTTTATTAGAGAGATCAATTAACCTCTCAGTTATGTTTCAGGACTATAGGTAGAAGCTGGAGTACCAAGAAACAACATCGGCATGTACAGGCAGAAGATTTGAGCACACGACCCTCTCACTTCAAGGTAATAAATCTTCTAATTGTTTCAACATCCAGCCCTTTCCAGGTTCAACAGTTAATAGCTTAGAGAGTGTGAAAGTATTCTGTATTTCACCATCCCCATATCAGAAAATACAATACAGAAGTATTATTAGTTTTAAAGGCAATTCCGTTTAAGTTGGCCTTTAATTATTTTTTCACAGACAATTTTAAGGGATCGTTATTATAACAATGTTGTTACAGTGTTAGTTTTTATTGCTAATTGTTAAGCTAGTCAATGGTTTGGATTTCAAACATTACTTGGTATTCTACCAGCTAATGTTGTTGCAAGCTCTAAATGATGGTATCAAAAACCACCACTGGTTTACTGTCATTTAATCAGTTTTTAATGGGAGTTGTTGAAATATTATTATCTACACTTTCTTTTTGTGGACGTTACTGATGAAGCAAAGTTCAATGTCTTTGAAAAACTTATCTTTATGGCGAGTTATTAATTCTACACCACAGTCAACTCAATCATCTCTCATATTTTTATGAGTAATTAGTTAAAAATTGCTCTTCTTATTTTATCTCACTTTCTTAAATCACCAAAGCCAGTAAATAAGTCTCTGTTTTAGTTATCAACAGCTTCAATCAAGTGTATTAGAGAAAGCATATTATTATGGAGGACCAAGTCTGACATATTTAAATATAAATAAATGCTAAACATATAAACAGACATATAATTACATGTTTTGTGTTAAGGATAAAACTTTTGCCTGTTGTTTGGTTAGACTGCACAGAATCTTCATGCTACTACAGGCTACCTAAGATAAGGTTATAAATGATCTCGTATGATGCCACTCGAAAACAATGCAGCTCAATTTCTCTCATAATTTACTAACTGAACTACGAGATATTAACACCTTTCTTATACCTATTAACAAAACACAAGTATCTTTATTTCCAGGTCTAAATGGTTGAAAACGAGAAAGAGACTGGATTCGCTCGTCTTACCGAATTCACACTTCTGACACAGGGGAGGCCTTTTCTGTCGAGGACTCGAGAATCAGTTTGATATAATACACATGACAAATGATGTCAGAAATCACAAAAAAATGTTTTAATCAATTGGCTAAATACCTCAGCATACCGCACAGATGACTCGATTCTATGGCATAGGTAGCCATGTTTGTTGTGACTGTGGTCGGTTCGGATGCATGTAAATTTTATGCTGTCTGAGCTATCTCCTTAAGACAGACCCCCCCCCCTTGTTTTTTGTATAAATGCAGACAGCAATGGAAAACAGTTCTGAATAATAAGGTGAAAAGGCGTTAATAACAAATAGAATTAAAAGTTATTTCATACAAAGAAAACAAGCCAATTAAAACACAAATATAATAATGTCTTTTTTTTAAATACAATTTCTGCTTCCTTATGTTTATTTGCAGACTATATATTTGTATATATTTATTACCTTTCATTTACTGATCATTTATTCATTTATGTACTAATATGGTCCTCCATACATCATTTCCCCATGCTCACAAAAAAATGCAAATCATAAAACCTGCACATTTACTAAGCATGCTTAGTGTGACGGATCGCCTTTGATCTATGCAATCAACTGATTTTCCTTAGATAGAAAACTTTGAATCAATCTGACTGTATGATCTGGTAAACTGTAAAGTGCCTTGACATGACATGTGTTGTGAATTGGCGCTATATAAATAAACTGAATTGAACTGAATTACTAGAAAAAAAAAATTATAAAGCAAATACACATTGAAGACCGGGAATCGCTTTAGAAGTATGAAAACCAAAAAGATGTATTGATCTGATATTCAAAAACAAAACACTCTGACTAAGCTTTCACATATTCAAAGCATAGGTGGACCTTTAGACCTAAACACATCTGTTAGAGAACATAAGAGAGCACATTAATATCTGTCAAATTATATCCTAAGGCAGCAGCTGTCAAAATAGTCCCAATAAAACAAGAGCATTAACCTCCTATTGGAAGCAGACTGCAGGTTCTAAGATCAGAAGGTTAAGGTGTTTTCATTTTTGATTTTATTTTTACCTTCTGTTTGCATCGTGTTCTTTATGGTTTTTGTCTTATATAGTCAATTCAGTTTTTGCTCATTAGTTTCAGTAAGGTTATCAATAAATACTTCTATTCACGATGCATTTCATAGCAATCCATACCATTCTAACTAAGGATTACCTGCAGACTAATATGACATACTATATTATTAAGGTTTTAGTTGTAGTTAGATGTAGTTAAGGTTTTGATCAGATTTTTTTAGCTGTATATTTTAAAAGAATGAGCTTCAAAAATCTACTCTGATACAAAGAAACCGGAAACAGCGAAGGGAAGAAAAAAAACTCCATTCTTTGAAGCGTTAACATGTTAACATAAACATGGACTCTACCACTATCTTATATATCTGCTTGGAGCTATACAGAGAAAAGCTGAGTGGCCACCTGCATTTGTCTTGAAAGAAAACCACATCACCCATTCAGGTCTGTCTGGCCCACACGTTTTTATTAAACACATCATTTATCCTGCGGGTTTCAAAAGAATGTACAAAGCTATCAAAGAGCCACAGAGAACAGTCAAACACTTGACAGCTAGCACTGACTTAGATAACGCCTGAACCTGTGGAAAAGGGTTGTAAAACCTCCAGGTAAATAACTGAGCTCTACCACCTTAGTTGCATAAAGAAGGACACTGCTGCATAATCTAAGAGGATTTTCTATGACGGACAAACACATATGTAATAAAACTGAAGGAAGAATTTTACATGGTTGTCTAAACAGCGTACAAATTAAAGCTGAAAAAGGAGCATTGGTGTTCAGTGTGTTTCACTATGTAACTCTTAAATAAAAACCCAATGCAGCTAACTGCCTCCAGAAGCCAGAGGATGATAACATGTATGTGCTCTAATCTTATTTGTTCTTTTCTCAGGGGATTGCTAGAAAACATTACTGAGCATATCAAATAATGAAGACCAAGGAAGTCTCTCTTAGCTCTATAAAACAATGTCCTCATTTCTTGACTTCTCATAAAACCTATCATGTAACGACTATAGCACAACTGCAAACCACCAAGACCTGGTTGGTCACCTGACAGACCAGGCAAGGAGACCATTACACAGACAAGCAGTAATATGGCCTTTGGGGGGCAGTTGGTGGTAACAGAGAAAGAAAGTTTAAAAAAAGTCTGATTTTTAAGGGAAACAGCCAATAATTGAAAGATGAGCTCCAGTAAGCCCGGGTTAAACATGAACTACATGCAAAACAGAGTTAGTGGTGGAAAGGAACATCCCACATCACCCACCAGACACACCATATCCCCTCAGTGACATGTGGTGGTAGCAGCGTCATGCTCTGGGAATATCTTTCCTATAGCTGGGATAATCCTGCATCCTTACATTTAAGGACAAAATCCATTATGCTAAAAACCATCAATGCGGCAAAAAAATCATATTAAACAAAAAAAAACAAAGTCCTAATATAGCAAACATTTGGTAAAATGGTGTGAAGTCATCTTTCATTTAGAAACTGTGATCCTTTCTGCCCAGTTATAATTGCCTGACTACATTTGAGCAATAAAACAACAGAACATGTGAAAATGTGACTTGCTGGTTGCATGTGGCATGTAAAAGGTTTGCGTAACATAATGGGCTATTTTGCAGGTGTAGTCACATCCACAGATCTAGTCACACTCTTTTTTAGCACATGATAATACAGCAATGTTGCTTTCTCTGCTCCCAAATAAACTGAGCATTACCACGTATTAAAGTCAGACATCTCTAAAAGCCCTGCATGTGTCCATCCTTTTGTCCGGGCATTCTATATTTAGCAGCGCAGGGTTTAAGCACAGCTCACCCCAGCTAAAAACAGAAGACAGAAAAGCCTGCACCCATTGTCAGACAGGGTGTCCACTGGGAGCCCAAAGGTGCAGTGGGATTTTTTTTTTTTTTTTTTTATGTTGCTGCTTTTCCTAAACTATGCTCCCTTGTGCACTTGCAAAACTGAAATCCGATTCTAAATGCTTGTGAATTCTAATCCAGAAACAGAAATCCTTTTCTTTCCTTGCAGCAAATAACTGAGGTTGAGGGGGGCAGTTATACAGGCCTCTAGCCAACCTCCTGTCAGAGACACAGGTCTTGATGGAAGCATATTCTCCAGCCAAAGGGGCGTGAATCTGCATTCTGGCAGGAATCCAGTTACAGAGCACATGATTACTGCTTGCCCAGGTGATGAAGCTCACGCTGAAAATATAATCGTGTACCTGATGGAATACCTTCAATACAAACAGTATGAGTCAACCTGCATGTTCAGAAACATGAGAAACAGGAACAAAATCCCTACAAATATCCTAATAGATGGATGCAAGGAAAGCAAAATTACAACTTGGAAGATATGTTTTTTCTGCAGCACTGTCATCAGGGCTATAACATTATTAAACCCAGCAGGAACCAGCTTTAAAAAAAAACATCTGTTTATGCACATGATAATCTCACCTGCCCGAGGTCCAGGGTAACATTGACTTGATTGTAGATGGTTCCCCTGGAGAGAGGTGGGCTCTGCCACCACCTTTCTGTGCCATCTATTGCGTTGCTCACCGGGTGGGCTTTGCTTGGCTCCGCGGATGTGCAGTAGTCACAATGCTGACCCTTAAAAAAAAAAAAAAACATTTTATTTACCATTTGTGCTTGAAAGAGCTAAAGCAACAGCTAAACAAATAGGATGGAGAGCATGCAGCAGTTACATCAATCATGTCGGTTACAGGAATTGCACAAGTCAATTTCTATGAGAACTCTCACGATCTGTTGAAGGAGATTTCCTTCAGGAAATGTGGGAAAAACGGAATTTAAAACTATTTCTGGCATGTGTACAAGTTGGTCAATGGAAGAAAGAAATTACAAGTGCTCCCTGGGGTGCCATACATGCGCCTATGCCTGCTTTATACGTTGATCACAGTTATTATTCTATTTAATCAATAATAACAACGACAAATATTAAATAGATGAAAATGTGTACATATTCACACATATTCCCTTACATGTATGTTTTGAGTAGGAGGACCCAGAGTCGGTCCGCCGACAAGTTTACAGTAAAAATCAGATCTCGGTGCGCCAGTCTCCTCCTGGCCGCAGGTTGCTGTCGCAGATATGCTGGAGCGCTCTGCGAGGTTAAAGTAGGGCGGATTCAAACTGAAGCCCGTCAGGTCATTAAAAGTCCGCTGGCCCTCCGAGTCCCTGAGGAGAAACGATGCCCCAAAGGTCCACAGCAGCACAGTCAGAGGGGCTCCTATCCTCCGCCTCGGTGTTTTCTCCATCAGAGATCCTTATAGATGCTGAGCGCAACCCGCCGCCTGAGTCCAGGAGTCATCTGGAGCCGTCCATGAAATAGATTTTATTTATTTTTTTAAATACAGCAGACCCTTTCAGTAGATCTTCGCCGATAGATGCCAATAAAGGGTGAAGTTTATGTCCCACCGATGGAGGTGTTCCCTCTTTTCCGACGCATATCCGCAAAGAAGCGAGGCGAGTTTTCCTTGTTCTGAAATGAACTGTAGGCTTTGAGCGGAGCTCTCAGGTGTCAGGCTCCTCTGGGCTGCTCTGGGCTCCTCTCCTCAATGCGCTGTGAGCGCGCGAGCAGGGGCCAAAGGTCTGTAAGCGCAATTAGCACTGCCCTCACTCACTCCCTCACCACAGATAGATAGATAGATAGATAGATAGATAGATAGATAGATAGATAGATAGATAGATAGATAGATAGATAGATAGATAGATAGATAGATAGATAGATAGATAGATAGATAGATAGATAGATAGATAGATAGATAGATAGATAGATAGATAGATAGATAGATAGCAGTGGCGGCCGGCCCATAGGGGGCGCTGGGGCACCGCCCTCCCTGATAAGAAGAGAGAAACGTAAAATATATTTTTAGAAATTAACTCATAAATGTCTGTTTTACTCTCTAGACTGTGTAACTATAAGCAAAACAAATTATATAAACTACATTTCCCTATCTACTGTCATTAATTTGTGGATTTCCACAGACAGACTCCTACTGTCTCTGTTCTGGGGGCTGTGATCAGACTGACCCACATTTGCAGAGAATCTGTCAATCATGTACTATTGCTAGGTGAATTTAATGGCCAATCAGCGTCTCGGAACTTTATGGTATTGGGGCGCTGAAAATACTGCGCTTTTACAGGCTTCTCTTCTGAACCCAAGCGCAGGTGCAGACAATTAGAGGGAAGATGGCGAATGTAACGAGCGAGATGCAGCTTCCACCAAATTCGGTGAGATCCTTATTTATCTACCCGTTTGCCAGAAGAACATCCCTGTTGTATGATATGAACATTTCATTTCATGGTTATTGTGACTGTGACGAATCCACCTCGTCGCTTAAAACAACCTCTCTAATTTTGCGCGCCACACACACATTCCTGTTATACTGTGTTTGTGAGGACCAATACACTCGCGCTGAGATCAGTAGCTCTATTAACTTAAAACACACAAGCTGTCCTGGTTACCTGCTGGCGTATTGAGGGTGCACACTTAATATTTCAGTGGGGTTAGCCGTGTGTGTGTGTGTGTGTGTGTGTGTGTGTGTGTGTGTGTGTGTGTGTGTGTGTGTGTGTGTGTGTGTGTGTGTGTGTGTGTGTGTGTGTGTGTGTGTGTGTGGGGGGGGGGGTATGTGGGGGTATGTGGGGACTTGTCATCTTCAGTCTGGCTGCGTCTTTGCTGGGTTCAAACCCAGTTTGGTGTAATTGAATAAGTCAATGAATCTGTGTAAAAGAATTAAGTTGTAAAAATTATTTGTTTTTGTACATCAATTGTTTGTGGAGGTAATATATGGACAAAACTGATTAATGAGAAGAAATCAGAAATAAGAGAGCCTGAGGTGAGGGGCTTAAACTATTTAATGAGGGCTGTGGGAAGAAAAGCGGCAATTTTTGTTTTCTGTTTCTTTGTTACATTGCTGGTAACTGGAGGGAGGCTGAGGCCCAGAGTATCTTGTATATGTTTAGTTTCTTTTGCACCCTGTTTTGAGTTTTTGAGCTCAATAAATCACCAACAACGGTAACCCGACTGAGACTGGATTCTTGGAGGCCAAAGAACCCCGTCACAGTGACCCAAATCATCACTGTTACTGTTATAGTAAATTAAATCATTACTGTTAAATTGTATGTATTGTCCAATTGTTTATTTGAATTCTTATTCCGGGTTAGTTGGAGACATACACTAGGCTATATCAGCCCCACCAAAAATATTTTTCACCAGCCGCCACTGATAGATAGATAGATAGATAGATAGATAGATAGATAGATAGATAGATAGATAGATAGATAGATAGATAGATAGATAGATAGATAGATAGATAGATAGATAGATAGATAGATAGAGTTTCTTGTTGTGAAGTTATTGGCCTTATTGCCTTTTTACATTGCTGAATTTTTTTAACACTTTGAAAATAGCTGAAATTGACTTTTATTATTGGAGGTTTGTATATTTTACCTCCTTATCCTCATCCTTACTTTGGTGACCTTAACTCCTTGTCAAGACTTTTTGGCCCAGTTTCAAGGGTTTATATGTTGGGATCTGGAGGTCTGTCCACCTTTCTCCAGCAGAGGGCGTTCTAGGTCTCCTAGAGCTGAAGCTGACCACCACACCTGCGGCTCATGAGCTCATCAGTAGACCAGCATTTAAGGAGGGGCAGAGCTACAATCCAACGCCAGAGTGTTAAGCCAGTTATGGTTAGCAAACCTGAGCCAACCTGCCTGTCTGAATCTCTGAATCACAAGAAGCCTGAACCTGAACCTAACCTGCTTTTTGTCCTCTCTGCTTCTCAGGAAGAACCTGCCAGGAAACCTGAAAACCTGGAAGGATTTCTCAAGCGAGAAACCAAGCTGTCTGTTCTCAGTAGAACTCTGGTGAACCAACTCAGTCTGAAACCTGCCTGCCCGCTCTCAGTAGGAGCTGAGAGAGAAACTCTGAACCTACTCTGTAAACCTAACTGCTCTGCTCTGCCTTTGCCAAGCGCTCTGCCTGCCTTCAGCCTCTGGACCCCCCTTCTACCGCTCTGCTCAAACTCTGATCAGGTATAGACCTGCAAACACACAACCTGCAAGTTCACTGGATGAACGCTAACCAACCTGTCCCTCTCTGCAGTAAACCAGTCGTGACCAGACCCGGACCCGATTTATCCCTGAACCATTTCACTTTATTGTGAACTGTTCAATAAACCTTGTGAACTTTTTCCCTGCCTCTGAGTGTTCTGCATGTGGGTTAGATCCCCTAAAGCCACCATGACATTATACTTTTTAAGTGTTGTCTAACGATAGACATGGATGGCAAGTCACTTTATTTTATTAGTCACTTTTCGACTTAGGAAGACCAACATTTACTCCCCATTTTGGGGGAGTATAGTGTATACTTAAGGGAAACAGGATGTTATTAAAAACTACATGTTTTAGAGACCAGGTTTAAAACGTGAAAGTGTAAATTAAAATTATGCCTTATTTATATTTTGAATTCTTATTCATTGTTAGGCATACTGTCAATTGTTGCACATGTGATTTAAAAGAGATAGATAGACGAAGCAAGACTACCTGACCTGAATAGGCAAACCAAACAAAAACTAAAAACAAAACACCTACTTCCAAATGTATAGTCTAAGTGAAGCTTTCAAATCTTAAGACCGACTGTCGTGCATGGTGGTGGCTGCATGGTCATGTGTGGATGAGGTTGGAGGACCCGAATGTAGAGGGTAGATTCATTTCTTTAATGAAGAGACTGGGGGGGTCACAAAGCTGAAAGGCAGGGAACCGATCAGAGTAATGTTGATACGGGGAGCAAAAATAACTGAGAATGGAGAGGGGATTATTCTAACCAATGGATAAAATTGATTCTGCTGGCCGCTACGTTTAAAACATTATGAAGTCTCTATGATAATGTTTCCTCCGGATTATTATCTCTATCTTTCGGCTAAAATATAAAATCAAGGTGTGGATAACTAACAGAGAAGCATGAGCCTCGAACATGTAACAGCAATTGGTTATATTAAAGCGCCATCTTGTGGACTAAGGCGTCACTACGCCGAACCGATGGGTTTCGATTTCCTCAAGTGTCGCGATGTTTTAAGTCGCACCAGAAGTTTCCGTGTACTGAAAAACAAAACAAATGTCAAAGGGTTGTTTTTTTTCTGTTGTTTATGTTGTAAACAAAAATGAATCGAAATAAATGGGATTTAGAAAACGTGGGTTTCTTCCGTGAATCTATTTAGCCATTTAAGTTTGTAACTTCTTCATCAGTAAATGAGCAGCGCGGTGACTCATTGACAGGAGCGCTCTCTGCTCCCAGCATTTCTACCATTCTTCTTAGGGGACTGGCCCCGGCCTGATGTCAGCGATTAAGAAGCGATAAGTAAACAGGAACTGTTTATGTGAACCAAAGAAAATCAGCTGGAATCGGTTGTTCATTCTCCTCTACTTCTGATATTAGGCCAATCCGCATGGAGCCAACAAATCTCCAGGTACGAAGTAAAACTTTCTTTAAAAAAGGACTATCAGCTTCATGGTTTCATTTTGACATCTTTACAATCGCCTTCAAATAAAACTTCCACTGTCGCTCACTTTGTTCACCTGTGTTAATGTCTTAGACTTAGACTTAGACTTCTTTATTTGTCATTTTGTATGCACAGGGTGCATACAGAACGAAATTGCGTTACATACAGCTTATGAACGTTGCATTGATAATGTATGACTGAAGCTGAATTATAAACATGTTCTGTCCTCACTGCGGTTTCTGATGGTATGAAACAAGTTCTTAGATCAGGTAACTGATTTACAGCACAGGAGATAGTATAGTCAGTGGGCTGTTTTAAGCAGAAAATATAGTCATCAAGTTGAGTTTCTTGTTGTCATTTTTTTGTTTTTTTTAAACAACCCTTTTAATCGTCACTTTGTATATCTACCCAGGGGCGGAGCTAGATGGTGGGGCCAGGGATGACACTTTGCCCATCATTTTTTCCCCTTCTTAAGGCCCATTCATACCTCACGTAAAAGACGGATAGGGAAACGTGTTGAGTGTTTCATACGTTCTAACCGTCGATTTCGTCCGTACTTTGACACGAAAATTGGGAGCTTACGCTTACGGACGAAACGGATCAATACGGAGCAATACTACCGGAAATGGTGGGGGCGGTATTGAGTTTTTAGTACAAAATGTCAACAGAATCAGGTCTTGGACCATCGCCATGTTTTGATCAATGACGAATCATTGGCGCCCAGCACTGCCACCTAGAGGAAATACTGGTTATTGCGCACCTCAACGGACGGAGGTATGAAGGAGTCAACGGATAGAACGTACGGACAGAAATACGGACGTGCAGGCCAAACGTGAGGTATGAATGGGCCTTTATGCTGTGTTCACAGCAAATGCAGCAAGAGCAGCAAAAACGTGTCTGCTGCTTTATTTTTGATGCTTGTACAAGTTTTGTCCTGACGTGGTGGAAAAAGTGGGTCTGACACGCGTCGGGCGGAGCTGCCCTATCCTTTCTTTGCCTGGCAGCTATATATGCTGTGATCAGTGGTAAAAAAAAGTAGTTTTAATATGTTTTTAAGTGGGAAAATCCACCTAAAAACTTAATCAGTTCAGTCAGATCTTTCAGATTACCATCCTGCCTTCAAATATTATTTCTCTGTCGGAGCCGCTCAGACCCCCCAGATACCAGCGGTGCTCTGTCAGTAGGAACCCCATTCAACATGAGCCTTTGCCCCGGTTGCCCTCTCGCGGTTTGGCTCAGCGGCTGGAAGGCGGTTTTTATGTATGTAATCCAAACTGCAGGCACCAGGATAATAAAAGCAAACATGTTTTGCCGGCAAGTTTCAGCACTTTAAGTTAATTTAGGCGTTAATAAACTGTTTCAGAGGAGTGATCATAGTGATCTGTATCATCAGCGATGTGTCTGTCTCCCTGCCAGCCCTCAGATCAGCTTCTCTGATTGGTTGATGTGGCACGTCGAGCAGCAAAAGTTCAATTTTTCCATCTCAAGCAGCAGCTGCGTTGCGGGGCGCATCAGATGCTTCAGCTGCTCAGACGCGCTGCGCCTGCTACTTAAAACAGGCTGCGGGACATTTTGCTACGCCTTGACACGCGTCAACCATTGACTTTGCATATAAACTAGCTGCTCCTGCTGCGTTTGGTGTGAACGCAGCTTAGTAATAGAACTCGTACAGATTAACAGCATTGTATACCTGCAATGATATTGCTGTGACCAAAAAAAAAGACTTATGATTTGTATGTGCTTGTTAAAGAGTCTGTTGACAGAAATCATACAGGGGATGCCTTCTGCCAATATACTCCTCTCACCCACCTCCTCAGTGAGGTCCAGAGGCTGGTCCAGGACAGAGCTGGCTGTTCTAAGGAGCTGCTTTATTCTCTGACTGTCAGATTTAGTGTTAAAACTCCAAAAGACCACAGCATAAAGAAACTGCAGATGCCACCAGGTGTCATAGAATGATTTTTTTAAAGGGGTCATAGAATGATTCTATAGGGTATTTGGTGCTGGTCCTTAAGCTCTCTGAATAGGGTGTGTAACATTGGTCGGACTGAAAATGGCATATTTGCTGTTCTATGAGCCCTAATGCAAGCCTGGTTAAAAGCCCTATAATGAAATGACAGGTTTTCTTCCTTTTATGGTATGATCATGAATATTTAGATAAGCTGTGCGCCGATTGGTTGGTTTACAACGAGTAAAGCTGCTGAGTAAAGACGCATCATAGCAACAAGCACTCACTCACTGAAACATTGAGATTGTTGATATGGAAGGGTGACATGACGTCCTCTTTTTCACAAACATGTCCTACTTTTCATTCCTAAAAAAATGGCCAGGGGGAATTTCAAAATCATGTGGGATTTTGGTCGACTACAGTGCAGCACGTAGTCGAAACACCGGGCATTCAGTCAGCTGGTCTGGGAACCCCGGCAGAGAGGGGCAGGGAGACAGTGGAGGACAGAGCGACCGAACCCGACCCCGTGATGGTAGCCTGGACACAGGCGGCCCTGTGCTTCCCCCCTGCCTGCATTACCGGCCCCCCAGCCCTCATGGCTCTCTGCTGAGGTCCGGGTGCAGTCAGTGGCTCAGCAGTCAACACTAAAATGCTTCGTTTTTTTGCACCATTTTTTTTCTCCCACAATGTTTACAATTGATCACTGCTCCATTTTAAGAAAATGGAACTGTCATAAGAGCTGTACAAAACAAAATGTCATTTTTATACACTCTTTGTATACAAGTGTATACAAAGATCCATGGTAACTTACAAGTAAGTTACCATGGATCCCGTAGCTGCTTCTCTGATTGTTACTTTCTTTGGGTATTGGAGCGATATACCTATTCAGTTGACTTGTAGTTTAACTTCAGGTAGATTTTATTTTTTCTTTTCTTCAAATGAGCTGTAGCATTACATTTTGGCACTATTCAAAATGACCAAAACTTGACAGTAGAAGCAATGATGCTTCAGAGGTGAAACCTAAGGCTAATAGGTTTGAACAAAAATTCCAAGAGTTAATGCTGAAAGTTTTTCAACGAGCACGGAGGAGGTATAACATAGATATTGGAAAAATAATTATAAATCTGCATCTGAAAGTAAGTGAACAGGAAGACAGCAGGTAGTAATAAAATAAGATATACAGAGGGGTCAGTATAACGGCAGATAAAACAGATAAGGTAAGATGGAAGGACATGATTTATTGTGGCAACCATATAGTGAAAAACTAAACGATTTAATAGTGAAAAATGTTGCAGCCTTAATATTGGAAATTAGTGTTATGATTTCATTTATATTTTAAAGTATGGTGCAATTAATCTGTTGCTCTTTCAGAAAGCTATTGCTGTAGCCCAGAAAGCATCACAGGAGGACCAGGCTGGGAACTTTGAAGAGGCCATTCAGTCCTACCAGCATGCCGTCAAGTATTTTCTTCATATTTTGAAACGTGCGTTTTAACAGATGTCACATTACAGTTACTTTCTTCTTTATCAAGGGCATGTTCTTTATTACGTCCTAAAAGTTTGAAATTATAATACAGTAATATTATTTCTTTATGCATGCTTGTATTTACACATATATACAGACAAAAAAAATAACCCTTTCAATTTCTTACACTGAGTATTCCAAACCTTTATAATTATATCAGGCTTATAACTGCCTACATTATGATACAACAACAGAAATTTCATAACAATTGTTGACAAAAGATCTTTTTTTTTGTTCCTTTTAGGAGAACCTCAGGGGAAAGAGGGCAACCAGAAGATTAGAGATACATGTAATCACTATCTGGACAGAGTGGAAGAGCTGCAACAGTACCTAATGAATAAAGAGGTTATTATATTGCATTTTATTTCATATGGACATGTGCCTGTGACAATGAATTATAGATTGGTTTGTGTGTCATAATGGTGAAATGAGGTACTAGCTTTCAAATATTATTCCATAAACCAGAATTGTTCAAATTCCATTGCATGGGCTCAGAATTTTAACCACTACACTCAGAGGCTATTTTATAGTTCAACATGTTGCACTATAAAAGCAGCTTCTAACCAGATGGTACAGAGTCGGAGTGCCTATAGGAATATAAACAGATCTAATCTAATATGTATTTTATTTATGTGTGTAAAAAGATCATATTTGTTTATAGTTTATAAGTCAAAATTTTTATTTATTTTTGACATGTAAGTGAAGGGTAGATCAAAGATTAGCACAGTATTTTTTAGTTGATCAGTGCTGACATAACAGAAAATGAAATAGATATTATTTAAGATGATCAAAACAGGGCAGTGTAATGTAAGCTGTACAACTCAATACAAACTCAAAACTCAATAGACAGAATAAGATTTTTTTATTAAAGCAAAAGTAACCACTCATAAATCCTATTGAAGTTCAAACATTTGGTGAAGTATGGCTGTAGATAACATTTATGGAAAATAAAGTGTGGGCTTAGTTAAGATATACCACCAAATCTGTGAAAACCTTGAGTTTTATTTTTATTCTTTGATAGCTGGTGAAGATTCTCTGTCATCCAGGTCTTAGTCATTCCAAAAAAGTTTAAAAAACAAACAAACTCCTGGACTTTTTTTTTCTTCCATGTTTGAAGATGTTTCGCTTCCCATCCAGGAAGCTTTTTTAATTTAAAATGTCCGGAAAAGTTTTCAGTTTGAGGCCTTATAGAGTGGACCAACATTTTTAATTGAAAAAGCTTCCTAATGAGAACCATGACTGGGAATGTCTTTTTGTACTTTGTGTGTGTAGGCTGTATGTAGGCTTTTTTTTTTTTACATATATATGGACACTGCAATGCTCCTTGTTGTTTTGGTTTTTTTTTTTTTTTTTTTTTTTTTTTTACTTTTGTTAATGTTTACATAAAGTTGTGGGGAAAAAAAGAAAAGAAAAAGCTTCCTAGATTGGAAGTAAAATGTATTCAAACTTGGAGACAAAGTCCAGGGGATTGTTTTTTTTTACTTTTTTGGAATATTCTTTAATATGTTTGAAGAGAGCGAAAGGCAATATGAAGAGTTTAACAGACCAATCAGATGTATATATGTGATAGAGGGGAGGATTGCCAAGCTATTCTTTAACTAAAGTTTCCCAAATGTTCATTAGATTTGAACAACACTTGATAAAAATGATTAGGTTTTAAAGCCTTAGGTTTTCCTGAGCATTTCACTCCAGCTGCCAACAGGGAGTGAATATGAGAAGAAAAAAAATCGATGTGTATTTTCTTAAGAATTCCAATTTATACTAACATTTAGAAAATAAGACCTATTATAGAGTGACGGGCTAATTTCTTCTGCTCTTGTTAAATATTTTGAGATTGTTTTTTTTTTTTTTTTTTTTTTTTTAGTCAAGGAAAGGGCGTTGCTGGAGCGACGTCGTGACGTCATCAAATTCCGTGCACGGGAATATCGGCCGTTCTATGCGGAAGTTGCTACCCTAATCCGACTCTAGGCGATCTGACAAACGAAAACAAGTCGACTAAAAACCTCGATTATCGAGCCAACAGTTTACATGTGCGACTGAATTCTGACATAGACTGTTGAAGAGTAGTTTTTTCACGTTGTTGTGGCGTTTTTGTGGAGTATTGAGCCAGTGATTTAGTCCTTATGGCCAACAATAATTTACAGGTAAGTGGAGGGACCAATCCTTGAGCTAAAACGCTACGACAACCTTTAGAAAAAAGTTTTTTCACACCGAATTCTCCCTACTTAAAGTGTTATGTGGGATTTAATTTAAACAACATTTCTTTCAGGTGTACTCCTTGCAGCGTATCGTTTAGTTTTATTGTGTTTAAAAAGTGAAAAGGCTGTAACAATAGCGGCTAATTAGCATTGCTAGCTAGATTAGCTGACAGGTCGACAGTTAATTTGTTATGAAAAGGCACGCGCTGACATCATTTACTTATATATGCTGCAGTATTTAGGGCATTTCTTTTGCCTCGCACACAAAACCTTTTTTTTTGTTTTTTGTTTTTTCGTGCTTTAATTACGATAAATATAACGAGAGTCTTCACTGGCTAACTGGTTTAGTGTGGCCTCTTTAACATGGATAAACTGGATGGCTTTAATAATGTTAAACCTATAGAAATGTAAAGTCACGAGTGTTTCGGCTGCGAAACAAAACTGAAAGGAAACAAAAAGGTTCTTTATAGGACCCTATAGTGTCTGTTCCAAATAGAACAGGTGTAACTAACAGTAAGTCTGATGTAAAGGGCTTATGACTGTTTATGATGTTAACTTCCGTACTAAGGCATTGTTTGCCCTTTCTAGTATAAATGTACTTAATTTATAGCTTTTTTCACGATGGTCTCATATTTAGAGTTTTTGTCTTTAAAGATCAGCGCCTACATACTTACAGCTACCTAGATTTCCATACACCTGTGTTTTTGCTTTGTTTGTTTTGTTGTTATTTTTACATCTCTTTTTCAGAAAGCGATTGATCTCGCTGGCAAGGCAGCTCAGGAGGATAAAGCTCAGAACTATGAGGAGGCACTGCGTCTTTATCAGGCTGCTGTTCAGTACTTTCTACATGTGGTAAAATGTAAGAAGAAGTGTTATTATCTCACATATTAACTGTTCAGCGCACCAGGAATCACACCTTGAAGAGCATTTGTATTTGCATGAGAAAAAATAAAAGTAAAAAATTTTATATTATGTGTAGTAGAAATGGAAATGCTTAACATTTAACAATTTATGAATTTTTAATTTTGGATTTTTTTTTTATATCATTCTTTTTCAAGTACAAGTAGGTATCGCCATGGGATGGGTTTTTTTTTCTTTGTTTTTTGTAACATGTCAAATCATGCCCACCTTGGCAAGGTCGCAGCATCTCTAAAATCATAAGAGCCCTTTTTTTATTATCATCAAACTAAATTAAATTTGTCAGAGCTGGAAATCCCATTTAACTTTTAATTGCAGTTTAAGAAAAAAAAAAGATTTTTTTACAATTAGTTTATTGCAAAATGTAAAAAAGGAATATAGTTTGTTGTATTTTAGATACTAACAGAAAACAATGCCAGTGAAATAAACTTTGACTAGGACTAATCTAAATCAAAGCTCTCTGTAATAATTAAAATCAGAAATCAGCTGTATTAGTTTATTACTTTATACGTTTTGGTCAAAAAACTTTTTTTATATGAGAGCCTCTTCTTATAAGCCATTACGGAGAACTTAAATTCAAATATGCAGCTCTGCAGAGACATAGTGTAACTGTTTTAACAATTCAAGTGATTTTTTTTTTATTTTTATCGAAAAATACTTTTCTAGAAATTTGTAAAAATGGCTCCAATAAAAATTTTTTAGCCCTGGTCAGAATTTTATAAAATCAAATGTTAGCTTAGAATTGACAGGCTCAAAAGTGAATACAAATAGAGAATGCAAATAGAGAAAAAGAATGGCCAAAATTAAAATGTGATTTATTTTGAATGATATATAATTTCATATGCTAGACTTTTATACATCATTATTTTATCTATGTAATTCTTGGAGATTAACTGCTGCGAAGAATTAAATAGGAATAAGATGGCCAGATTCCAGTAAAAATCTATGTACGAGTCTGTGAAGGAACCAAAACTGAAAAGATGTTTTTTTTCTTTAGTCATTCAGTAAATGCAAAAATACTTTTATCAATCCCAAAGGAAAATTAAATGATCTCCTTTAGCACTCCATAGATGTATCTCATTGAAGATTCTCTGTTGTTGTATGTCAGTCATACTTAATCGGAACCATTTTTTTGTCCAATCTTTACTGTGAATCTCTGACAGATGAGGCCCAGGGTGACAAAGCAAAACAGAGCATCCGAGCAAAATGTGCTGAATACCTGGACAGAGCAGAAAAGCTGAAGGAGTTTCTGAAAAAGAAAGAAAAGGCTCCTCCTGCTAAGCCTGTCAAGGAGTCGCAGTCTGATGACAAAGGGTGTGTTATGGGGTGTGACCTAAGGCTTTCTGTGTGTGGATGTTTTGTCATTCATACCATGTTAAAGTGGTTTCCGTTCATGTGTTCATGATTTGTTGCTTTGTCCAGGAATGAAAGTGACGAGGGGGATGATCCAGAGAAGAAAAAATTCCAAAATCAGCTCTCAGGTTAGCAGTGAACTTATTCTTTATTTTTATTTTTTTTTATTCTTGATTAATATCTGCTATGAAATGTTCTTTCAGGTGCAATTGTTATGGAGAAGCCAAACATCAAATGGAATGATGTTGCTGGTTTAGAAGGAGCCAAGGAGGCTTTAAAAGAGGCTGTTATTCTTCCAATCAAATTCCCCCACCTTTTCACAGGTATATCTTACTAATAATTGTTAATCTCATTGTCTTTATGTTAAATGATTAATGTTTTCATCACAGTACTTTGCAGTTTTAGTAAGTGCTTTTTTTCTCTGTCAGGAAAGAGAACTCCGTGGAGGGGGATCTTGCTCTTTGGGCCCCCTGGTACCGGAAAGTCCTACCTAGCTAAAGCTGTGGCAACCGAGGCAAACAACTCTACCTTCTTCTCAATCTCTTCATCAGACCTCGTCTCCAAATGGCTTGGAGAGAGTGAAAAGTGAGTCACAGATGCAGTAACTCCTGAAATAAAAAAGAATACTTATTTATTGCCCTGATAAACATTTAAGAATTGTGGAATATTTTCTAAATAATAACCAAGAATGGTTTCATTTCACTTTCAAGATTGGTGAAGAATCTTTTCAGCCTTGCGAGGGAGCATAAGCCTTCTATCATCTTTATTGATGAGATCGACTCGTTGTGCGGATCAAGGAGTGAAAACGAGAGTGAAGCTGCTCGCAGGATTAAGACAGAGTTCCTGGTTCAGATGCAAGGTGAGTGCAAACCTTGACAGCAGTTATTAAAGTATTTCTGTCGTTGTGATAAAAAATGTAAGTCTTTTTTTAAGGTGGCTCACAAGCGAGCAGCTGACAGTGGGGCTTAGTATCTTTGTAGGAGGCACTGCAGTATTTAGAATGTAAAAAATTTTAGATTTAATCAGGAGTGTTTTTACTGAAGGCCTACCTTCTGACCTTATAGGTTTTCACTAATACTTTTTTTTTTATGCGGTAGAGTATTGTCGTTGACCAATTAGGAAATTAAAAAGAGACTATGGTTAATGTCACATTTATAACAAATAATTGTTTATACCTAAGCCCCTAAAACATTTTTTTAATGTTTTAAAATATAAAAAGAAAGGTTTATCTATCCCAGGGAGGTTATATTTTCATCAGCGTTGGTTTGTCTGATTGTTTTCAAAATAACAAAACAAGTTATGGATTGATTTTGCTGAAATGTTCATAGCAGGTGCATATTGTGACTGGCAACAAATTAACATTTTGGTGAAGAGCCTGCTCCCCATCTAGATTCAGGAATTTTCAGGAAAATTCTGTGAATACAGGTTTTAACTTAAGGTGGGAGTCACAATATGTTTGGGGATATTAGCTACTTGGTGGAAGTCTGCGCTATCACACGGCTTTTAGAAGTTTATCTTTTTTATGAAAGATATCAGTTCTTGCTAAAGTAACACGCTATTAGGAGAGTTAAAAAAAAAACATTCAAGAGGGAGTATGCCATCTATAATGCTGTCTTTTTTTGTGCTAACACTTAAGGTTGCTCCTTCTGAGCTACATTCCTAATATAAAACATAACGATGAAAAATGATGGTTAAGACCGAAATAGAATAAAAATAAAGAGCATAGGAAGTTCTTGCTAAATCAGAATCATCCTAAACTGCCCATTCTTCACCATTTGCTGTTTTAGCATTTTGTGTTTCTCTAATGTTGTTGATTCTTCTGATTTTAAGTAGAGATGCATCGATCAAGATTTTGGGAGGTAATCGCCAAAATCGGTATCTGCTATTATTGCCGATCATTGCATCAAATCCATAGATTATTCGATACTGTTGTTTTATGTATGTTGACACAAGTATACAAATTAGGGAATGAGAAATGAGCAAGAACTGACCACTTTTTTAGTGATTGAGAGACTGGAGACAAGCTTATTTAAATCAAAATTGACAATGGAGGAAAATAATGTTGACACAGAATGAAGCAGGGAATGCTCCTAAGATGTTTGTAGGTTGCTTTTAAAGGGCAGTTTAATTTAGCCCTAGAAGGACTGTTTTGTCATCCTACCTCCAGCTCAGACACCAACTAGGTACCACCTTCTCTCCTCCCCTTCAAACTCCTCTTCCACTTCCAGCAGATAGCATCTAGAGGCTAGCTTCTTCCTGCTCATTATCCATGACAGCTGTCCTACTCCCAGTAATCCACAGCCCCTCCTCCCGGTTCTGGAGCTCTCTCAGCACTAATTTCCTGCTGCTCTTGTTTGAGCTCTACTTCCCCCTAACTCTGTTTCCCAGGTGATTTGTCAATCTATTTTCGGCACTCTGACTAAAACAAAAGTAGACCTAAGCCCAAGAGAAAGATGCATGTCCTTTGAGGGTAAAACTAATCAAAAACGCACCAACTGGTAGCCAGTCATGAGTGATCGTGTGAAAATCTGCCAATTTTTGAGCATTGCTTATTGACCGCTGCAGTTCTAGTTTTTAGTGAGAGATCGCTGATAGCTGGACCTTTTTAAAAGTCTAAGAGATTTACTGTAATTGAAACATTAATTCCAAGAATAAAATTATGTATGCAGATGGCCTGTTCTTATAGCACTAAATAGAAGCACTTGTACTCTACCTTCACGCACTGATAGTGTTGAGCTACATTGCAGCCCTTGATAACACATTGAAAGAAGTGAGGCTACAGCATACAGGTGCCACCGGGCCCCCTGACCTTCATTAGTAGACAATCCAGGTGCCCAATGACACAACAAATTAGAGCTGGGGATCACAGTATTATGCCAGTGTTGTCAAATCAAATTTATTTGTTTAACCTTTAACAAAAGCCAAATGGTACACAAAGTGCTTTACAACAAAGCCATTAAACAATACATAACACATATAAAACATACAGATACAATTACCGTATTTTCACGACTATAAGGCGCACCTAAACGTCTTTTTTCCCCCTCAAAATGTGGGGTGCGCCCTATGGTGCGGTGCGCCCTATCTGCGGACGTTGTTGAGACCACCATGAGTATGTGAGAACGTTAAAGGGGGAAGTGTGGGCGTGGCTTGTGTATAAAAGAACAGGTATGTGCTTTATGCAGAACATTGTTGTCTTAACAACCCTGGAAATGGCAAAGAGACACGCCTATGAAGCCCAGTTTAAACTGCAGGCTATCAGCTACGCAGAGGAACATGGAAATCGAGCAGCTGCGAGAGAATTCAATATAAATGAATCGATGGTTCGCATGTGGAGGAAGCTGGAAAACGAACTCCGACTGGTGAAGAAGACGCAGCTGAGTTTCCGCGGACATAAGGCGAGGTGGCCCGAGTTGGAGGAAAGACTCGAGCGGTGGATCGTGGAGCAAAGAACGAGTGGGGCCAGCGTTTCAACGGTCACTGTTCGACTAAAAGCAGTAAAGCTGGCGGAAGAAATGAAAATTGAAAATTTTCAAGGAGGTCCATCGTGGTGCTGAGGGAGGTGTATGTAAGGAGACCAGGTGGTTTTTTCCACGCATCACCATCTCTGTTAATTTGTGACTCCATGCGTGCCCATCTCACAGCCGATGTGAAAAAAAAGGTCAAAGAAATGAACGCTGTGCTTGCTGTTATTCCGGGAGGTCTGACAAAGGAACTTCAACCGCTCGACATCGGTGTGAACCGGCCGTTCAAAGTAAGGCTGCGAGCGGCGTGGGAGCGATGGATGACAGACGGAGAGCACAGTTTCACTAAAAGTGGAAGGCAGCGCCGGGCAAGTTACGCCACCGTTTGCGGATGGATTGTAGATGCTTGGACTAACGTTTCTGCTGGGACTGTTGTTCGAGCTTTCGCAAAAGCCGGCATCATTTCCAAGGAGCCGCCCGGCACGGAAAGTGACTCTGACAGCGAAGAAGAAGGGGAAACTGGCATGTCGGATTTAGCGCAGCTGTTTAATTCAGAAACAGAGGATGAGGACTTTGAGGGGTTTGATTAATACTCTGTAATAAATACTTGAATAAAGCACAATCATACTCAGTTTTGCTCCCGCTCTATTTTTCTACCTGAAAACTTAATTCAACAGCAGCCTCTGGGCCGCGGCGCATCCGGGTTCACCTCGGCAGTTGTTTTTTCATCTAAATAATCTAAATCTTTTTAAGTGAGAAAGTCCACCTGAAAACTTAATCATTGCAGTCAGTTCATCCAGATTATTATCCTGCCTATGTTTTAAGTTAATTTATGCGTCAATAAACTGTATCAGAGGAGTAATCACAGCCCTGTATCATCAGCGATGTGTCTCTCACGGCCGGCTCCCAGGTTTGAATAATACTTTGTAATAAATACACCTTGCAGCTTTATTTGCTGTGATCAGTGGGAATAAAGTAGTTTTAATATGTTTTTAAGTGGGAAAATCCACCTGAGAGGACATGTACCTCTATATAAAAAACGCGCCCTATAGTCCGGTGCGCCTTATGTGTGTGTTAAATACAGAAATGGCACACATAACTGAGACTGCGCCTTTTAGTCCGGTGCGCCTTATGGTCGTGAAAATACGGTAAAAGTGCTGTAGTGGTGCAGCGCTGCAGGGCATTAAAAGCTTTCCAGAGGTGCATAGAAAGGAGCACACAGAAAGATAACATCTAAGAGACAGTATTATCCTAGTCAGAATTAAATGCTAATTTAAAAAAGTGGGTTTTAAGCTTTTTTTAAAAAAAGGCTGAGGTCAGTAGTAAGGGGGTAGTTCCACAGTCTGGGAGCAGCGACGGCAAAAGAACGATCGCCCCACTGTTTGAGTCTTGACCTAGGGACCTCTAACAGAAGCTGACCCGAGGAGCGTAAAGCTCTGCCACAATTGCGAAAAGTTAAAATCTCAGACAAGTAAGAGGGGGTCAAGCCATGGATGGCGTTAAAAGCAAACAGCAGAAGTTTAAAATCAATTCTAAAACGGACTTGAAGCCAGTGGAGTGATGACAGCACAGGAGTAATGTGTTCATGTCTGGACGTCTTTGTTAAAAATCGGGCGGCAGCGTTCTGCACAAGTTGGAGACGAGAAATTGATGACTGACTGAGGCCAACGTAAAGGGCATTGCAGTAGTCCAGTCTTGAACTAATGAAAGCATGGATTGCCTTCTCAAGATCCTGCCGACTGAGAAAGGACTTGACTTTGGCTAAAAGACGGAGCTGGAAAAAGCTTGAGCTGACAACGGAACTAATCTGTTTGTCAAATTTGAGCCCATTATCAAATGTTACCCCGAGATTTTTGACATGAGATTTAAAAAGGGGGGCTCGATTGCTGGAGTTTGTGGTGAGAACATTTGAAATTGATGGAGAACCAAACAAAATGCATTCGGTTTTGCTGTAATTTAAGTGCAAAAAGTTCTGTGACAGCCACTGCTTTATATCTGTGATGCAGTTCAGTAGCTTAGTAAGTGCAGTGTTTTCGTTTGGTTTCAAGGGCAAATATATCTGCAAGTCGTCGGCATATAAGTGAAAAGACAGGTTGTGTTTTTTTATAATTGATCCCAGAGGTAGCATATATAAAGAAAACATATTAGTACCAGAGTCCTAATGTGTCTGACCCAAGTCTTTGCAGTTTAAATAGAATATTCTATCAAATGATGATTTAGGAAAGGTTTAGTCTGATTTATTGACAGCTATTTAGGGTTAAATGCCCTCTAATATAACCTTCAGACTTAGTTCTTAAATGTGTTTTTGCATTTTATTCAAGTTTTTATTTTCTCATTTCCAGGTGTGGGTAACGATAATGAGGGAGTGCTGGTGCTGGGAGCAACGAACATCCCCTGGACCCTAGACTCTGCCATCAGAAGAAGGTCAATGTGTTAAACGTGTTTTTTAAGTTACATAATGTCTTCTCTTCTTCGTGTTCTAAGTGCAAAACAAATATTTCAGATTTGAGAAGAGGATCTACATACCGCTGCCTGAGGAGCACGCTCGCTCCTTCATGTTCAAACTCAACCTGGGCTCGACCCCCAACAGCCTCACAGAATCGGACTTTACTGCTCTAGGCAAGAAGACGGACGGCTTTTCTGGGGCAGATATCAGCGTCATGGTCAGAGATGCTCTAATGCAGCCGGTTCGAAAGGTCCAGTCAGCAACCCACTTCAAAAAGGTATGTGTGCATTAAACCCCCTAAGGTTTAATTTAAGGGGGAAACACATCAAAGTTAATCTCACCCAATCTTCCTTTGTTGTGTTAAAAGGTACGTGGTCCATCCAGAACTGACCCAAATGTTATAATCGATGACCTCTTGACTCCATGTTCTCCTGGTGATCCCAATGCCATTGAAATGACCTGGATGGAGGTTCCTGGAGAGAAGCTACTGGAGCCAGTGGTGTCAATGGTGAGAAAAGACTACTAAAAGACTATAGTTGCTTGACATGTTTTCATTGAAGATGCTCTAATCTAAAACTGATTGGATTTGTTCAGTTTTATAGAAACAGCTCTGACTGGTATTAAGCGAGTCCTTTTTTTTCTTTTTTGTTCTGTTTTTCATTTTTAAAATATACTTATAGACTAAGAACTCACACCATTTACAGCCTTCTAATTCCTTTAGCATTAGAAGAGGGGATGCCAAAAATCAGATTCTACTTTAAATCATTTTTTATATGGGTTTTAATCAAAATTACTATCAAACAGTCTGAAGTACAGTTTTTCTTTTACCATGTTTTTCATTCCTCAAAAAACAAACTGTAAACAGCAGGTCATACAACAGAGAAACAGTCTGGCTTAAAGTGAAGATATGTAACAACTTTAAAAGGAATCTCGTTTGTATATAGATGTGGACAATTTGATTCTCCAAATTGTTGCCATCATTTTATGGCAGTGTAGAATTACTACACTAATCAGGGCAGCTTGGGTGCTGTTGTACGACCGAGTATTAGGGTCAGGCTTTTTTTTTGATAATTTTAGAACTATCTCATAATGTTGCAACTTTATTCTCGTAATTTTAGAATTTTATCTGGTAATTTTGCAACTTTATTCTCATAATATTGCAACTTCTCATAATATTGTGACTTCTCATATTTTTTATAATTTTGTCTGGTAATGTTGAGACTTTATTCTTGTAATGTTATGACTTTTTTCTTGTAATATTATGACTTTATTCTTGTAATAATTACTTAATTCTCATAATATCATGACATTATTCTTGAATTGAAAAAAAAATCTCTAGTCTGGCCCTAGTACTCCTTCATACCTTTTGTGCTTATTTACAAAGAAAGTCTTTTTTTTTCTTTTTTCTTTTTTCTTGTTTGCGTAAAACATTTTTTAAAGTTCATGTGTACTTCAGCTTTCAAAATAATCCACCCATTCTTAGGGTAACAACTCACAAATGAAGTCTTAATTATAGATCTGTGAACTCTTAAAAGAATGACATGTTTGAACAGTTTTCCTTCATCTTTCTCCTCTTAGCCCGACATGCTGAGGTCTCTGTCCAACACAAAGCCAACAGTTAATGAACAGGACCTGGAGAAACTGAAAAAGTTCACAGAAGACTTTGGACAAGAAGGCTAGATTGATCCAAAGAGCCAGACCAAAGCAACTGAAGTGTGATTGTCTCTTTACTGTCTTTGACCCTTTTGCTCTTTGCCTCATTCTGATTATTTTCTAAGCCCCATGGGTTACTGAAGTGCACACTTAAAAAGGGTGGAAGGTTGTTGTTTTTTTTATGTTCACTCCAGTCCAAAGAGAATCAAAAGCCTTCTATATGTAGTTGTCTTGCTTAGAAGTAAAAGAGCCGGCACTGGAAACTGAGTTTAATTTGGCCCTAAGTATTACAGACTTAAAAACACATTTGAGGAACCTTACGAAACACCTACGTCTGTATTGAAAGTTAGCTAAATTTGTGTTCTGCTTTACAAACTACATTATTATTTCATGCATAATCCTTTTTTATGAAGATAAAATGTGTGTACCTTGCATGGTCCACATTGAGTTGGCTTCATATGATCAGGTTTTATAGGTGATGTATCCTTAGATTGCAGGTAAATATAAAACTTGGAAACCATCTTGGATACAAAAGCCTTGAAGATTTTTGTTATTATTTAAGTAATTTTCAAGGAAATCAGTTGCAGGCAAATGTGTTAAGTCTTTGTCATTTAAATAAATATGGGCCTTTAAGAATTGCCATTGTGGTTAAACCAGCATTATTCCATCATCCCTGAAGGACCCAATGGCTTTGAGGTATTTTCCAGCTCAGCAAGGGTTTCTCTCTATAAACAACTGTACATATTCATTTATACTAAAAGGCTTTGCTGATTTTCTTTAAAAACTTAAGAAAAAATAGGCCTTATATTGAAATAAAATCTATTTGGTTTCTAGCAAATTTATTGATGGTTCAGATATATCCTCTGTGTGCATAACAGCAAATCTTCAGCTTACACTTAAAATAGCCATAAATGGCAGTTTGCACAATGTGCCTTCTAGGAAAATGCATGTTTTTTACTGGTTTGTTTCTAAATTAAGTCATACTTCTAATATATCTCAAGTGCTTTGTCACTACAACTAGGAAATGTACAATATATGTACATTTCAGGTATGCTCTTTTAGAGATTCTATACAAATGTACTCTGTTGTTCTTGAGATGTGGAAACTCCTGTATTTTTTAAAGGGGAATGTCTTATTTTAGACTGTATGTCTGTCTACACATTTATGTAACCAATTCTCAGGCCTTTTCCTGAAAGAACAGGTAACTGATGCAGGGAACTGGTCCATTTTTATTTTTATTTTTTTTTGCATTTTCATTTCCTAAATGTAAATAAAACTTATCTAAAGCTATATCAACTGGTGTTTATTTGTTAATTTTTTTAAATTATCAATTATTTTTATTTTTTGTTTTACTTAGACTTGCGTTAAAACACAATATCCGACAACTGAAAAAATCAATGACATTAAAATTTATTTTCATTAATATAAACCTCTGGCACAACCTGAAACCTAATATTTTTTAAAGACCAAATGCACAGAACAGTTACAATGGTTGAAAGTTTATCCTGGACCTCAAGAGCCACGGATTCTGCCCTTCTCTATATATTGAATCAGATAAAATGTGGATGACTGCATATCCCTGTAGTCCAGTCTTTTTTTTCCCCTTAATGTTTCAGATGTGACAAGGCTGTGACCCAAAAATGGTAAATCTCCCCAAAATCTTGAAGGGGCATTGTTTAAGGTGCAAAAATGTCCCTGTTTTGCACCTTTTTTTCATTCAAACCAACTTCTCAAAGTTGAATACAGCACTCTGTGAACAACCAGCTTTTTAAACAAAGGCCATTTTCGATTTACCCCTTTAATTGTTTCCATTTACCAAACAGATGTGAACCAACAGTCCTCCAAATATTGTACAGGAGGTTACTAAAATTTACAAAATACAAATGGGAAGTTGTATTATTTCAATTACTGACAAACAAGGTTTATCTGTACACCACAAATAATAATGAAAATAGAAATTTGAACTTTACTCAAATTATGGAAACAGTTCAAAAGCTTGCAGGGTTGAAGGAACTCTTTGAAAATAATTTCTATATTTGTCTTGTGTTACTGTTCAGAGGATATATTTTAATCGTAATTTCTTCATAAGCTATGACTGGAAGATTAAATAACGAACTGAAAACTTGTAATCATTTACACTTCGTGAACCGGATCTTTAAAATAAATTATATTAATATCGTTGTTATTTTAATTTATTTTTTTGGCAGGCAAAATATTTCGTCCTATAGTTCCATTTGATTCAGGCTAAAGTTCAAACAGCCTTAATCCTCCGTTGCATTGTGGGAAATGCTGTCACTGTTCTTACAAACCGTCGGTTAGGACTCCATTGGAGAGCCTTCTTTAAAACTACAAGTACCAGGTACGACCGTTAAATCGCAGTTCACTGTACACAGTTCAGTTTGTTTAGTTTCCACAGCGCTTTATCGCAAGCGACTAAAGTCCATAACAGCTAGTTAACCTGACCTTTTTACGCGTTTGAATTGCTGCCAATCCGCGGAGCGACCCTTCCCCAGAGGTCAACGCTTCGCTCGCCGCCCTTTCCAGGCCCGTCGCCTGCCTTGTAGCTCTTATAACGGAGCGGAAAAACTGGCCTGCTAGTTAGCTCCCAAGCTAAGGTTTCCCCCATGTCCTCTGAGGAAGCGCTCAGCTCATCGATTACAGATTGGCTCTTTTTTCATTCTTGGTGGCTCCTTCTACCGTTCATCATGCTTCTTGTTGTCGCTGCCTTCATCGTTGCCTTTGTGCTGTTGCTCTACATGATATCGCCTCTAATAAGCCCCAAACCGCTAAAACTGAATGGGGCCCATGTCGTGGTGAGTACATCTATAGATATTGTTCGCTCTTTCCAGTGCTGCAGAGCTGTGCTATCAGAGTTTAACGCCAAAAAAACTTATGTTCTTATATATAACCACATCTGCAACTACATATCTGTTATTATATTTATTTATATCTTAGATCCCAATATGTTTTGGAAAATTATGAAGTGACACGCCCACGTTAGATATGGGCTCTTGCTTAGCATGAGATTTATTTATTTTTTCCAACACTACAAATATGAAAAAAAAAAAAAAAAAGGAACTATGGAAATGTATAGAATTTCCAGATGGAATAGGAACATGATTATTGAAGTGTTTTTGCATCCATTGATGTTTTTTTGGCTAAAAATATCTTTTTTTTTTTTTTTTTTTTTTTTAAAGCAATTGATAGTTTTTGAGTTACTGACAACATACCGTACAAAAGTTTTATATATCACTTTTATGTATTTTTATTTTTGACTTTTATGACTTTTTTATTTTTGCATTTCCTCAATTAAAAAAATAGATCTTAAATCAATTAAACAGAAAAAAATAATGAATTACAAGAATGATCTCAATTTCTGCGTATTTGTCCTTAACTTGTTTTTATTCTAAACTGTCAATTTTTTTTGTTGTTGTTTTTTTGCATTTTCATTTCCTCAATGTAAATATAACTTGTCTAAAGCTATATCAAGAGGTGTTTCTTGGTAAATCTAAGAGTGAAACCCATGTAGATTAACTACACACTGCTGTGTTTTTGTTTTTAATTTTAGTATTTTTACTTTTGTTTTACTTAAACTTGCGTTATAACACAATTTCCAGACAGAATGCGAATGTGATTAAAATTTTTTGCATCCATTGATGTATCTTTTTAAGCCATTCATAGTTTTTGAGTTACTGACAACATACAAATGTTTTATATATCACTTTTTGTTTAAAAAAAAAGCCATTTTTATTTTTTTGGATTTCCTCAATTAAAATATTAGATCTAAAGTCAATTAAACAGAAAAAAATAATGAATTACAAGAATGATCTCAATTTCTGCATCAAAGTAAGTGTCATTACCTTGTTTTTTTCTAAACTGTCCGTTTTTTTTATTTTATTTTATTTTATTATTATTTTTTTTTGCATTTTCATTTCCTCATTGTAAATAAAACTTATCTAAAGCTATATCAAGTGGTGTTTCTTGTAAATCAAAGAGTGAAACCCATGTAGATTACCTACATACAGCTGTGTTTTATTTTTAATTTTAGTATTTTTATTTTTGTTTTTCTTAGACATGCGTTAAAACACAATTTCCAGACAGAATACGAACATGATTATTCAAGTGTTTCTGCATCCATTGATGTGTTTCTTGTTCAAAATATACCTTTTTTTTAAGCCATTCATAGTTTTTGAGTTACTGACAAAATACAAAAGTTTTATGTATCGCTTTATTTTGTTAAAAAAAAAAGTAAAGTTTACCTTTTCCATCAATAACCCATTTTTTTATTGCGTTTCCTAAATCAAATAATTAATTCTAAAGTCAATTAAACAACAAAAACATAATGAATTACAAGAATGATTTTTGCATCACAGTATGTGTCCTTACCTTGTTTTCTTTCTAAACTGTTAGTTTAGATTTGTATCATTTTAGTGATTAAACTGGTATTGATCCCTGTTTGCGTTTTTTTGTTTTAATAATCGTTTAGCGAATTTCTGATTTTCATTAAATTTTACCTCCTAAATAATATTTTGTGTTGGTATAGAAAGTCCTACCTTTATAAATGCTTTGACTACCAGCATCTAGAATGATATAAATGCTAACAGATCTGTCTGTAATTTTGAAATGAATGGCATTTAGGAGCCCTGGGTGTTTGACATTACCTCTTGGTTATTTCCCAGTAAATGTACAAAAGTTATTTGGAAGGAAAGACAAAAAAAGCACCTCTTATGAATTCCAGGTGTGTTTTGAATACTTAGAGTTGTCCTGTTCTCTGACCTTCCCTTGTTGCTGCTTTTGCTCCCGTGTTGTGTTCAGGTGACGGGGGGCTCCAGCGGGATTGGGAAATGCATTGCCATTGAGTGCTACAGGCAAGGCGCATTCATCACTCTGGTGGCACGGAACGAGGTCAGTGCAAACATTTAACCAGTCCTTCCAGTCTGCAACAAGCTGTTATTACAGTCAACTCTTTCTTTATGTCTAACCCTGCACAACTAAAGGTGAATTTGTTCCATGTCAGGTGAATGGTCATGTGCAAAATTTGGTTTAGTTTCTGTTTAACACTTGGTGATTGTCTTGGTGACAATTATTGTTCTTAAGATGTGCCTCTTAATCATCTAGGTCAAGTGTAAATTACATCATAGGTTTTTACAGTCATGCTGATTATTTTTTTATAGTAATATATGTATATTTCTTAGAGCAGATTAATAACATGCAGTATTTCTAACAGGAGAAATTGCTAAGAGCAAAGAAAGAGGTGGAGAAATATGCCGTGAATGACAAGCAGGTAATTTTTTCTTTTAAATATCCGTTCTACAGTCAGACTATTTTCATTTTATGTTCACACATTCACAGCCAATGTAAATTTTTAAATATCTTTTTATTAAGGTGGTGCTCTGCGTATCAGTGGATGTTTCCGGTGATTACACTCAAGTGGAAAATGTGATAAAACAGGTAATGTTACCCTCCTCGCTTTGATAGGTCATATCAGATTCTCTTAATAATTCAGAGTCGTATTGTAAAAGCTGGCTTTTGTTGCTATGCAGGCTCAGGAGAAGCTCGGGCCTGTTGATATGCTTATAAACTGTGCTGGGACTGCCATTTCTGCAAAGTTTGAGGAGGTTGAGGTTGAACGCTTTAAGGTGAGTACAAATGGTTATTATGCAAATGAAATGCAAATATTTCCAACTTTAGCGTTTAATGAGTGAAAAAGTTTGCTGCATGCAGACGGTGTAGAAAGCATGTTGTTCATACAGCAACAGCTGATCATACAGCTTTAATTTGTAGAACATGTAGTAGAGCTGAGTGCAGCCTTCAAAACTTTGGTTCAAAGGTTACTCGTGT